AGTGATTGACTGCAATGGGTGTCCACTGATTTACCATGAGGCATAAACCTTGAGACATGAACAAAGACGAACAAGACAAACAAGTGGTGTCTATCTCTAGACCTTCTGGTCCGCTATATTACCCGTTGTGTACATGATGTGACTTCTTTCCTCCTTGATTCGTCTCATACACATACACACACTCACACATACACATGTTTGTGACACAGGATATATATATATATATATATATATATATATATATATATATATATATATATATATATATATATATATATAATATATCAGACAAAATATCACTCCCTTTTGTCGCAATCGTTGACTACATTCAACATCCCCCCCCCACCCATTCACTCACACAAAACCACACCCTGGCTCCCCTAAAACTATAAATAAACCACCTAAAGACAGTGATTAACGGGGATAATAATTATCGCCTAATGTGTTAAGGGTAATGGCTCTGTGTGTTCACTTGACCGTGTGTGTGAGCTGACCCCCCCCCCCCCCCCACACACACACACAAACACGCCGTTATGGTGTAAAAACCATAGCAACGGGAAGCCATACTTGAAGCGTTGGATGACGGACGAGAAACTGTGAGCAAACTAACTTGAGTGTGACATGTTCCACTGTTGACTTGTTAGTCTTAGAGGTTTTGTTGAACTAGGGAATGACGTCAGCTGGATCTGACACTGTCGCGAAAGGCACTTGAGAAGTTTGGTCTTAGATAAGATCTATGGACGGTGTTAGCATAGCACCTACAGGGTTTGGTCAAATCTAGTAGGTCTAGGTGGTGACTGGCGACCCTGGGCCAACAACTACGTCTACCTGTATAGGGGTTGATCTCCGTAGGCCTATACTCGCGTGCAACTGTCCGCCCGTATACTTGTTGTCCTTATCACCATGGCTACGCCGTGAACTCTATGGCTTTGTTATAGAGTTGTCGGACTTGATCCGCCATTACTGGACAATGGGGGTTACGTCACGGTTTTTGTTTACACGGCTTGAAACGTCATGTTTGGCCGTCCCGCATGGCGTCACATTGTCATGTGGGGGGTCGGGGTTACCCGATAATGCCACTTGGTGATGCAACAAGTGACCAAGACAAAAATTTGTGTTAGTGCTGTTGTATTGCTTGACAACAAAATCGATTTGAGTTTGACTTTGATCTTTTTACATTTTTTTTAAAGTCTGTGGCGGCACTAGAGTCACACTGATCTATTGTTGGCTTTACTGTTATCTCCCTACTACGGCATTGCGCCATACTGATCTATTGCTGGCTTTACTATTATCTCGCTAATACAGGATTGCGCCATACTGATCTATTGATGGCTTTACTATTATCTCGCTACTACGGCATAGTGCCATACTCAGCCATACTGATCTATCTTAGACACACGTAACTAGAAATTGTAAACGCTCACTCCCCCCCCTCCCCTTTATTGTGTGCATTGTTTCCATTATGTATCTCTGTATGCATTGTTTCCATTATGTATCTCCAGTACTTCGGTGCCATGCCATTATTTTAGAAACCCTTCTCTCTCTTTCTTCCTGCAAATATTTTCATAGATTAGACCTCAAGGTAACTTAGTTGTTTCCGGTGTTTTGAATGTGTTGCTATATGGTGCAACCTTTCAACAAAAAACAGTTTACAGCGTCATGTCTTGCTCTTGTCCCTACTGTCGTCCCCCCCCCCCCCTGTCCAAACTCAAACAGTTTTTAGCCATGTAAACACAGTACTCCCCCTGCCCTTGACGCAGTGACTTAGAGTGTAGAGAGTTAATCCCCCCTGAAGTCGGGGTGTCCACACCAAACCTTCACTTCTCATTGACTTTCTAATGGCGGCCACACAGACGATATTTGCCGCCCAGCTCAGCAAACAACAAAGGGAGATTACACACAATTCACAACAACAGCTTTCTCCTCAGACTAGAGTTGTCTGCCCATGGCTTACAGCAATGTTGAAACATTTCAACTCCCCCACAGTATTATTTATATTTCTCACAGTCTGCTATGTTGGATGTCCCTTTGTTTACTATCTATGGATATCTTGTCACAATAATGTATTTTGATCAAATAGAATTATGGTTTTAAATAACAGTGTTGGTGCTAAACTTTCTGTGTGTAGTAGTTCCATTGTGGTCAGTTGGTTATACACTGTGTATGGTAATGGTTGTATTTTTTTATTCACCTTTTCACATGTGCAGTGTCCTTTTGACATGCATTGACTTTTTGTCATGCATTAAAGTTTGAAGCTCTTCAGCTTTTTTTAAAGTAAACTTAAGCAGATGAAAGGGGTTGGGAATGTTGAATTAATTAAATCTAAGGATGATTTGGTTGTGTTTTTAATGTCCCTAGTCCATATCACAATAAGAGAGAGGTATTTGATATAGATAAGCACATGGAGATCAGTTTTATACATGTTTTGTGTGTTTAGCCATTTTATTGTGGTGCCAAGTTTGCTTGTGAGAAGTTTCTGATAAAATATGTCTTCCATATAGTGTAAAACCTGAAGAAAATGTCTGGATTTTACTGGTGTATGTTGATGGATATTGACTTACAAAAAACTACATTGATTTCTACGATGATCTGATATATGTTAGACAAGGGGAACCACCCTTATTCCCCTGAAATGGCAGAGTAACTGTCCTTGAAGTACTGAGTGGTTGTAGTACAGCCTGACAAAAGTTGTGATAATGGCAAGTCCTGTCAGTGACACAGTGGCTGCTGTAGTGTCAGGGACTGACCCATCTGGTGCTAGAGATGTTCCAGACATCAATGTTGAGATGGTGGCTGGTGGCGATGGTGAGGATGATGTGGGGGATGGTGGGCCACACAACAGGTCCCATGAGAGCATCTCCAGCCGGAGGACTATCATAGAGGCTGACGACTTTGCCAGCTTCCTGGCCCAGGATGACGACGATGACATGGATGACTTTAAGGATGAGGATGTGGATTATGAGGTGACGGACGACGGGGTTCTGAACATGGATCTGCTGACCCGCGCTGGGGAAAACCCGTACATGCTGGACTTCACAGCGGGGATGATGGGGGACAGCGAGGTGGAGGGGGAGGAGGATGATGATACCCTGAGTGACAACGACGACGGCAGTCTAGAGAACGGGCAGACAAAGTCCACCCCCAGGCAGCACTTTGACCCCGAGCGAGGGCCCAACCCTTATTACAAACAAACCAGGTCGTGGGTCAAGCATGCGCGGACTGTCCACCAGAGGTCTGGCACCAAAAATGAGGAGTCAATGTCAGACTCTGAAGAGTTTGACTCCCCTCCTCGTAATTTAAGAGAGGAAATTAACAATAACGTTGGCAAGTTTTTCCCCATTGGTGGACCCCTGGGTTCCAGTTTAATAAACTCTTCCAGTGATGAGGAACTGTCCCCAGGTGGGCCGTTGACCCCTCGGACAGGCACCGGCATACCTGGCCTGTCCAAATTTTTTATCCCCACTACTGATGAGCTCCAGTTTAAAATCCCCCCGGCTCCGTCGCCAACGTTCCCCAAGAGTCAGTTCTACAGATCTGGTCCGCAGCCACGCCCAACCTCGCCTGTAAGCTTCACCCCCCAGACCCTGCCTTCAGCCTTCACACCCCCCTCACAGAGCAGCCCTAAACAACTCAGGAAGTCACTGCCACAAAACCACGACGCTGACAACTTCACCAGACACCCCAACAGTACAGCCGCGCCCAGCCAGCGTCGCTACTCCTACTCTGACTCTCAGGGCGCCACCCACCAGCGTAACTTGTACAACCAGCCTGCCCCACAGGACAATGGTGTGCCACAGTACTCGCTGCATACAGCAAACCACAGCTCCCGTCTGTCATCCAGCATGGAGAATCTGACACCCAGCGTCATGCAGCAGCAGGAGGAGTATCAGCTGCAGGATGACGCACTGCATGATCCCACTGACCACATGCAGAGGGTCAACAGTCTACCTAACATGGGCAACTTTTTAACTGGGCTCTGTAAAAACTGTGGCTTCTCTAGGCAGGATTACCTCTTTAAAATACAGTAAGTACAGTCTGCCTAACATGGGCAACTTTTTAACTGGGCTGTGTAAAAACTGTGGCTTCTCTAGGCAGGATTACCTCTTTAAAATACAGTAAGTACAGTCTGCCTAACATGGGCAACTTTTTAACTGGGCTGTGTAAAAACTGTGGCTTCTCTAGGCAGGATTACCTCTTTAAAATACAGTAAGTACAGTCTGCCTAACATGGGCAACTTTTTAACTGGGCTCTGTAAAAACTGTGGCTTCTCTAGGCAGGATTACCTCTTTAAAATACAGTAAGTACAGTCTGCCTAACATGGGCAACTTTTTAACTGGGCTGTGTAAAAACTGTGGCTTCTCTAGGCAGGATTACCTCTTTAAAATACAGTAAGTAGTGCAGGGGGGATCACATGTAATACAGTAAGTACAACAGGGGAGATTACCTCTAATAAAGTAAGTACTGCAGGGGAGATTACCTCTTTAAAATACAGTAAGTAAACAGGGGACATAATTCTTTAGAATACAGTCAGTACTGCAAGGGGAGATTACCTCTTTAAAATACAGTAAGTACATGAGTATATAAATAATATTAGAATAGCCTTTTAAAATCAGTTAAAGGGAGTCTTAACTGTTATAGAAATGCAGTTTATTATCCTGAACTATTTAAAATACATATTATATAGTTCATAATATTAACTTGAACAGTGACTGTTGCTACTTATATTTATATAGATCTTATTATTTAACTATTAATTAAGCTCATAACTGTATTTTGAAACTATGTATATGTTGATCATTACACTTTGAGCTGTCTCCACAGTAATGAGGTAATCAATATTACTAATTAATAGGGTAATTCCAGAGCCTGTTTTTAAATATATTTAACATGATTCCATCAGCCTGTCACAAAACACATCAAGGTTTAGTAAGTTTAACTGAAATGTTCCACTCTAAACCTGATAGAGACCTTATGTAAGAAGTTTATTTTGTTTCCTTCAGACTACTACAGACGCAGCTAGAGAAGACAGAGAAGGAGATGAAGAAGAAAGAGAAGCAGTGGATGGCTGATATAGGGGAGCTAAAGAAAGAGAATGACAGACAGCAAAAGATAATTAGTCAGGTACTGCGGCTGTTGGGGATGGGGATGTGTGATGTTGTACTGTCATGGTTAGCTGTTGTTGTAGACTTTTTATTGTTTCATGTTGGGGGTGGTGATGTGTGATGTTGTACCGTCATGGTTAGCTGTTGTTGTAGACTTTTTATTGTTTATTGTGCTAGCAGATAGATGGGTAGGTTACAATTGGTTGATATCACATACCAATCAAGCATTCATTAACATTTTTATCTCAGCACATAGTAAACAGCTGTTCTTGTTTGAAGCGATTATTTACTAATAAATCATTTAGTCACATAGTCAGTAAAACAGGGAATTTGTGTAAACAATTGCTTATGTCATAAGTGAGTAAATCTGATACTATGTTACCAGAGGTGTTCTTTGCAATGTTGGAAGTGGGGGGGGGTGGTTAATATTCTATAAAGAAATATAAAAGATCATCATAATTTAGCTTATTTTGATTAAAATATAACCTGGGCTAGCCTCTGTCTACCAAATTAATGTCCCATACCCCACACATCTGACTTTAACCACACCTGTTTTCAGCTGAGGCGCCGAAATAATGTAGGTAAACACTAATTCCAGAGCTAGCTTTTTGAAACACATTAACAGAGAAATAACACGGTCACTCTAGAGCAATGACTGCATGGTTAACCCTGCCTGATGGGTGTGTCTGATGGATGTTCTGGCATCATGCATGTCTGGTCTGTCATCTGGTCTGTTGTCTGGTCCTGTTGTCTGGTCCTGTTGTCTGTCGTCTGGTATGTTGTCTGGTCCTGTTAGTTATTCCTTTTGTTCCAATGTCTGGTCCTTAAGCCTTGCAGAGTCCCATTGTTTGGTCATTTAGTCCTGTTATCATTTTGTGTAGTTGTTAGGTCCTATTTGTCCTTTGGTATGGTCTTTTAGTCCTGATGTATTGTCCTGTTGAATGGATATGTTATTTAGTCCTGACGTAGTGTCCTGTCTAAAGGAAAGTTATTTAGTCCTGATGTCCTTTAGTATAGTCATTTAGTCCGATGTATAGCCCCACGGCCCTTGCAGTATAGTCCTATAATGTGGTACTAATGTTATACAGTATTGTTGTACTTTTATGGTGTGTTGCACAGTGGAATGCCAGTTTGTCAGTGCACATGTTTGTCATGTAATAGTAATAAAAAAAAAAACATTAAGAATAACACAAAATATCAATATCTGTCAGCAAAAAATATATATATGAAAACTCAATATAAATTTGAAAGCGTTTGGAAAAAGATTTTAAAAAATAATTACAGGTAAAGTATATTATACTTTTTTATTTTTTAAACCTAGTTGAAACCGATGTTTAAGTAAGATTTTATTTAATTTTTTTATTGCTTTGCTCATCACAGTTTAAGCTAAACTATGTTCTTTAAAACTACATGCAAAACAATGTTTAAGATTTTTAAATAATCTGTTTTTTAATGCACTAAAGGGAAAAAAAAATAATTTCGGCCTTTTATTTTGACTAGATGTTTCATGTATATAAAGCTTGTTAAAAAATTAATCTAATTCGTAGTCTATATTTTATTTTAATTAAATTATGTGAACTTATTTTGTCAATATTAAATCTTTAAGGTGTTTAAACAAATTTGTGAAAATCCCTTTGCCTGTTTTGTGTGAAAACCATGTGATTTGTGTTGTGTGAAAAAAAGTGTTGCATGTGATTTATGTTGTGTAAAAAAAGTGTTGCATGTGATTTATGTTGTGTGAAAAAAGTGTTGCATGAGATTTATGTTGTGTGAAAAAAGTGTTGCATGTGTTTTATGTGTGAGTACCCAGCATGTGTGACTGAGTGAGATAGTGCCATGCACACAAATGTCATGATCCACCCACACTAACAAGCTACAGCATGCCATGGTCCAGAGCCCACAATTTGTGCTGCATGTGTGGTCAGCTTGTGGTCAGTTTAGCTACACATTTCAAAAAACCAAAGGCTGCATCTGATATTAAGACTTGTGTGTGATTTACATTGCTTATTCAGATTGGAAGTGTTTTTTGGCTACATTTATGTGGGTGGAAAATTTAAAATGTGAAGATTTGTTTTTAAAAAAATGATATTAGGGACTGTGTAAGATCTTGTATTTGTTGTAGACCTTGAGTTTCTAATTAATTAATTACCAACCAAATTAAGTTTATTTCATATTTGGTTTCCATACAAAAAATAAAACTTCGATTAGAGTTATTTCCCTTTACTATTTTTTTAATATCCTTAACAATGAAAATCAGCTGTTTTCACAAGTTGTTTCAGTATTGAATGAAAACAGATGTCATTTTTTATCACTGATTTGTTCCTATTAATTTTGATTTGTGTTTTATAGAGTTTAAACCTGGGACCGGAGGCTAGAATAGAGGCCACCATGCAGCATGAGATTACAAGACTGACATCTGAAAACCTGGTCAGTGAATTCTTTTTTTCATCATCTCAAATGTTGTTCACACTTCATGTTTTCATAGTTTGGGTCGCACTCAAAGAACTTACTTATACAAGAGTGCTGATAATGTTGTCATACACTTTTTTCTATGTAGTGATGTAAATCTGTAAGTTTGTGTATCAGATGTGGAAGTTACATAGTGTATGAGTCTATAAAAAATTGTGTTAACTGTTTGAGTCAAACTGTTTGATCTTGTATTGCCTAGGACCTGCGTGAATCTATAGACAAGCAGACAGACCAGATCAGGAAACTGAAGAAAATGCTCAAAGTTTACGCCAAGAAATTGAAAGATGGAGAAGGTAGGTGGATAATGGTTTAAGAAATATTTTTTTTCTTGACCCTGAAAGTTGCAGTAGAACATGTGTTGACTTGTTGGCCTCATAAAAATGTTTTTCTGCAAGTATTTTTATCCTCTAGGTGACCTAACCTTAAATGTAATCCGATATTTAAAGAAAAAAACAACCCAAAAGAAAACTGTTGCTTTGCTTGGTATTTAACCAGAACCAAAATATTTTATTAGTTGATAAAATTGTTGTTATACACCTATGATTAGTAATAGAAAATTCTAATTATTGCTGTGCTTGTGGGCTATGTCAGCACAGGTGCTATTAGTCTTTGATGCTTGAATGTGTATTTTCTTGGAAATAAAGCACTTGGTTGATTATTTTCTATATGAAAGGCCCTATATTTTATTATCAGTATACATCTTAGCTCTCTAGTACCACAAATGCACTTAGATTATTTTATGTTGATTACACTAAATGAATGAACAAGTGCACTGTGTAGCTGAGCTGTCCATAGGACACTTGACCTAACTGACCTTTCTCTCCCCCCCCCCCCTGCTGCCCATAAGGATGGCCAGACAAATGGAACTGGGTCAGACCATCCATGTCTGTCAACTCTGAACTGGGTATCTTCCTCTTTGGTGTCTGTCTAGTAGAATAGGGTTAACTGTTGTCTGTCTGTTAAAGTAGAGGCCTGTTTGCTTTTAAATTCACTGTTTAGCAGAATTCTATATATGGTGTCACATAGCATTGCAACATGTTGCTTTCACACAATCGTTAGACTAGTTTACTGTAATCCTACCTGTACACAGTACTTCCACTGCAGTACATAGCTCTACAGCATCTATATTACAGTGCCAGAATACACAGAACATTATTACAATTCTCAAGCTGCATGCAGTGATAAAAGTCAGGTGCATTGTTATCACATGCAGCATAGAGAATGCGATGGCGTGGCCTCCCGGTAGAAATCTAGACTGCTAACCAGATAGTCTTGTTTGAATCCAACCAGCTATGATGGGTACCTAACTCATGTTAGGGAAAGTAAAGGTAACTGGGCATAGTGTTGGCCACATTATTCCTCTGTATGCCGAGGTCACAGAAACAGGTGAACTCTACTTCCCTTGCCCCATGGACTGTCAGGTTCAAAATGGGAATTTATACAGTATTGAAAGATTTATTATTTGTAAAATATATCTGTCATTAAATAAGACTTTCAGAACACCAAGCACTCAAAATGAAGATACACACTAGCTTTTTTCCCCTTTAAGGAAACATTGTTTATGAGCACACACATTCATGTTTTATTCAAACTTGCTGTTGTTATTCAAGTGTTGTTTTTGGGTTTGTTTTTTTTCTTTTGTTTTCTTTTTCATCTGATCTCACTGTTAGGTAGATGGATGTCCTAATGAATTAAGAACAAATGAATTCATGCCATTGTTGTGTATAAATGTTGCATCTGTGTCTTTTGTCATTTGCTCTGTCTAAATTGAAATATATATTCCCATCTTACTTACGTAGCCTTGGTTAAAAGTTTGATTAAAGTAAACTTTAAACACATTGTTGTATTGACTGACAATTTTTGTCTTTGATCACATGACATGGCTGCAGTTTTTGGTGTAGAAATGATCAGGTGTTAAATGTCATAAACACTTTAGCCATGATCACTACTTACTTAATTATTTCATATGAAGTAATGTTCTTGGTTCTTTCCCTTGGTTTACTAGATCTTATTTTTCCTATCTGTAGTAACAATATGCATGAGTAGTTTTGAATAATAATTTTCTAGATTTTAGAGTCCGATTTTTAAAATGAATGAACTGCTTTTTTTTTTTAAAAATAAATAAAAGATCAATTGTTTTACAAAAATGAATGTATTTATGTAGATATCACTTTGGTGTATTTATTAAGGTGTTGTGTGGATCCAATGTCTGATGGTGTTTTGTTTATTTACCAGCGGCTGAGATTGCAGCGGAGCTGGAGAACGAGGAGAATACCACATCCACGGATACCATGGCAACCGTCATCCACAGGGAGAGGTCTTACATGGGCATGTTGGAGTACAAGAAGGAGGATGAGAGCGCTCTCATCAAAAACCTGGTGCTAGGTGAGTTGACTGACCACTGGTCAGCTGTATGGCTGGGTGAGTTCACTGGTCAGCTGTATGGCTGGGTGAGTTCACTGGTCAGCTGTATGGCTGGGTGAGTTCACTGGTCAGCTGTATGGCTGGGTGAGTTCACTGACCACTGGTCAGCTGTATGGCTGGGTGAGTTCACTGGTCAGCTGTATGGCTGGGTGAGTTCACTGAGCACTGGTCAGCTGTATGGCTGGGTGAGTTCACTGGTCAGCTGTATGGCTGGGTGAGTTCACTGGTCAGCTGTATGGCTGGGTGAGTTGACTGGTCAGCTGTATGGCTGGGTGAGTTCACTGGTCAGCTGTATGGCTGGGTGAGTTGTATGGCTGGGTGAGTTGACTGGTCAGCTGTATGGCTGGGTGAGTTGTATGGCTGGGTGAGTTGACTGGTCAGCTGTATGGCTGGGTGAGTTGACTGGTCAGCTGTATGGCTGGGTGAGTTGACTGGTCAGCTGTATGGCTGGGTGAGTTGACTGGTCAGCTGTATGGCTGGGTGAGTTCACTGGTCAGCTGTATGGCTGGGTGAGTTCACTGGTCAGCTGTATGGCTGGGTGAGTTCACTGGTCAGCTGTATGGCTGGGTGAGTTCACTGGTCAGCTGTATGGCTGGGTGAGTTCACTGGTCAGCTGTATGGCTGGGTGAGTTCACTGGTCAGCTGTATGGCTGGGTGAGTTGACTGGTTCTCTGTATGCCTGGGTGAGTTGACTGACCACTGGTCAGCTGTATGGCTGGGTGAGTTCACTGGTCAGCTGTATGGCTGGGTGAGTTCACTGGTCAGCTGTATGGCTGGGTGAGTTCACTGACCACTGGTCAGCTGTATGGCTGGGTGAATTCACTGGTCAGCTGTATGGCTGGGTGAGTTCACTGTCCACTGGTCAGCTGTATGGCTGGGTGAGTTGACTGGTCAGCTGTATGGCTGGGTGAGTTCACTGGTCAGCTGTATGGCTGGGTGAGTTCACTGGTCAGCTGTATGGCTGGGTGAGTTCACTGGTCAGCTGTATGGCTGGGTGAGTTCACTGGTCAGCTGTATGGCTGGGTGAGTTCACTGGTCAGCTGTATGGCTGGGTGAGTTCACTGACCACTGGTCAGCTGTATGGCTGGGTGAGTTCACTGGTCAGCTGTATGGCTGGGTGAGTTCACTGGTCAGCTGTATGGCTGGGTGAGTTCACTGGTCAGCTGTATGGCTGGGTGAGTTCACTGGTCAGCTGTATGGCTGGGTGAGTTCACTGGTCAGCTGTATGGCTGGGTGAGTTCACTGGTCAGCTGTATGGCTGGGTGAGTTGACTTGTCAGCTGTATGGCTGGGTGAGTTCACTGACCACTGGTCAGCTGTATGGCTGGGTGAGTTGACTGGTCAGCTGTATGGCTGGGTGAGTTCACTGGTCAGCTGTATGGCTGGGTGAGTTCACTGGTCAGCTGTATGGCTGGGTGAGTTCACTGGTCAGCTGTATGGCTGGGTGAGTTCACTGGTCAGCTGTATGGCTGGGTGAGTTCACTGGTCAGCTGTATGGCTGGGTGAGTTCACTGACCACTGGTCAGCTGTATGGCTGGGTGAGTTCACTGGTCAGCTGTATGGCTGGGTGAGTTCAATGACCTCAGGTCGAATAGGTGCTTTTTAGTTACCTTGACTCACAATTCTCAGACATTCATTGTCATTTGTATGCTCACATTATTTAAGAAGTATCCTTTGTTCAATATTTCCATCATTTTAATCCTCAGACCTGAAGCCCAAGGTGGCCTCAGGCCAAATCCCAGGCCTCCCTGCATATGTTTTATTTATGTGTGTCAGACACACAGACTACATCAATGATGATGAAAAAGTCAAATCTTTACTCACATCCTCCATAAATGGCATTAAAAAAGTGGTCAAGGTAGGTAACTCTAGTTCAGGGGAAGTAACAAAGACATTTTGGTCAGATTTCAAGTCGATTTGAATTATTGTCTGACATGAGCCTGACTGTCAAAATGAACCTTACCTTTTAACTTCTAGAATATATGGCATTTCACACTCCCCTATTCATAAGGGAAGGGGCACTATTCTTAAAAAAATTGTTTTAGTACAAGGTGGGCCTTGATAAAAATTCAAAATATAGAAAACAGTATCAACAAACATACTTTTCTAAAAGACTTTTGGGCAACTCAGTTAAATTATTACTATGTTACTCTCTGACACAGGGGTCAGCAACCTTTTGGTATGGAAGAGCCAAAAGTTAAAATTTACCAAATATCCCAGTTTGTAAAGTGCCACTAACATTTTTATGTCAATATTATGGTATTTGATTATGATTTTATATATATATATATATATATATATATATATATATATATATATATATATATATATATATATATATATATATATATATATATATCTTTAAATAATAAATAATATTTATTCAAATAAAAACATACACATGTTTTGCAGAAAAAGTATTAAAGTATTTTATCTAGCTCTGTTAGAATAATAAAATCAGTAATCAAAGTATGTAACTTTAATTATTGAATACTATTTACAACAGTTTCGCCTTGAATGAAAGTTTGTTTAAACCTGGATCATAACATGTTTTCAGTTTCAAACACTCCTCTAGATTTTTATTTGTTAGTTAGCTTCTATACTTTGTATTTTATTCATGCAAGAAACCGCTTGCTCGTCAGCACTCCAAATTCTTCACCTTACTATAGCATCCTGCAAGACTATTCCATGCTTCACATAGTAGGGCCTCAACTCGCGGCATTTCTTTTAACTGTCCAGTTGTACAGTGAAACAAATGTTTGGTTACCATTTGAAGCGAACCAGCTACAATTCCAAATAGCTCAAAGTTAATCTCATTTGTTTTTGTGTTGAGAGAATCTACTGCATTTCTTTTGAATTTCTCAAATCTCTCAGTGAACTCATCCTTCATTTTGTTTATAGTAATGATGAAGTAATTCTAAATAAAGTAATTAACCGTTCTCCGTTTCTTCAACAAAATGTAGTCATTTTTTTTTTTTTCGAAACAAACTTCTTCAAGCAAGGCATATGCTGGGTTTTCCTTTCTTTGCAGTTTTACATTTAGCTCGTTTAGTTTCTTTGTGATAACCCCCTATGAAGTCGAATGTTTCAATTTGGGATAGACAAGTTAATAGAAAGTACATTGAACTAGGGAGTAGTTAATATTCTAATAGAATAGCGAGTGCTTATTGTTTATGTTTATTATTGTATCGTAAATTGCCGAGTATTGCAGAACAATATTTTTATGAGTTTTGAAAATAAAATAATTATTAATATTTGTGAATGGAGTTGAAGAGCCGCATCTCAACACCAAAAGAGTGGCATGGGGCTCGCGAGCCACAGGTTGTCGACCCCCGCTCTAACATGTCTTTTAAAAAAACATCATCCTTATGGCCATAGAAACAACACAAGATACTTATTTCTTTAATTCAGTTAACATTCTTATTTGCTCTGATAAAAATCATTAGTTTCTTAGACTAACCCAACCCAAAATGAAGGCCTAACATTTAATACATTAAAAACATTTACACTCTAAGCAAAAAAAAAATTGACCATAATTCTGATTGGTTCCAAATCTGAAACTTTTTTGATAGCGGCTGTACTATTTGTTATTCCGCATCACGCTTAAAACTTTTAGAAAAAAAAATCGTATGAAATAAACTTCTGTCCAAAAATTCTAAAAATGTTTGTCTATAACTATAAATAGTAGCTACATATGCATCAATGATGAGAGGAAATATTCATGTTGTTTATTTCCTATGTAGTTGGCAGAAAGAAGCACATCTTTCTACCACCTTATTGTTTCATAAATTAATTATGAATTTCTCTACTATTCTTTATATTCTGCTAACTAAAAACCTATATATTCCATTCTAGCTAAATCCCCAATCAACAGTAAATTTTAACAAGATTGATAAAAATTTCTCATAAAACCAACCCATCTGTAAATTTGATTGTAAAAAATACTGAAATTTTTTTTTTAAATCAGAAAGCAGTAGAGTCTGGCAATATCAGGGGCCAAATGTGTAATTTTTATTCAACTTGGGTTTTCTGTTGTTTCTTCTATGTTATATTTAGTCGTCCAGTGTTTCCATCTCTAAGACCCAGGGGCGTAGCGAGGGGGGGCGGGGGGTGCGGACCGCACCGGGTGACACCATTTAGGAGGGTGACACCAAGGCAAAAAAATAGCAAAATATATAGAGAAAAACTTGAGGGGGGTGCAAATCGAAAGTTTGAGGGGGGGGGGGGTGCAAAAGCGAAAAATTGAAAGTTTGTCCCCGGGAAGGGTCGCTACGCCTCTGGGGGGTGACACCATTAAGTGCCGCACCGGGTGACACCCGACCTTGCTAAGCCACTGCTAAGACCATCTTGTTGTAGTCATACAATGTACTGACCACTGTACTGACCAGTGCACTGACCAATACACTGACCACGGCACTGACCAATGTACTGACTAATGTACTGACCACAGCACTGACCAATGTACTGACCACTCTGCTGACCAATGCACTGACCAATGTTTCCCTCTCTACCAGAGACACAGTGATGACTTGGAGAGGATAACTCTATGGCTGGCCAACACATGCAGGTTGCTACACACACTCAAGCAGTACAGTGGGGAGAAGGTGAGTTACACACACTCAAGCAGTACAGTGGGGAGAAGGTGAGTTACATGCCACCAGAGTTGGTGCTCACAGCCACACACATAGCACTGTACACTGCTGCCTCCATCACACACATTTGCTACATAATAGCATTTTTACCATGGTATCCAGTGTGATACCGCTCATGCTAGCTGTGAATTAGATATCATGATTGTCCCACTACCTGTGAATTAGATATCATGATTGTGCAACTACCTTTGAATTAGATATCATGATTGTGCAACTACCTTTGAATTAGATATCATGATTGTGCCAATAGCTGTGAATTAGATAACATGACTGTGCCAATAGCTGTGAATTAGATAACATGACTGTGCCACTACCTATGAACTTAGATGACATGACTGTGCCACTACTTGTTTGACCCATCATGAATCCTTGCTTGGTTGTGTTTCAGCAATTCCAGACAGAGAACACCCCCAAGCAGAATGAGCAGAGCCTGAGGAACTTTGACCTCTCTGAGTACAGGCAGGTCTTCTCTGACCTGGCAGTCTGGAACTATCAGGCTCTGATGAAGTTGATGGAGGAGCTTATACAGCCCAGTATAGGTAGGTTCTACTTCACCTGCACACTGTAGGTAGGATCTACTTCACCTGCACACTGTAGGTAGCTTATACAGCCCAGTATAGGTAGGTACTACTTCACCTGCACACTGTAGGTAGGTTCTACTTCACCTGCACACTGTATGTAGCTTATACAGCCCAGCATAGGTAGGTTCTACTTCACCTGCACAGTGTAGGTAGGTTCTACTTCACCTGCACAGTGTAGGTAGGTTCTACTTCACCTGCACAGTCTAGGTAGGTTCTACTTCACCTGCACACTGTAGGTAGATTCTACTTCACCTGCACACTGTAGGTAGCTTATACAGCCCAGCATAGGTAGGTTCTACTTCACCTGCACAGTGTAGGTAGATTCTACTTCACCTGCACAGTCTAGGTAGCTTATACAGCCCAGCATAGGTAGGTTCTACTTCACCTGCACAGTGTAGGTAGGTTCTACTTCACCTGCACAGTGTAGGTAGCTTATACAGCCCAGTATAGGTAGGTTCTACTTCACCTGCACACTGTAGGTAGATTCTACTTCACCTGCACACTGTAGGTAGGTTCTACTTCACCTGCACAGTCTAGGTAGATTCTACTTCACCTGCACAGTATAGGTAGGTTCTACTTCACCTGCACAGTATAGGTAGGTTCTACTTCAACTGCACAGTATAGGTAGGGTCTAGAGTTTACCGTACCAGCATAGGTAAGTTATGTGCAGGACATATATACCCCCCCTCAGTTGCTCTGTCAGTTACCCCCCCCCCACCCCCCCAGAAGGTTTTGTTCTTTAGGGTTAGCTTTAAAATATAGGGTTGGAGGCTTTTTTAGTTTGGGAGAGGGTGGTAATTACCCGAGGGGGCAATTGATGGGGGAAGGAGGTAATGTCCTAGCCCCGTTGGTTACACTTTACCTACCCAGTATAGGTTATATTTCACCAGACCTGCGTAGCTAGGTTCTACTTTACCTACCCAATATAGGTTATATTTCACCAGACCTGCGTAGCTAGGTTCTACTTTACCTACCCAGTATAGGTTATATTTCACCAGACCTGCGTAGCTAGGTTCTACTTTACCTACCCAATATAGGTTATATTTCACCAGACCTGCGTAGCTAGGTTCTACTTTACCTACCCAGTATAGGTTATATTTCACCAGACCTGCGTAGCTAGGTTCTACTTCACCTACCCAGTATTGATATATTTCACCAGACCTGCGTAGCTAGGTTCTACTTTACCTACCCAGTATTGATATATTTCACCAGACCTGCGTAGCTAGGTTCTACTTTACCTACCCAGTATAGGTATATTTCACCAGACCTGTGTAGCTAGGTTCTACTTCACCAAACATTGTGTAATTGTATTATTTAAAAATGTGTGCTTATTGTGTGATTGTCTCCCCTGACAGTGCCAGCCATCCTGGAACATGAAGCCATAGCAGGGCTGACGGCCAGTAAACCTTCTGGTCTCAGGGGGAGGTCATCCAGCAATGCCAGAGAGATGGATGATGGGAAGGATTCTCAACACGCACTTGATGCCCTCATGAGAACAGTCAGTTTTTTGGTTGAATTGTTTCATGTAACTAATAATGACCATGTTTTTGTGGTCCAATTTGTCATTCAGTTTTGGACCATTTGAGTGTTTTAAGTCCAAATGTGCACATTAGTGTATCATCAAGATATAGAATTGAATTTTCAATTTAACACTTTTTAATTTAGTTAAAAGAAATTTAGTTCAAGATTATTATTTTTTTAATGCTGTCACCAAAATTCAGTAAAGTAGAAAATAAATGTTTAAAATTTGAACTTTCAAACAGCAACATTGGTTTATTTTGTTTTCAGTTAAACAGCTACATGAGGATAGTGAAGCAGCATGCTGTGGATCCTGAATTGGTCAAACAGATATTTAGACAAGTAAGTACTGACTGTGTGATAGAGACTCATTGTGTACAGCTTTATATTTTAAATCTGTTGATCTTCATTAGATGTCGCACAACTCACTGTTTCAGTCCCACACAAGGGATTTAACCCCCCCCCCCCCCCATTGTTTATCTCCCCAGCTCTTCTACTTCCTGTGTGCTGGTGCACTCAATAACCTGCTGCTGAGGAAGGACATGTGCAACTGGTCAAAGGGCATGCAGATCAGGTGGGCTCATACACTTGTTGCGACGACATTACTGTTCTAAAAAATTGTATAATTAGAAAAGTGTTCAGTTCATTCCTTTCTTGCATATGACGAATATTTCTCTTCATGATATTCTAGTCAAATAACCTGATGACAAATATATCTTGTCATTACTTCAGATGTATTACATTGTATTGTTTTGTATTGATGATTTACACCTTTGAATTAACATTTCACATCTACTACAACAATATAATGTTTTAAAGATTATAATGCTGAAAATTTTTTTGCTATGTTGTAGACTGTTTAGTTTGTCAGTTTAGCATTAAATTTTTGTTATTGATGCAAAAAGATTGCACTAGTGGCAGAAAAGAAATAATACCATTGAACAAAGAGAGCTTGAGTTCTTTGATACTCTGTGATACCATTTATCTTTTTACTTAATGATGTTAGCAATGCAAACACTAACTGGTGATTTTTCTATGTGGCGTTAAATCAGATAATAGCCATCTGTTACAGTCTCCTTGTTCCCACCACCTTGAAACAACTGCTTCTCTCCCCTAGATTCGACTACCTTCTCCCCTTGATCCAACCACCTTCTATCCCCTTGATCCAACCACCTTCTATCCCCTTGATCCAACTACCTTCCCTCCCCTTGATCCAACTACCTTCCCTCCCCTTGATCCAACTACCTTCCCTCCCCTTGATCCAACTACCTTCCCTCCCCTTGATCCAACTACCTTCCCTCCCCTTGATCCAACTACCTTCCCTCCCCTTGATCCAACTACCTTCTATCCCCTTGATCCAACTACCTTCCCTCCCCTTGATCCAACCACCTTCTATCCCCTTGATCCAACTACCTTCCCTCCCCTTGATCCAACTACCTTCCCTCCCCTTGATCCAACTACCTTCCCTCCCCTTGATCCAACCACCTTCTATCCCCTTGATCCAACTACCTTCTCTCCCCTTGATCCAACTACCTTCTCTCCCCTTGATCCAACTACCTTCTCTCCCCATTATCCAACTACCTTCTCTCCCCTTGATCCAACTACCTTCTCTCCCCTTGATCCAACCATCTTCTATCCCCTTGATCCAACTACCTTCCCTCCCCTTGATCCAACTACCTTCCCTCCCCTTGATCCAACTACCTTCCCTCCCCTTGATCCAACTACCTTCCCTCCCCTTGATCCAACTACCTTCCCTCCCCTTGATCCAACTACCTCATCTCCCCTTGATCCAACTACCTCATCTCACCTTGATCCAACCACCTTCTCCCCCCTTGATCCAACTACCTTCTCCCCCCTTGATCCAACTACCTCATCTCCCCTTGATCCAACCACCTTCTCTCCCCTTGATCCAACCACCTTCTCTCCCCATTATCCAACCACCTTCTCTCCCCATTATCCAACCACCTTCTCTCCCCTTGATCCAACCACCTTCTCTCCCCTCCTACAGGTACAACCTGAGCCACCTGGAGCAGTGGCTGCGAGACAACAACCTGCATGAGTTTGGTGCGCTGGGTGCCCTTGACCCCATCATCCAGGCCTCTCAACTGCTGCAGGCCAGGAAAACAGATTCCGATGTGGACAGTGTCTGTGATATGTGTTCTAAGCTCACCAACGCCCAGGTAAAGATTTTTAAAAGACACAGCAAACAAGCATCCCATGGTTCTCAGCTTAGTTAAAAATTGTTGATAATAATAGTATTAATCTTCAGGAGTAATTTTTATCAAGTAAATCTATTTAACTAGCTATCTATTCTTTATTAGAATTTTAAACTTCTCACTTTATTTTTTCAGATTGTAAAAAATATTGAACATTTAATATTTATATTTCCAGATTGTCAAAATCTTGAACATCTACACCCCAGTGGATGAGTTTGAAGAACGTGTGCCAATAGCTTTCATCAGAAAAATCCAGGCCAAGCTGAAACAGAGGGAGGAACAATCAACAGCCAGCAACACCACCCTGCTCATGGACACCAAGTACTCCTACCCCGTGACCTTCCCCTTCAACCCCAGCTCTGTCGCCCTCGAGACAATATCAGTGCCAGAACAGCTGCACCTGGGATTTTTGATACGCCACTAGGGCAGGGGGCTGTAGGGCTGGGTAGTGTTGTTGTTGCCAGATAAAGTTTGTTCCATGTTGCAAAAAGAAAATTGCTGCTTGTTTAGAGCTGTGTTGTAGAGAATGTTTCCAGTAACTGCTCTCTAGCTGATCTCTGTTCTCTTGCTTCCATGTAGATTGTTCTAGAACTATCAAGGTCAGCTTTGATATCTACAGGCTTGATCTAACTCTGGGATGTAATAAATTTTAAAATGTACGATGTTTATCCAAAATCTCTGAAATGTTGATTTAAACAAGTTTTTCATTTTTAACTATTAATTTCTTTACAAATGCATTCCAAAACTTGTTATAACTCTTCCTCTTTGAAACCCTATTTTTTTGCCAATACTAGACAAACATAAACCAAACTGCAGACAAAGATTAATCAATTTAATCAACTGTAATAATTTTTGAAATTTTATTTATTAAAAAATTATTTTTAATTTACAATTAAAATATGTTTCTTTTGTGCTGAATATACAAAACTTTGTGTGGCTACTTTTCAAAGAAATATAGATCTATTTCTTTATCTGTACCTAACAATTTCCAGAAAAACAATTCAGGTCTTGTTTGTAAAATACTTCTTCCTGTGAGTTCTTTCCCCTGCTTATTCACCAGATGTTAAGGGGAGAGCACTCATAAAAATCTATACAAATTGTTTTTTCTGTATATAACTTGCCTAAAATTATAAATGTTTAAACTCCTGTCCCACCTTTATCAGCTGCTACAGTGCATGTATTGGGACACACATGTTACAAATAAAATACAACAGTCTATAACTTATCCTATGCCTGACAAGATTTCAATGCAGTATTTACTAACTCAACTCGTTCATCTCCAGCCTAGTCTAACTACTCTGTTATCTGTGCTCCTCAAATAACACACTCTAACTATTTTTGTCTATTAAATTGTTCAAGTTTTAACTTCATGTGGAAACTTTAAGCTATTTACTGTAATAAAATTGTATTTATTCATATTATCAAATTTGGAACTGATTATTCGTGTTAGTCTGCTATTGCATTTCCATAAGTATTTATTTTTATTTTTGTTAAAATCTGTTAAAAAGATTTTTCCATCCCAACATATATGTATATATACATACATATGTATGTATGTCCTGATGATTAATGCTATATAAATATGTTGTGGCCGCAGTGCTTTACATCATTAATGTAAATGTCAGACTGTTTCATCCCTGTGTGATGTCAATTAATCAAATGTCATCATTTGAACCTGATATTCTATGATCAAACTACATCCTCTTATTTATTGACTTATCACTTGGTAAACATAATCTTTAACTAACCTTAACAGTTGCTTGTTTACACATTTTAGACATGAATTTTACAACTTTCAAAAGTGTATTTTTTGATGTTTAGACCTACACCATTTTCTTTGAAGCTTTTGTTTTCACTTATACTGAAGTAAGCTCCACCCATTGATGCTAGGCAAGACAGGCACACTCAGGGTCTTAGCTCACCTATGGGGTGCATGTTGAGGTTGAGCTTAACTGGTGAGGGGCTCACCTGTATCACCAAAACAGGTGTATCACTGCATTAGTACTGTTAACATGGTTTACTTTTGGTTTACTTGTCTCAAGGTGCATAACCCAGTTTGTTTCCTGTTTATTCTCTTCAAAAATCAGATAATGGTCCTGCGCAAAAATATACTGACCAACAAGATGTGTCCACTATTTTTTATTCCAGATGACTAACATGCTGGCATGTTAAATTTTTTTAAGAAGAAATTTTTTTCTCTCAATATTTGTTTGGCTTTTTTTTAACCAACAGAACAATTATTTCTAATAGTGTTAAATTTTCATGAAGAGTGACTTGCCCTTAGCAGGAACGTGTGTCACACAAAACATTGTCTATCTCACTGCTATTGGTGCCATGTGTTGTCCTTGTTGCCATGGAAGCCACTTCCCCCCTCCCCCCATCATTCCATGCCTCTGTGTTGTGATTTTCATTCCTCTGTTCATTGCTTGATGTTACAATAAAAATAACTTGGTGAGCGGACGATACAATTTTTATTTGTATGGCTGCTACTGTAACAGCGCGACTCAAGTTGATAATTAGTTATTGTACTTAAAAATATTTTTTCATTTCAACATTTTTTAATCAAAAAATTTAAATATTAAAGCTAGACTCTGTAGAAATTTTGTCATTATGATAATGTACTTGTGATTGTAGATCAAATGTTTTAATTTTTTTTCCCCCACAAAAATCAAATCAAATATCTACATTATGAAGAATGGTATAAAACATAGATAAATACAATTTTAAAATATTCATTTATTTAATTTTTTTGTAAAATTATTTTTTTCCAAAACTGCTATATATGTGTGGTATAAATGCTGAAGTTAAAAAGTTTAATTTTTTTTTAAAATTTAGTCCAACAGCTGAAAAGGGAGAAAATCCTAAAGTTGGTCTCAGGAGACAGCTGTTTGTATATAGATTAGTTTTTACCTAGGTCATTGTGACATCTGGTGCTTTATTTACTCTTAGGTTAAAAATACTCTAGTTACTGTTCACTATATTTTAATTGCACAAAAGTATGACACCTGGGGTTTACTTGTTGACAGATATAGTTTAGATATAAATGGTGAAACTGATGCATCAACTGTATGCTTTCTGTCTGTATGTGTGTTGAATTTAGGATAAATGTGTGTGAATTATGATATATTTTAGTATTGAATTTTCATGAGTAATAAAAATGTCTATAAATATTTCAATATTGTTGTGGTGTTGATTTGTGACTATGTAGAGCTTGAACAGGCATTTTTTGGTAGTTTCTTTTATTTATCTGTTGATATACTGGAACGCTCTTCAGCACAGTGGAACAACTTTCTTAATCACCTTAATTCATTAAAATTCAATTACTGCTACAATGCTAGCTCAAGATCGGCTAACCCAGCAATGTAGTCATATTTACATGTAACTTAGGTTTACCATTATTTTACTTGTCTTATGATAGGAAACAGCCCATACTTAGAAAACCACTTCTCAGTTTTTAAACTCTAACTGTACAGTATTGTAAGTTGAATACACAAGATAAAACAATCACAAATTTTAAAGATTTTAATTTCATTAAAATAATTTCTAACATTTCATCAAAAACAATGGCAGTCAAAAGTTATCTTAAATTAAAATCAGTCTCAACAATCAAAACTAAGTAACTAATCAATCAAGTCATGGAATGTCAAGGTCATGACATCACAGAACATGACTGTAAGAATAAAACAATGTCCATTAAACCCACAGCCCCTAACAAGCAAGGTCATAACAGACACACAAATAAATAGAAGAAACAGTCAACTCAAAACAAATTCATACTCCACTCTCAGACTATCAAAATCAAAAACCAATGACATGTACATATAAGAACTTACCAAATGAGCTAATTAAGAATTATCTAATCATTGCACATACACCTTAGAAAATATCTATTTGGCAACACATACATAGAAAGTAGCCAGCGTACATAGGTAGAAATAGAAATTGTCTAGTCAGCACATATGCACATGAGAAACCACCAGATCAGCAACACATATAAATTAGGAAGAATCTGATCATTGCACATACACCTTAGAAAATATGTAATCAGTAACACATACACTTTAGAAAATATGTAATCAGTAACACATACACTTTAGAAAATATCACTGACACATACGCATTAGAAAGTAATCAGCATATCCAATCACCACAAATAAAATTAGAAAGTAATCAGTAACATATACACTACAGAAAATATCACTGACACAAACACATTATGAACTACGAAATCAGTGATACATACACTTTAGAAAGTAATCAAACCACAAACACATTATGAACTACAAAATCAGTGACATGTAACATAAAAAAATATCTAATCATTGTACATACACATTAGAAAGTAATCAAACCACATACACATTATGAACTACAAAATCAGTGACATGTAATATAAAAAAATATCTAATCATTGTACATACACATTAGAAAGTAATCAGCTCACATAAAATTAGAAAGTAATCAGCGCACTTGTACATTACAAACAACAAAATCAGCAACACATACACGTTATAAAATAGGGACACATACTAATCAGAAAGTAATCGCCACACATAAAAATTAGGAACAACAAAATCAGCACACATACACATCAGAAAATATCTAATCAGCGCACATACACAGACTGCGTCTAATCCCGTTTTTGTTTGTCTGAAGCTTTGCTGGAGGAGCGGCAACAGCAGCAGAAGACAGCCAGCAGGAGCAGCAGAGCAGGCATTCCCACCCCCACACCCAACACAATGTTCCTGTTTGGTCCCTCCAACTGTTGCTGTCATCAGAAAATATAAAACTATAATGCCAAAAATATCAAGAAACAATTTCTTTTTTTATTTAAAAAAGATTTTAATCTTCTTAAAGCAGACACTTAATGAACTCGGAATTCATTTAAATAAAACAATTTTAACATATTTATTGATAGATTTATATCATTTATATAAACCAATTTTATAATATTTGTTGATAGAGTTATGATTTTAAAACTGTAATCAAAATTAAATAAAAGTTTTGAGTTTTTACCTTAATCAAATCAGCAAGATGTTCTGTCAGGTAATCACTGAAAGAAACATCATAATATTAGATCACCTATCATCATGTCATCACATCACATTATTACAAATCTCATCGTACATCTTTACATGTGAGCAATTCTTTAATTAGGAATAGTGTGCTATCAAGTATGGTACCCTATGAGTTCCAATGGTCCAAAAAATAATAGAGTCCATGTGTCTCTTTGAACATGACACACAAAGACAATTCTTAGTGCGCTCTATGTCCAGCTGCCTTTACTTTCCTCTAAATAAAGCCACATACCCATTCAAGCAGGGTTGGTTAAGGTTCTTTTAATATGTTTACTTTTTGTCAAGTGTACTTTAACAGCATAATAAAACAGAATCCTTAATTGTCCATAATTATTTTTTCAAGAACTTCCCTCAAGATGTACATTCAGTGAAATATATAATTAAATATTCTGTACAGAAAACACAAGAAAAATCTCACAATTTAGATTTAGGTATGGGCACACTCTCAGCTCTGATGTTTTTGTAAAATCCATCAACAAAGGAGCGCAATGATGGGACATCAATCTTTGGCAGCTCGTAGCGATACATTTTCCCATGCTTGAAACTGAGAACAATAAGGATATAAAGTTTAATGAATCTTGTTGTTTATCAAAATTAATGTTATAGAAACTCTCTAATTACTAATCTTGATTTAACTAATCTTTGTAAATTAAGTTTAATGAATCTTTTTGTTTATCAAAATTAATGTTATAGAAACTTTCTAATTATTAATCTTGATTTAACTAATCTTTGTTAATAAAGTTCAATAAATCTTGTTATTCATAAAAATTACTGTCATAAAATATGTTTCAATAAATAATTTTTTTTAAAAACTAATCTTGATTCTTTATGTAATTAATATAACATTCATTATTCACTCTATGTAATTAATATAACATTCATTATTCACTAATATTGAATCAAATATTTCTGGATATCAAAAAAGTATATAAGAAATGAAACTAACAAAATGATTTCAGGACATCTGGTGATCTTGAACCTCTCTACCAGCACAGGACTGACCTCTGTGTTGACTTTAGCAACATTGATCTTGTCCTGGACCCTGAACAAAGTTACAAGATAGAATAAGTACATCAGCCAATGGACATAAAAGTAAAATAAGTACATCAGCCAATGGACATAAAAGTAAATAAGTACATCAGCCAATGGACATAAAAGTAAAATAAGTACATCAGCCAATGGACATAAAAGTAAATAAGTACATCAGCCAATGGACATAAAAGTAAAATAAGTACATCAGCCAATGGACATAAAAGTAAATAAGTACATCAGCCAATGGACATAAAAGTAAATAAGTACATCAGCCAATGAACAAAAAATAGAATAATTACATCCGCCAATGAACATAAAAATATAATAATTATGTTACAAATTGCTCACTGTCAAGAGAACAAGAAAAAAGTATTGAATAGAGTAGGCCTACATCTACTGTAAAGTTGAAAATCGCCAACTTAACAAAACAAAAAATTGAGAACACAAGTATTAAGTAACTAAATAATAAAAAACAAAAATCCCCCCACCCCTCAAAAAAGATTTCATTTTTAGATAGGCAGTATTCCGCAAGGAATTTGAAAAGTGGGTATACCACAAAAATAAGAAAAATAGATGTAAATACTCTCCTGATAAATTGGAGCAAACGCTGCCAGGGATTCACCCAGTCCACAAAATTTAAAAACCAAACTGCCACATCACAAAATTTCAAAGTTCAAACAATCATATCACAAAATAAAAAAATCCTACCTGACACCCAAGCTGTCAATAACAGGCAGAAGACGCTTACAGACAGCACAGCTTTCTTTATAGCTGAAATTTGATGTTATCAAAAGTTAAATTTAACTTCATTATAAATTCATTGGTAGCTTCGCATCTACTAGAAATCCCAGCCTTTTACAGCTCATGTCACTGTTAGAGTAACAATTAAGATAAGGGTAATTGTACAAGAAAAAAATAAAAACTTTGACTACCTACTTTTAACTATTTAAATTATATCTGATAAAGTGGCCAGATCAACTTACAAGGCTACAAGCCAATCTCCAGTGGTAGCACCTGAAGAAGCCTGGGTTAGATGCTCAAAGGATGAGTCATCAAGTTGGTGAGTGGATTGTCTTACAGCCTGCTGAATCCACTCCAACACATTCTCGATGTCATAGGCACCTTGTACAAAAAGTTAATCATTGATTTGAAAACGATTGCTTTAGAAAATATATCATTATGTGTTAAGTGACATGTTATAGAATCTTAAATGACAATATTTTTTACAATTTAAATGACACGTAAAATCTTACCATCATAGATGACATATGTTGACTGACGTAAGAAGAGAAGGCTGGGGAATGTTTCGATGCCCAACTTTTCAGCCAGGACCAAGTCAGATGACTTGCCAATGGTCAGATCTAGGGGAAACAACAACTTGAGAATAATAACAGAAGTAGAAGTCTTTTAAAAAAGGTACATACATTATGCCAGGTAAGATATTTTATTTAATTTAAAAATAATTTAAAATCCTGTGTTAACACAAATAAATTATGTGCTTATAATTTAAAAAATATTAACTATGAATGTTAACTTTTCATGGAAATATTTTAAAATTCATGGTTTATTTATTTTTTATTATCAACACATAATTTATGGAAACATTGTGTCTTGAGGGAGCCAACAATTGGGTCTACCTTTGGGTATTTCAGGCTGCCCAGCTGTCAGGGTCAAAGTTTCCAAGGCAGCATCACATCCAGCACAGTTCTGTGGCAGGTCTGAGACAATAGAAACATGAGGAATTATTCTAGAAGTACCAACAGGGCTAACTACAACTAGGTCTGAGATAATAAATACATGAGGAATTATTCTAACAGTACCAACAGGGCTAACTACAACTAGGTCTGAGATCATAAAAACATGAGGAATTATTCTAATAGTACCAACAGGGCTAACTACAACTAGGTCTGACAACACAACTAGGTCTGAGATAATAGAAGCTTGAGGAATTATTCTAACAGTACCAACAGGGCTAACTACAACTAGGTCTGACAACACAACTAGGTCTGAGATAATAGAAACATGAGGAATTATTCTAGAAGTACCAACAGGGCTAACTACAACTAGGTCTGAGATAATAGAAACATGAGGAATTATTCTAACAGTACCAACAGGGCTAACTACAACTAGGTCTGAGATAATAGAAACATGAGGAATTATTCTAGAAGTACCAACAGGGCTAACTACAACTAGGTCTGAGATAATAGAAACATGAGGAATTATTCTAGAAGTACCAACAGGGCTAACTACAACTAGGTCTGAGATAATAGAAACATGAGGAATTATTCTAGAAGTACCAACAGGGCTAACTACAACTAGGTCTGAGATAATAGAAACATGAGGATTTATTCTAACAGTACCAACAGGGCTAACTACAACAGTGTGTAGAACTTCAATGAGACAACTCTAGTTTCTTTATTTTAAATTACTATTCTTGGTGATACAAATTTAATGTGGAGGAGAAATGGAATTAATAGCCAGGATTCTGAAATCTAAGTTTCTTTATAATGGTACTATTGGTCATTTTATATTCATACAACTTAGTGTTGTGGTATTGTATAATGTATTTGTTCACCAGCTATACTAGCCTAACATAGCTATAAATGAACCATAGCCACGTTTTCATGCTACCAGTAGGCTTAAAACAGCTACAACTATAAAAAAAAATCATTGTAGCTAGGTGTATACCTGTTATACTCATTTATCTTAGCTATAAGTAATTAACTGAAGTTTTTATTAAAAATTAGTTTTACTTACAAAATAGCACTAGCGTCTGTTCCTGCTTTCCTTCAGTGAAAAGCTGCCAAAGACTGTGATCCACCTCTTTAATGTTTACATTCTCTATTGCCTCATCACTAGCCTGACTCAGCACATTCCAGTGACAGACTAGCAGGACTATTGTAAACTTTAGAACTGTCATTTTTTACTATGCTCCCTTTAAGGTTAATAGGCTAGCATTTAGTGTTGATAGAGACAAATGCTGTCTACTTCACTCTAAAAATAAATGTTGGGCAATATTTATTTTTCAATATAATTAAATGAGTTTTATCAACTATTTTCAGTATCAGCAAAGTTTATTTCAGTCCCATGCAAAAAAAAAATACAACACTTATGAACAAACTATTTTATTTAGTTGAAAACTTCTTTTTGCATATCTCAAAAAAAAAAATTTAAGATAACGAAACAAAAAAGTCTTGCAAATTAGGTCAAACTATTTACCCATAATGTCTCACTTCTATTGCCCTGCCATTTTGCATTTTTAGATCTAGATTCAAGGACAATCTAGACAGCTTTTGACAAATACTATATTATCAGTGGCAAAGCGAGGTCGGGTGTCACTCAGTGAGGCACTTAATGGTGTCACCCCCCCCCCCCTCCCAGAGGCGTAGCGACTCTTTCCGGGGACAAACTTTCAATTTTTGATTTGCACCCCCCCCCCATCAAACTTTCAATTTGCACCCCCCCCCCCCTCAAAATTTTCTCTATATATTTTACTATTTTATGCCTTGGTGTCACCCCCTAAATGGTGTCACCCGGTGCGGTCCGCACCCCCCTCCCCCTCCTGTATATTATTAACAGTATTGATGAAATAGCCTAGTAGAACTATTAATATTAAGTAGTAGCCAACAGAATTATTTAATTATACTAGATTTATATCTCTAGTCTCTAAACTCTTCTTAATTTACTTCTGCAATTTAAACAAGCTGGTTTTTGCAATATACTTCATTTAAAATAATAAAATAAACTCAGTTTGAGTTATAGGCTTATTATAGCCTATTGCCACTATTGGCTATAAAGAAAATAGGTGTCTAGATCTAGCTTTTAAATGTTTACTAGCAAAGTGACTGACAAGGGGCTGCACAAACAATAACTCAAATAAATGAATAAATAATAAATGGGCTGTTGGAAAGCACTAAAACTAAAATGTACACTTGATCAAGACTAGAATTAGATTAACCTAGAATCTAGATTAGTATGTAGCAGTAGAACAAAGGGAGATAATTTTCATACAAAAACCTGCCTAGAGCTCTGGACTGATTTTTTCAAATTTTGTTTTTACCACTGTCTCTTATTAATTTTAAATTAATATCATATTAATTTCCAATACACAAAGCAACTACATTTTCAAAATCTACTGAGGTTCAGGTATAACCTAGTGCAATTACTTTTCATTTTCTTTCAATTTTACCTATTAAAAAAATTGATTTGAAAACAATAGGCCATAAGCCTATATACTATATACTATATATTAATATAATATTATATATAAATCAACTTTATTTTAATGCATAAACACTTGCCTGTACAAAAAAACGATACAAAACGAGTTAAATAAACCACTTGTAGTTCTTATTTTATAAAGAAATTGTGTTTTAATTTTAACTTTACAAAAATATTAAAATACATTTTGTATGAAGTTTTTAAGATTCAGACCTTTATCAGCCATATTGTTTTTTCCTATATAGACTAATAATTACTACTATAGATCTAACCTATGCCTAAAATATAAATTTATAAAATTTATAATTATAACACTCATCACTGATCATCACACAACACTAACAGTACCTGAGTGAGTACTCACACTGTTCTGTCACACTGCACTCACTGTGTTACTGTTAGACAAAAAAAAAAGCTAAAAAGTGTAAAGTAAAGATTTTTAAGCCACGTCAAAGTACCCACAAATGCAACTGATTCGCGTCTGTGTCAGCTTGAGCAGGATTGATTAGAGAGAAGGTCGATAGATATGAACTATTCTGGCCGTTGAAAAAATAAAGAACCAGCTTACTACTTAGGAAACAGATGGGGAACGGAAAAAAAAGAAAGAGAAACCGAAAGTAGGACACGATATAATATATGCATATGCCAGAGTTTAGCAACTTCTTAAAGTTAAATTAGTCGAATAAATTTGCTTATAAATAATAACTTTACAGTTTCAAATTAGGGTTGATAGTCCTTAACACTCTTGTCCTCAAATTATATTTTAGTTGCCATAAAGTAATTTAAATCAACATGATTTTTTTTTTAAATTATGATATTTTAAATGAATGCTTGGACAGGACTTTTCCCTAATATCAGGCAATTAATTTTAAATGCCGAAGTCTCACGAGATCTCGTAATAGTTCAAGGTCGTATTATTTCCGGGTTGAAGAGAGGTATCCTACACTGACGGATTAAGTCTAGCCAGTTCTAGATCTAGATTCTAGCTCATTGTGTTTCAATGGTTAGTTGTAAAAACTATCGTTCTTGCTCTATGATGTTGCCCGTAATATTTAATCAATATGGTCAATTACACCGTTAACAATTAAATCTGCCTAATTTGGTAATGTAATGATTTCATTTATAAAAAATGTCGAAATGTATTCATTTTTCAACATCCCCCCTTCAGCCCCTTCACTTCACACTTGGCTAGTTTTTCATGTCATGAAAAAATGATTGCTGACTCAGTCATAGTTCAGAGCAGTCATCTTTGTTATTCATGACATTAGTTAGGAGGTGTTTGATAACCTAAAATATCGAACTTGTGTCAGTTGCCGTAACACTTTTGTTCAGTAGCCTCATCAGTAAAATTTAGCTCCCAGTGAAAAACTAACAGACTGAGACTAACAGTTACAGTAGGCCTACATCAAATCAAAAGAGACAAAAGTTAAAATTAGATGTATCTATAGGCGTAGTTAGTTTAGTACTAGAGCTAGAATCTAGGCCTATAGTAGGATGATTATAGAATATAGATACCGGTGTCCAATAATAGACACTTCCCATAAAATAGGTGTGTTGGGTTGTTAGTGGTATTGAAATTTTGACTAATTTTTATGGTTAGAAGTAAAATTAGTAATTTAGTATTAGGTCACTAGATAACTAAGTACACAGGCCTCGATGACCTGCTAATGTCATTGCTAACCCCAACCCTAGTCCTACCATACGGTAATCCTATATTGTTTAGGATTATGTTCCTATCTGCTTCTTAGATGATTATCATTAAATATACACTCTAAAGTAAAAGTAATTCATTAGGGCTTAGGCCTAAAAGTACTGCGCCTAATTTTTTTAAATTGACAATTATTCATACATTTATTAGACCTCGTTCATATTGCTATTCAACTGTCAATAACCATTTAAAAATTCACTTAGAATAAATATCTAAACTAGCATGTCTGTTGTAATCAGATTATTATTCATGTTACCATCGCAATTTCCCTAAGTTTTTTTCTCTTTCTAGCATCTTGGGAAAGTGACTTTTGTCTTTGTTCTAATATACCAGCTATCAAATCACAAACAAAAGTGAATAACAGTGGATTCTTTGATTTATCCCTTGAAATTTGATGTGTGACTTCAGGATCAACTGTAACCTCCCCTTTGTATTTTCTTATTTTAAACAACTCTACCAGCCCAGTAATTAAATTCATATGTTTAAACCACCCAAGAGGTTCAGAGAAAAATTTTCAACCCAAATGTCATCTCTCAAATTTGTCATGCTGATAGTACATTTTTCATTTTGTGAGCAAAAATTATGTACATCTGCATCTAAACTGTAAAAAAAAATTTTGCCACCTCTTTGTTTTGAAGAATAACCTTGTCAAACATTACATGCAACTCTGTTATCATATGTGGGATTGAGCAAATTTATATAGATCTAGGTTGAAGGTTATAAGTTAGTGGCATTTCATTTTATACTATGTACAGGTATATTCATTTAAAAGAATTAATGCACAAAATTCATGGTCTATATTCATTTTAAATTTTGATTTAGTCAGTAAGCTTACTATTTTAATCATAGCATATCCACAAGAAATGTCACAACAGAGTGCACGACAGGCATACATTTGAAACCCATTTCTATAGTAACTTAGTAATAAACTTTTAATAATAAATTACAATGCACCTAAAATAATAGTTGGGTGATGTGATTTTTACCTGCAATAAAAAACCAGTTAAAGTAACTTGACACCTGAAATCACTGTAATGCTGTTGAACCTGAGTGGATATTTATGTTTTAATTTTTTCTTTGTATTCTATTAAGTAGCTTGTTATCCCATAAGGACATAAGCTGTCTTACAGGAAAGTTAGTCTCTCCAACTGTCTGTGTTGGTTGTCTAGTGGTTTACAAGTCATCATTTGTTCTCCTATCAGAGTCCCATATTTCCTCTGTATTACATTGTCTTTTATTCTTTGTTGACATTGATTAACCAGGACTGATGCTGTCCCTGCATCTCCCCCCTCCTCCTCCCTTTACATGCACTTCAGACACACCACAACAGAGTTATTGTGTACAGATATTTAATTGCTATAATTATATCTCCTCCTTGATTTAATTACATAGGTTTACACAGAAGATAAGCCAGCCAGATTTCCATCCCATGATGCTGATAGTTTGAAGCAAGGAGAGTGGATCTGCCTATGATTGGCTTCACAGTCTTCAAAAAAATCAAGCCATACTAGATTTGTGGGTGTTACAGGAAATATCTGCTCAGTGCAAGTTAAGGCAGCCTGTCAGACCATTGTGTATTCTCTTTTTGTAAGTGTTTATTTATCAAAATATTTATTACTATACAAGTTCCCAATGTTCTCTCATTTTACAGTAGTGGTTTTGCGAAGATTTGCAGTCTACATCTCAAAATTATTAAATTATTTGAAAACACTTGAAGCAGTTGGCTACTTAGTAGTGCAAATATGGGGCTAGCTATTTACATTTACTTGATGACAAATAAAAATCGACATTTTTTGTAGATAATTTCTTGGGAAATCGTTTAAATAAAATTAAGAAATAGTGATGGAAATGAATTAAATCTCGGTAAATTGGAAATAGTTTTTTGGCTACTTAAAATTAATAAGTTTACTTTTTTTTAAAATTTGCCCAGTTTAGTAATTCCAACAAGTCTTGATGATGGCTGAATCTCTGTTGTGTTTTCCATGTTGTATAGGAGGGCAACCTCAGCCAGTAAGTTGTTTTTTTTTTTAATGTTTACTGTAACTAAATCTGATTTGTTTTCATTTACATGTACACATATTTACTTTTATACCAACTATATTTTCATGTCAATATTTGCTGTGCTTGTCTTGCACCATGAAATTACTACTTAAATGCAGTGGTAGTATTTTTTAGGTGCACATTTCAGTACTTTCTAAAAGTCAATTGGTATGCTGTTTTTGTTTCCCCAGAAAAGAAGAACACGTCCTCGTATTGACCCCAGCATGATAGGTTTACCAACAAATTTCAGGCACACTGCCCATGTGGGAAGTGGGGATGTGAGGGGCTCTCCAAATGTGAGTAGATGTGGGGGCTGGGTTAATGTGTGGTGGTTTTAATGTGTATACCTTAAGTATTTGTCGTCAATTTTGCCTAGCTTAAGAATTTTTTACATTATTTGAATTAATGAAGTTGAGAAATTCTGCACCCACACATTTTTTTAATTGGTATTTGAATAGAGGTTAAAAATTTATATTTTTTTATATTTATTTTATATATATTTTTTTTTATATTTATATAAATTTGTATTTATTTCCGCAGCTTCATTCCGTTCAAAGCCAAATGTCTTCTAAAGGTGACTACAACCACCACATCGCACCTGGCCACCTTCAGTTGTCAGTGATAGATCTGCCACCTAGGACACCAACATAGGTAAGTGAGTTCACTGTTGGAATCAGTTTTCAAGATTTCTCCAAAAAATCTACATGAAAAATTAAAGTTATGTTCTTCTTAGAACCAGCAACTGAAGCAAAATGTTTGTTTAAAGGAAAAACAAATGTTTATTTAATTTTAATATGTCAGTTGTCATTCACCTCCTGGTGTAAGGATTCTTTTATCTTTTATACAAAGTTTTTTTTTTGTTTTTTTTTTTTATAATTGGATGCTAACTTGGGTGTCATACTATTAGAAAAAAATGATCAAGCATTTAATTTTTTTTTTTATTTCTATCCTCAGATTGCTCCATGATTCAGATGATCTCAACAATTTCTGTTCAACAGTTTTTAAGTGCTCATTGTGAATTCTTTTCATTTCTTGGACCTCTGTAAGTGTGATGACTTGAAGCTGGGAGAACTTGCATAATTGAATGTGGATATACATCTCATGGATTTACATTGGACTTGTGTATGGATCCAAGGATTAGCATTGGCTCAATGGATTCATTTCTTGTGGATTCATGGGTTTAACGATCACTCAATGTCTCAGGACTGCCCGGTCTGGTTTCTTGTGGAATCTTCAGAGAATGGAGTTAAAAAGTTGGATTATTGCCATTCTCATCGTTGGTCTTCTCACGCCTGTTTGCTATGTTGTGTATTGCACCAGTGAATTATTTTTTCAATGCTTTACAACTTGTTTTATGACTAAAGATATGTGTGTGTGAAATGGGAGAGGTGTATGTTCTTCATAACTTGTTGTGTGTGTGTGTGTATAGTGTGAGGTTTAAGTTCTTTATATCTTGTTTTATGACAATGGAATGTGTGTATTGTACGGGGAAGAGCTGTATGTTCTTGTGTTTGATTACTAGAATGTACATGGAGATTGTGAGGGTGGCTGTGTATGATTCTGTAGTTTGATCGCTAATGAGTTCTTTGATGCCAGTTTTTATGACAGGCCACTAAGTGTGGAAATTATTGTACATTACTACTGAGATTACTTTTACATCTTTATTGCCAGTTTAGCAGACACATTTTTTTCTGAGAGAATTGTTAATTGTATCTTTTTTTTTTACTCCAGAAAATTAAAATAAATTTATTGTAAATTAAATTTGAACTATTTCAACTTGCTTCTAATGAAAACTTTTTTTTTCTCTTTAATTTTAAATTGTATTCCTCTATTTCTTGTGAACTAGTTTTCATTTAGATTTAAATTGGGCCTAAATTTATTTTCTGATAGTTTGACCTATGTCCAGGAAGGTTTTTTTGTATCTGATTCTGATATTTTATCTTTCTATTTCCCAGTTGCTGTTGGCTAATTGTTTGATCTGTGGGCAATCTTTACCAATAGGAACTATAAAAGGCATTGTACTAATAAGGCATGGTGAATTTTTCCTTTCTCTTCCCCCATCCAGACTTCTGGGAATACACTTCCTGGTTCAGCTAAAAATAGCTTTTCTGCTGTGTTAGTGGTTATTGACTGAGAAAACACAAGTCAGCAATACATTCAGCACTTTTTTGTTATCAAGTATTACAGCACTTCATTGGTTCATCTGTGTGCTTTGCTAGGTTTTTACCGCTTTGCTGGCTTTTTTTTTAATCTTCAAGATCTGGTTCACTATTATCCACTTGTTCTTGGTTCTCTAAAATTTGTCAATGAATTGTTTCCTAAACTCGATAAGTCCTTTTTTTTTTAATATTCTGAGCTGCAAAAAAAACAATCTTCTCATACTCTTTTGTAATGCTCTAAGTAGGATACATGCTGTTTTATCAACTAGCAAACCAGGAAGTAAATTGTTTCTATCACTTCCTGTTATTTCTTGTGTTGATGATAAAATCAGTCGTAAATATTGCCAATCATATTGTGTACACTTCAGTTTTGTTGGGTTAAAGGTTATAAGTTCAACAAGTGTCTCACACCAAGTTCACTAGAGATAAACTGGAACTAGGTATATAAATTATTTAATGTCTTTTGTTTTTTTGCGTTTTTTGTAAAAGTTGATTGTAAAATGCATTCATTATTAATAGTAACACCTTATTGCATTAAGAAAGCTAATATAAAATAAGAGTGGTTTATTTAAATTGTAATGGATAATTTTTAAAGTTTTTTATCTTTATCATCAAATCAGTTTTCTTCCTAGTTTTAATCATTGAGGCAAGTCAATACTAGATTTTTTAAACTTTCCATTACATGCTCAGCAAGTTTTGCACCAGACTTAAACTTTAAACAAAAATGAATGTTAAAAATTGACAGTGTAAATAATTCCCTTGCTTGAGCTTCCATCTCATGATCAGCTGATCAAATGCTCTTCCTTCTACTCGATCTAAAAAACCAAGTTTTTTTTTAAAAGGGCATGAAAAAAAAAGAATTTGAGTAAAACAATAAATTGCATGTTTTCCATTTTTATTGAAATAGTTGTTTTAAGAAATTAAATCTTTTTAAAATTTTACAAATTTTATATAGTTTTTTAAGTTTCCACATTTTGTGAGTTGAAACCACTGGCTTTTAAAGGTGTATTTATAGGAATAAAACCACATTAAGAATGAATGACTTCCTCTACTCATCTATATTCAGATCTCTGTATAAAAACATTAAACCATGACACTGTATCAAACACTTTTTTATTATACATTTAAATTTTGATATACCAGCTTGTGTGATAGATGGTTTCTTGTACTGTGTGAACATTATTGACAGGGTTTAAGTCTAAATGTTTGTGGGATCTTGCTGTGTTTTAGTCTGTTTTTTATTATAGGGAATATTTGGCACATTTTATTAAAGTGCAAGATCGTCAAATTTTTTTAACACTAGATTTTTATGTAAGAGAACATAAACTCGTTTATTTTGTAGTAAATTGTAATCATGATGTCTCAGTATGTAAAGTGGCTTGACCATCATCTGGATGTTTGAACTGTTAAAAAATGTTCAGCCCCTTGAGCTGCTTTCCTAGCTTTATTTATATTTTTATTCTCATGTATTCTCTATTATTGACTTGTGACATTCTGATGGCTACGCCCACATATGTTCCCCCACTATTTTCCATAGAAATATGAAGTAACTTCCAACTAAACACATGCCATTGTTGTGTTTGTGAGCTGATAGTCGCACAGAATGAAGTATTAAACTTTGTTATTCAGTATCTATCTCTGTGATCTATATGTAGATTTCAACAGTTCATTTTTTTTTATATACTTGTGATCACGGAATAAGTTGTTTACAGTAACTAGCCTTGTTACTTAAATATCTTGATATTAAGGTCTGTCTCGAAAGTCTTAATGGAAATTTCTTTCTTTGCGGAAGTTTATTTTTTTTTGTAAAATATAAAGGGCATCATTAAAATATAATTTGAAAACTTTTTAACCTATGAAGTGATTATAAATGTAGGATAAAATCAAAACTTATTTAAAAATAGTTATTTAATCAAAATTATTCACTGTATCTATACTCTTTAACTTGTAAGTATATCAGACTTTCACTTCCTTCTAATGTTATTATTGGCCTCATAACTATTTTATGTCCTCATTTGTCATGTGATTCAGTGTTTATGCCTGTTTTCATGTGACAGTGTTTATGGTTGTAGTCATGTGACTCAGTGTTAATGGTTGTAGTCATGTGATTCTGTTATTGATTTGTGTCATGTGATTCTGTGTTTATGCTTGTTGTCATGTGGTAGACTAGTCAATTTTCTACAAATATTTTCTTCATCTGTGTTCTACTTTTCTAAAGGGAAATACTTTCACTGTTTTTTTCCACAAAGATTTTATACTGCTATATATATTATTTTAAACTTTTGCATGTACACAGTGGGTCGTCGAAAAAATAACATTGTGAAAAATTGTTTTAAATCTGCACAGAAAAATACATCTGGAGTCTGTTTTATATGTAACCTATCTTGATATTGTTTTATATACTCCGTATAAAACCACTTGTGCTAAAAGTATTTTTAACCGCTTTCATTTAGGGTAAATTATTTTACTATTTTTATCAGATGTTTAACTGTATGTGCCTTGCTTTAAAACCTTCTCGTGCCATGGACTTAGAGGATCACTGTAAAAGCTGGGGTTCCAGTGTAAATACATCTTGTACTGCTAGCCTTGTCCATCACTCTGTAGTAAGGTTCTATGCATACTGTTGTTGACTTCTGCTGACCTGTTCAAGTGCCAATAAATGACTATTTATGAAACTTTCTTTCTTTACTTGTTTTGTTTTATTTTGTTGTTGTATTTTATACTTTATGTAATTAATTAGTTGCCAATATGCTAGTTAACTGGGTTGTCCAGTTTGCTTGAGATATTTAAGAATTTTTACTTTCCTTTACACTGTATAACTTTTCTGATTAACGTAACAGATCACTTGTCACTTTTTGAGATGTAGTCAACACACTGACACCCAGACATGATAGAGCTATCTTAGGTCCTCCTGAAACAGTCTGATTCACAATAACAGGGCCAAAGTTCACCAGACCTATAAATAGGGAATTCTATCAATAGGATTGTCTATAAATAAACCTGGTGAAGATCTTAGTCAATAATTAGGCTAGGCTTCAAACATTGGTTTTATGCGACAGTAAAGTTAGTTGGTTAGGCTTCAAACATTGGTTTGATGTGACAGTAAAGTTAGTTGGTTAGGCTTCAAACATTGGTTTTATGTGACAGTAAAGTTGGTTAGGCTTTAAACATGGGTTTTATGTGACAGTAAAGTTAGTTGGTTAGGCTTTAAACATGGGTTTTATGTGACAGTAAAGTTAGTTGGTTAGGTTTTAAACATTGGTTTTATGTGACAGTAAAGTTAGTTGGTTAGGCTTTAAACATTGGTTTTATGTGACAGTAAAGTTAGTTGGTTAGGCTTCAAACATTGTTTTTATTTGACAGTAACGTTGTTGTTTTATTTAAAAAAAAAACAACTCCTGCTTTAAAGAATTGGTTTGGTAATATATTTATTTATCAATTAAATTCTGAGACATACAAATGAGACAAGCTTATCATATTTTATAAAACAGTCCTTTACACAAGGTGACAAAAAGATGTACTGAAACTTCAATGAATATATTATTATTATTAATTATTATATAGAGATAATTTGGATCTATCAAAATCTACTAGTATAAACAAATTTTTCTAGTTAATTACAGTGAGATAGACAACACAGAAAGGGGTGGGGACTGGATATTGCTGACACCTTCACTTTAATATATAACATGTAAGCCATATTAGGGTGTTGTTTTTCATGGATAAAAAACAAAAATAGACATTGAGATATTTTTCAAGGAATGAAATCACAATTTCCGTATTTAAGGACATTCCAAGAAAGACTTGGGTGATATCAATGTCCAATCAACTATATGATATAAAAAGGTTACATTTAACATGACAATAATAAAAAGATTTGAAATTTGTTTACAATACTTTTAAGAACCTTAACATCAAAATTAATGGTACATTAATTAAGGAATGTTAAGTTCACTTTTAACAGTGTAAAAAACAGAAAAGAGATAAAATATAGTAACAAAACATATTAAGGCTAATACAAAAAAATGTTTGTGTAAAGGTATGCAGCTCAAGATCACCCTGACGAAAAAAAATGATTGTGTATGTAGAAAGTTGGCTGGTTAAATCTGTTGTGTAGGGGATCAGACTTAAGTCCCTGTGGCAAGATTTAACTCACTCCATTTGATTCTGTGGCTTAAGACAAATGGCAAACAAAATAAAATCAACACAGCTGTCCAGATCAATGAATGGAGCCTTTTTTTAACAGTTGATTTTTTAAAAATCTCCACCCTCTGTAAATTTATCACACATGAAATATTATTATAAGTTATTTTTCTTCAATTACTTTAAATAAAATATAATAATATATAACTTTAAAATAATCTTAAGTTACAAAATTAGTTTTACTAAATGAACATATTTTCTTTTATTGAATTAAACAGCAGCATACTATCCCCAATCTAGAGGCTGCCATTCAGGTGTATATGACAAGGCTATGATTTTCCACTAAAGCAAGGTCCAACCAACTGCAACAGATTGTTTTAAAAAGTTGCTACCCATTCAACTATTTAAACAATAAGATACAACTGGTTAGATTTCCTCTTCATCTAGGTTCATAGAGGCACTGATCACATCCTGACTTTTGCCCCCACCACCTTTCTTAGGTTTGTAGAACTCTAGGGTCATGTCTGACACTGGGGACTTGCCATTGCCACTGTTGATGGAGGGGGGAGGGGGCATGTAGAATGGGACAGCGTAGCCTAGGTAAGGACGGGGAGGCTTGAGGGTGCTAGCCATGCTGGCACTGTCAGACATGGAACTCATAGACTCGTCCACTTCCTTGCGTCTGCAACATACATACATTTTTGATCAGGTCATGGAGCATTCTTTACAAAAATACATAATAACATTCTAAATCAGGAAAATAAAAAAAGACCTCAAAATTAATTTTGACCATCAATTACTGGAATGTAAAGTATACAAACCATGCAGAGGTAATTACAACATCGACAGTGACAACTAAGAAATGACAGTGACAATTGTGATCTTATAACTATGATGTGACAGTGACAACTATGAGATGACAGTGACACCTATGAGATGACAATGACACCTATGATGTGACAGTAACAACTGTGATGTGACAGTGACAACTTACTTTTGTTTCCTTCTCCTGAACAAAATAAGGAACAAAGCAAACAGCAATAGCAGGAAAAACAAAGCAGCAATAATGGAAGAGATAAGCACAACATCAGGTACAGAAGATCCTGCTTCTGTAGAGGGGTCAACTATGGAGAAATAAAATCATGTTCAACTACACAAAGCAAACAGCAATAATGGAAGAGATCCTGCTTCTGTAGAGGGGTCAACTATGGAGAAATAAAATCATGTTCAACTACACAAAGCAAACAGCAATAATGGAAGAGATCCTGCTTCTGTAGAGGGGTCAACTATGGAGAAATAAAATCATGTTCAACTAAACTTCTATAATTTGGTGATTTATTATTAAGCTACCTTCTATATAAGTGTGTACAATTTTCATTCATTATTTTTTTTTTACCCTACCAAGATAGGAATACTACAGTAAAAAACGTTATACTGGTTATTGTTCACTAAAATTGTCTTACCAACACACAAGCCTTCTATAGGGATGAAGTTGGTGATTAATTATTAATTATTAAGCTACTTTCTATACAAGTGTGTACAATTTTTAATCCTAAATTATTTTTATTACCACACCAAGATAGGAATACTACAGTAAAAAACAATGTTGTACTGGTTAAAATTGTCTTACCAACACACAAGCCTTCTATAGGGATGAAGTTGGTGATACAGCATTAAAATTGTCTTACCAACACACAAGCCTTCTATAGGGATGAAGTTGGTGATACAGCATTAAAATTGTCTTACCAACACACAAGCCTTCTATAGGGATGAAGTTGGTGATACAGCATTAAAATTGTCTTACCAACACACAAGCCTTCTATAGGGATGAAGTTGGTGATTAATTAAAATTGTCTTACCAACACACAAGCCTTCTATAGGGATGAAGTTGGTGATACAGCATTAAAATTGTCTTACCAACACACAAGCCTTCTATAGGGATGAAGTTGGTGATACAGCATTAAAATTGTCTTACCAACACACAAGCCTTCTATAGGGATGAAGTTGGTGATACAGCATTAAAATTGTCTTACCAACACACAAGCCTTCTATAGGGATGAAGTTGGTGATACAGCATTAAAATTGTCTTACCAATACACAAGCCTTCTATAGGGATGAAGTTGGTGATACAGCATTAAAATTGTCTTACCAATACACAAGCCTTCTATAGGGATGAAGTTGGTGATACAGCATTAAAATTGTCTTACCAATACACAAGCCTTCTATAGGGATGAAGTTGGTGATACAGCATTAAAATTGTCTTACCAATACACAAGCCTTCTATAGGGATGAAGTTGGTGATACAGCATTAAAATTGTCTTACCAATACACAAGCCTTCTATAGGGATGAAGTTGGTGATTAATTAAAATTGTCTTACCAACACACAAGCCTTCTATTGGGATGAAGTTGTTGATACAGCGACACAGAACCTCCTCTTTACCCAGCACATCATTCACATTGTTGACATCATCGCGACAATCTGTGTTCGCTGTACATTCATAGGTGGCGTTACATGGAGTTCCTTCCCTTTTAACTGAGGACATATTTACCACAAATGTCTTAATCACAATGTCCATTTCTATAAAAAGATGCTTTTTACATTTTTAGTAGTAGGCCTATGCCTTTTTCCTAATATGGATCTAATCTAAAAATTAATTATACTCTTTTGAATGTTCAGCTAATTCACCCAATGTTCACACTATTTTGAAAATGTGGTTTTAATGTAAGGAAAACAGTTGGACCCACATCTGTAGCAGAAGCCATAGTTATCCTCGTAGTAAGCTGATCCACAAGTGCACACCCAGCCCAGGTCAGCGCGACATTCTGCACCATCCACACACTGGCCACGCCCCCAACATGGCTGCCCAGCTTTTAACACTTCCAGACATTCCTGGTTATGGGCAAAATATCCTGGAATACACCTGTAACAAAAATCATTTGGTATTGAATTATGTTATACATTGTGGTTACAAATTATGTTGTACATTGTGGTTATAAATTATGTTATATATTGTGGTAATAAATTATGTTAAACATTGTGGTTACAAATTATGTTGTACATTGTGGTTACAAATTATGTTGTACATTGTGGTTATAAATTATGTTATACATTGTGGTTATAAATTATGTTATACATTGTGGTTATAAATTATGTTTTACATTGTGGTTATAAATTATATTATACATTGTAGTTATAAATTATGTTATACATTGTGGTTATAAATTATGTTGTACATTGTGGTTATAAATTATGTTGTACATTGATACACCTTTTTTTTGTAAGAACTTCACACTAAGTTGAAATTTTTCCCATTATTAAATTTACACATTTAAATTGGTTAGTCATTTTGATTTCATGGATAAAAGTGATGTACAGTTAAACCTACACTGACAATGACAAAAATGAATTTTTAATTGACAATAACCAGTGCAACATATTGTTTATTACTCTAATATTTGTAACTATATTACAGGAAGAAAATAAAGAAATGTACTCTGTTGGCCATTGCATGTACCCCACTACCTAAAATTGTAAACAGAAATGATTTCACCCACTGTCCCAATGAAACCTGACAGGTGTAGAAGGCTGACTTACTTGCACTCAGTCCTTAAAGAAACATTGGAGACTTTCTCACAGGAGCTGAGCTCCACGCAGGTGTCCTTGTCATCACAGGGGGTGCCAGGCTTGAGGAAGTTGTTACAGCTCCCATCTCTGGCATAGTATGGTCCTACACAGGTACACACACCACCTGCTGGGGGAATCAAATAGTTTGACCAATACACTCTACAAATGGTCCCACACAGGTACACACACCACCTGCTGGGGGAATCAAATAGTTAGACCAATACACTCTACAAATGGTCCCACACAGGTACACACACCACCTGCTGGGGGAATCAAATAGCTAGACCAATACACTCTACAAATGGTCCCACACAGGTACACACGCCACCTGCTGGGGGAATCAAATAGTTAGACCAATACACTCTACAAATGGTCTCACACAAGTACACACACCACCTGCTGGGGGAATCAAATAGTTAGACCAATACACTCTACAAATGGTCCCACACAGGTACACACGCCACCTGCTGGGGGAATCAAATAGCTAGACCAATACACTCTACAAATGGTCTCACACACCACCTGCTGGGGGAATCAAATAGTTTGATGCTCTATATGTCTGACACCCATAGAGTCTAGAAAGTTAATGGTAAGACCTTATTTCAGTAGAAGTGAAAATAATATGCACTAAATTTTTTAGAAGTTTAACCAGGAAAGATAAGCCAGCTCACCATCACAAACAGAGTTGTCTGTGCATGTTCCATTTCTGGTACATTTTTCTTCAGCCTTTATCAAAGGTAAACATTTTCCTCGTGGATCACCTAGGAATAGAAATGAACAGCATGCAAAAAGGCTAGTGTTGAAAAAACATTTTTTTTAATTTAATTATGATAGAGAAAATATAATTCCCTACATCTTCACTTCTATTTAGTAATATTTGTAGATTAATCTTGTGCCCTAATAAATTAGAAAATATTATTCTTAAAATATGGATACAGCTAAAGTTGATGAGAAATTTTTAAAATGTTGATGCAGCTAAAGTTAATGAGAAACTTTAAAAATGTTGACACAGCTAAAGTTGATGAGAAATAAAGGAGTAGCTCACCCTGTAAGACCTCCGCATAGAACCCTTTCCCACACACACAGACAGAAGAGACAGGGTCACACTCCGCATGACTGACACACTGACCCAGGTTCCTGCACTCCATCCCTGGCCCAATCTTCAGGTGACATTTGCCTAGCTCAGGGAAGTAATCCGCCTGACATTTACACAGCTGGCTACTGGCCAGGCTGACACAGTCCGCATGGAACGTGCACTGGCTGGAAGATTTACACGCCTCGCCTGCAGGTTTTAGAGTCCTGCAGGCGCCTGCCTCGTTGTAGTAGCCCAGGTTGCAGTCGCAGAACCCTGTGGTGGTGTTGCACTCAGCGTTAGCCACGCACTGACCCAGCCGGGCGCATTCACGACCTGCTTTCTTCCTCTCCAGACACGAGCCAGCTTCATTGTAGTACCCAGCAGCACACACACACTGGAGGGTCTTGACGTCGCACTCAGCGTTGTGAATACACTGGCCTATGTTAGTGCAGGGCAGCTCAGCTCTAATCCTTGGCTGGCATTTGTCTTGCTTGTCTTGGTAGTAGTCGCGGTCGCACACACACGTCGATGACGTCAGGTTACATTCAGCAAACGCGATGCACTGTCCGAGCGCTGAGCAGTTTTTCCCAGCTATGATGCGAGTCCTGCACAGGTCAGCTGCGTCTCTGTAATACCTGTCCTCACACCTGCATGTCCAGCCATCGCTGGCGGAGCAGAATGACCCGGTGATGCACATCCCAACGCCCCAACACTTCTCACCTGCTTTTTTGTCAGGCACACACTGGCCATTAAATGGGAAGTAACCGTCCACACATTTACAGGTGGTTGATTGTTGAGCGTTCAACCGAGGATAAAAGGCCATGGACTGGTCTAGAAATATGGTACTGGATGAGTTGCCATTTACACATTCAGCGTGCTCAACACACTTGTCAGTCAACATATCACACGGACGTTCTGGTAAAGTCAACAACCTGCAGTTGCCGTTTAAATTAAAGTAGGCGTCGTCACACTCGCAGGTGTTGTTGGCGGAACAGGTGGCGTGTGCCACGCAGGTGCCCTGCAGGGAGCAGGTCTTGCCTGCGTCCACCAGCTCCACACAGAGGCTCTTACTGCTGTTGGTGGAGCTGACGTAGAACCCAGCCTTGCACTCACACAAGTTTGTTGAGGCTGAGCACTCAGCATCAGCCACACACATACCAAATCCCTGACACGGCTGCTTGGCTCCTATCCTTTCTCTACACTTGCCTTTGTCCACGTAAAAGTCCTTATGGCAGATACAGTTTTTCACGTACTTGCTGACAAACTCACATGAAGAATTAAACATGCACTGACCTTCTTTGTCGCACACTGACCCATGGTCAAGTAGAACGCTGCACTCTCCATTCTTCGCAAAGAACCCAATGTTACATTCACACTGACCAGTGGTCAAATTACACTCAGAGTTCTTTATACACTGATCTAACGCTGTACACTTCTGTTCTGCTTTAATCCTTGTGTCACAGTGACCGTTATTATTGTAGTACTCAGCTTTACATGAGCATTCCATTTTAGACAAATTACATTCAGCAAAATGTGTGCACTGGCCAAGTTGAGTGCAGTTCTTACCAGCATCAACCCTAGGCTTACACTCCTCCCCAGCCCTGTAGAAGTCAGCGTTACACACACAGAGGCTGGTCTGGATGTCACACTCGGAGTTGTGGACACACTGGCCAAAGTTGTCACAGTACTTGCCTACAACAATCCTCTTCTTACATGTGCCGTAGTCATTGTAGAACTCAGACAGACACTCGCACTGTGATTGTGTCATGTTGCACACCGAGTTGTTCACGCACTGTCCAGCACCGGTGCAGGGACTGCCTGCTGGTACCTTGGGGTAGCAGGAGCCACCAGCATCGTAGTAGTCTCTGAGACAGATGCAGGTCTGGCTGGCCAAGTTGCACTCAGCAAAGTCAACACACTGACCAATGGCTGAACAGTTTTTACCAGCAGGAACACTAGTCACACATTCAGTTGATGTCTCGAAAAATCCCTTTTTACACTTGCACACATCTGAAATAAGTTTTAAAAAAATAAAGTTTGAATCTAAATTCCTGTTTTTCCACAGAGAGTAAGCAAGATTTCAGAAGATTTAAAATTATTTTTGAATCGATAGTGAAACAATTTGTTATATATAGATCCAATTAGGATTTAATATTTAAAATCATTTGTGTCTTAAAAGAAATGATCATCCTTATAAAATACTAGTCAAGTAAATAAACTGCATAGGACTATAACAAGGCTCAATACCTTTTTGTAATTGACTAAACAAACGGAAATTTTACAGTATAAATCATCATCATTACGAATATCTAGATCTATCATCAGATTAATACCAGATCAAAGGTTGTGTATAACTAAGCTTTCAACTATTTACTTACAGAAACGCTTAATGTATAAATGTACCTTTAACAACAAGAAATGTAAAACTTCAAACGTTCATTTTGAATGAGTAACCCTTGTTCAACTGAGACCAACAATCTGTAGCTCAGTGTAACTAAACTGTTTATAGTTAGTTTAACCTTATAGGCCTTAGGTACATATGACATCTTTTGAATACATAATTATCTGGGGACAGCTCAAACACCCCCTAAACCCCACCCCCAGAACTTACCAGTAACCTTGTCACATGTAGCATTAAAGACACACTGTAGATCTTGGGTACAAGGCATCAGGGGTGGTTTTCTAGGCGGACACGCGTCCCCCTCTGGGTAGTGGGTCTCAGCACACATACAGAGACCCCCATAAGGGGTCTGGCACTCTGCATTGTGGACACACTGGCCAAAGCCTGTACAAGGTTTACCTGGGCCCTTGGCTGCCAGAAACAAGAGGACAATTGTAGACACTATCTTAAGGCCAGCAAACTAAGTTTTAATTACTAAATGTGTGTGAGTTAAATTAATAAAGTAATCTGATTGACTATAAAAAGTTAATTCTGTGTTTGTTTTGAAACACTGAGGATTGTCATTATATTTTAAGGATTAATAATTACTGTAGCAACTAACTATACCATTAACTTTAACGTAACCTGTAATTCTCTAAATTAGAAATGTTAATGTAGTTTAAACTTCAAGTCTAAAATTACATGCTTAAAAGTAATCTGTTGTATGATAAAAGCAGGTTTTCAATATTCTAACTAATTTTCTAGGGACAAATCTGTAGTGTCACAAGACAGGAGGTGCGGTCATAAAGGGGTGTAAACAATTAGAGGGTGACACCAAACAGAAAATAATAAAATTTATATTGTCAAAATGTTTAGTCCAGTTAAAATAATAAAATATTAGGAAAGGGGTTATACTGAACTGGAAATGCAAAATTGTTGGAAAGTTACTGTACATGGTGACATCCAACCTTGTGATGCCACTAGGACAAATAATCTTCAAGACAAAACTGTTGATGTTAAAACAGCTAACTATTGTGTTACTTACATGGATGACACTTGGTTCCATTCTGGTAGAACAAATCCCTACACTGGCAGGTCAGGTCACTACCAGCATCCACCACCACCCCACTGGTCGAGTTGTAGAAGGGGCGGGGCTTCACCTTAGGGGCCACACAGTCAGCATCAAATGTGCATTGGTGAGTCTCATTACAAGAGGCCCCCGCAACAAGCTTCACCTGGCACAGCCCACTCTTGTCGTCATAGTAACCATGTAAACACTGGCACTGCCTGGCTAGCAGGTTGCAGGTAGAGTTGAGGGTACATTGGTAGTCCTCCCTGCAGTAGTTCCCAGCTGTGATTCTGTCCTTGCAGAACCCACTCTCGTTGTAGAAGTGTGGGAGGCACTCACACTTCCTCAAGTAGGGGTGGCAGGTTGCATTGTGGGTGCACTGGTAGGTGTTGAGGCAGGTGTCAGGTGGTTTGGTGTTGTCCCCTACAGACAGTCTCGTGATACATAACCCTGACTCGTTGTAATGGGACTCTTTACATTTACATGTGTGCGTCGCTGCGTCACACACTGCGTTGGCCGTGCACTGGTCAGTTGTATTGCAGGGTGAGTCCACTTTGAACCTGGTGACACAGTGGCCTTCAGGTGTGTCGTAGAACTCGTCCAGACAGATGCACTTTGTTGTGAACAGGTCACAGAGTGCGTTGTGAACACACTGGTATGTGTACAGACATTTGGCGCTGGATCTGATCCTAGGGAGACAGTTGCCAGCTGTTTCGTTGTAGAAGTTCTCTAGACACTTACAAGTTTTGGTTCCAGGGTCGCAGACTGCATTATGGGTACACTGGTACGACTCCTGACAGGCAACCTGGGCTTGTTTGCGAGGCTTACACTCCCCAGACTCGTTGAAGTACTCATGAAAACACTGACACACGCCTGTTTCTCCTGAACAAACTGAATTGTGGGTACACTGGTCAGTGTGGTTACAGGTGTCACCCGCACCAATACGCGATACACAGCTGCCAGCGTTGTTATAGAAACCAGGTAAACACTTACATACGTCCTCCAGTTTAGAACAAGTTGAATTATGGGTACACTGATACGTACCAGTACAGTCCTCTTCTGCTTTGATTCTTGTAACACATTTACCTTTATCGTTGTAAAAATCTGTGAAACATTCACATTTCTTACTGGTGGGGTCACAGAAAGAGTTGTGAGTACATTGATGGGTCTCCTGGCAGAGTTTTCCTACATCCAGGCGTTCGTAGCACAAGCCAGACATGTTGTAGTGAGACGGGTGGCACTCACAGGTGTTGGTGTCCTGTTCACACGAGGAGTGGTGCGTGCACTCGTGGGTCGTCACGCATATGACACCGGTCAGTTTCCTGTCCAAGCATTGGCCGGAGCTGCTGTAGAAGTCTGGGTGACAGAGGCAGGTGTCAGTGTACCTGTCACAGAAAGCATGTTGTGTGCATTGGTGAGTCGTCACACAGGGGGCGCTCTCGTTGACTCGTATGATGCACATGCCTGTCTGGTTGTAGTACTCATCTACACACTTACACGTACCTGTGATAGGTGAGCACAGTGAGTGATGTGTACACTCGTAGCTTTCCTTACACTTGCTGTCTGTCAGTATCCTGGGCTTACACACACCACTCTCATTATAGAAGGAGGGTAAACACCTGCACACGTCCTTGACCTCATCGCACTGGGAATTGTGGGTACACTGGTATGTGTGGTTACACGCTGCTTCAGCTTCTACACGCAATGAACACACCCCTGATTCATTGTAGAATTGATGCTGGCACTTACACACCCCCATAACACATGTGGAGTTGTGTGTACATTCATACGTGGCCTTACATTGGCCTTCTGCTTCACGCCTGAGTAAACACGTACCCTGTTCGTTGTAGTATGATGGCTCACATTGACATGTTTTGGTGACAGGGTGGCATAAGGAATGCAGCGTGCATTGGTGCGTGTCAGCGCATGATTTCTCTGCTGGTACACGCTTCACACATTCAAGAGATGAGTTGTAATAATCTGGGAAGCACTGGCAGACTCCGTCTTTGGAACAGTTTGAGAACAGGGTACACTGATGGGAAGAGTTGCAGGACTGCTGGACTGGGATTCTTTCTACGCATACCCCAGAGGTGTTGTAGTAGTTGGGCAGACACTTACACACACCAGGCGACTCACAGGTGGCAAAGTGGGTGCACTGGTGCGTTAGTGTGCACTTGGCATCTGTTTCCACCCTCTTGACACACTCCCCAGATGTGTTGTAGAAGTCAGGTAGACATTTACACACTCCAGCTTTTTCATCACAGATACTGAAGAGCGTGCACTGATGGGTTGTCTGGCAAGAGTTATCTGTCTTGATCCTCTCCACACATTTGCCAGTAGTGTTGTAAAAATTACTGTGGCACTCGCACACACCTCGCTGTGTGCAGTTTGAGTTTTGTGTACATTGTTTTGTTTGGTTACATTTATCATAAGCCTCGATACGTTGGACACACTGGCTATTTTGGTCGTAGAAGTCAGGAAGGCACTTACAAGTACCGGTTGCAATATCGCAGACAGAGTTTTGAATACATTGATGGCTGTTCTCGCATTTGGTTTCCTCTGCCCCCACACGTTCCTTACACACCCCACTTGTGTTGTAGTGCGTAGGTGAGCACTCGCACACACCTTTAGCGCTGCAGTTGGCGTAGTGAGTACACTGGTACGTCTGGCTGCATTTCTCATCCACAGGGAGGCGCTTGTAACAGGTGCCTGTGTCGTTGTAGTACTCACTCAAACACTCGCACGTGCCTGATGTAGGTGAGCAGATTGAGAAGTTCCCACACTGTCGGCTGTCAGTGCAGTTAACCCCAGCTTTGATCTTCTCATGACAGACACCATTGTCACTGTAGAAATCCACATGGCACTGACATGACTTCTGACCGTTGGCGTGTACAACACAGTCAGCATCAGCCACACACTGTTGTGTGTCGTTACAGGTCTGGTCTACCTTGAGCAGGTCAGTGCAGTAGCCCAGCATGCTGAAGTAGCCGTCAATACACTCGCAGGTAGCAGGGTCCCCCTCGCAGTTGGCAAAGTCTGTACACTGGCTGGATGAGTTACACAGGACCCCTGCCAGAATTAGCTTGGTGCACTTCCCAGAGGTGTCCTCGTAGTAGCCCTTATCACATTTGCATTGGGCTGATACTGGATCGCACTTTGAGTTATGGGTACACTGGCGTGTCTGGTTGCATGGTTTGGACGCAGGGATCAGGCCAACACATTTACCGTCTGTGTCATAATAATCATACTCACACTGACATCTTCTAACACCTGTCTTATCCTCACTGCAGTTAGCATTAAATGTGCATTGAATTGTTTCGTTGCATGGCGATCCTACTTTTTCAAGCTCCTCACAGTCTTGGTTTGAGTTTTTATAAAACCCCAGGTTACACTCACACCTACCAGTCTGTGGAGAGCAGGTCGAATTAAACGTACACTGGCGTGTTTCTGTACATTTGACTCCAGATTTTATCAAATCCTGGCACAGCCCTGTGCTGTCGTCATAGTAACCAACAAAACATTCACATTCTGATGTCATGGGAGAGCACTCAGCATTATGGGTGCACTGTCTGGTATCATAGCAACCACTTTTGATCCTCAACAGTTCATCACATTTGCCGTTGTTGTTGTAAAAATCTCTCCCACATTCACAAGTCTTGGAGGTGGGTGAGCATGTGGAGTTGAATGTACACTGTCTGCTGTCATTACACGACACCCCTGCGTCCACCAACTTCTCACAGTGACCTGAGGTGTTGTAGAAGCCAAGGTCACATTCACACAGCTTGTTGAGGACGGAACAGCTGGCGTTGTATGTACACTGTAGGCTTTCATTACAAGCCTGGCCTGTCTCAATCAAACCCTGACAGTGGCCGTTTTTATCAGGGTAGAAACCAACATCACATTTACACTGATGTGTCGTGATTGAGCACGTCGCGTTCTTAACACACTGTCTTGTTTCAGTGCAAGGTTCTTCAGATACTTTAAGCTTGACGCACTGGTCCGTCTCATTGTAGAAGTCTGGGTGACACTTGCAGAGTTGAGAACCTGTGTGACATTCAGCGTTGTCGACACACTGTGAGACCAGCCCAGGCTCACAAGGGTGGTCAGGTTTAATGACAACGTGACACAGACCTTGTCTTTCATAGAACCCTGGGTCACACTTGCAGTTCTTGGTTTCGGCGTCTCCGTAACACGTGGCGTTGTGCACACACTGGGAGCTGGAGTTACACATCTGGGAGGAGTTGATGCGTCTTTCACAAACACCACCTAACATGTAGAAATCTGGGAGACATTCACAAGCTGGCGCTGGACTTCCAGAACAGACAGCGTTGTCCACACATTGCTTGCTGGAGGTACAGTTTTCTTTTGGCTTTCTCAACAAGAAACACAGACCTTCATGGGAGTAAAATCCTGGCCTACACTGACATTGTAACAGAGGGGGCTCACATGTAGCATTAGCTACACACTGGCCAGGCCCTGAACATGGATTATCCACCTTAACCAGCTCCTTACAGTCCCCTTGGTCCTCATAAAACCCTTTGAGACACTCACAAACGCCAGTTCCTGTGATGTTGCACTCAGCATTGGATGTGCAGGTTCCAACTCTGGGACACAAGTCTCCTGCGTCTATACTTTTCTTACACTTGCCGTTTGTCTCGAAGAATTCCTTCTGGCACTGACAGGTAGTGGGGAGCCCGGTGCAGATGGCGTTCTCCACACAGTGGGCCGTCATGTCACAGGGTAGGGTGGCGTTGATCAGGGGGGTACACACAGCCCCTTGCTGGTAGTATTCTGGTGTACACTCACACACAAGGTTAGATGAACACTCTGCTCCGATGGTGCATGTACCATTTTTAGCGCAGGTTAACCCTGCGTTTATTCGCTTCACACAGAATTCATTTTCTTCATAATAATCAGGCAAGCACTCGCAGAAAGACTGGCTAAATACATTTACAGCACAGACAGCATTTTTCACACACTTGTCCTTGCTGTCACACGGGTCGGTAGCGTTGACGTATTTCTTGCAGATTTTGTCGTACTGGAAATACTCCCCCACACAAGTGCAAGTCTGGGCATCCATAGGTCTGAGACACCTGGCGCCCTCAACACACTGGACATCAGACATGCAGTCCTCAGTGGCGTTCTTCAACACCAGGCAGGCCTTCCCTTCTCTGTAGAACCCCTTGACACACTGGCAGGTGCCGTTATGTCCTGCGAGGCTACACCTGGCGCCAGAGACGCACTCGTCTCCTGGTTCACAGGCCTCTGTGGCGTTAATCAGCCTGTAGCACAAATCCCCCTTCTGGTAGAATCCTTCCTGGCACACACACACTGGACCAGATGTTGTGTTGGACATATCCTTACACAAAGCCCCGGGAATACACTGCTCATCTCTATCACAGTCATTAGAAGCATTCTTCAGCAACAAACAGCTCAAACCCTCAGTGTAGTGGGTGTCAAGACACTGACAACTTTTCCCTGCGCCATCTTGATCAGCACACTCAGCGCCATCTACACATTGACCAACACCTGTACACGGCAGCGTGGCGTTGATGACCACCTTACACAGACTGTCATCTTCATAGAATCCCTTCCTACACTGACACACCCACTGCATGCTGAAGGGCTCCAGCTTACACTCCGCCTCCTTGATGCACTCCCTGCTCTCTACACATGGAGTTGAAGCATTCTTCAAAGGTTCACATTTTAACCCATCCTGGTAAAAATCTGGCAAACAGACACAACTAGAGTTGCCAGCTTGGCCTTGACATTCTGCACCTTTGACACACTGACCTTTTCCAGCACATGGATTGGATGCGTTGATAAGTGGATGGCACAAGAACTGGTCCATGTAATATCCATCCACACACTCACACTTCATGTCTGTCCCATTTCTAGCACAAGATGCACCTTTGATACACTGCCTGCTGTCTGAGCATGGAGAGGTGGCATTGATCCTGACCTTACAGATATTGTTCTCCTCGTAGTACTGCTCATCTATACAAACACACGAAGACTGGTTGCCACTGCTCACACACAAGGCTCCTGTCACACATTGACCATTCCACTCACAAGGAGTCGTCACGTTTTTTAACACCTTACACAAAGTATCAAGGGGGTCTTCGTAATAACCAGTCAAACATGTACAACTCCTGACCCCTGTGGTTTTATTCACCTGGCACTCTGCCCCGTGTACGCACTGTCCTACATTAGTGCAGGGACTGCTGGAGTTGATGAGCAGCTGGCATTTATTGGTGCTGTCTTCGTAATAAGAATCAGCTTTACAAACACAATTCTTCACCCCCGGGGCTATTTCCTTACACTCCGCTCCTCTAATACACTGGAAGTCTGCATCACAAGGGGAACTAGCATTGATTAACTCCTGACAAATGTGACCACTGTCCTCGTAGAAACCTGTAGTACAGTTACAGACTTTAGAGCCTGGGTTAGATAGGTCTGTGACACACTCTGCACCAGGGATACACTGGCCAGGCCTGAAGCAAGGACTGCTGGCATTCAACAAGGGCTTGCATATCATCTCATCTTCAAAGAACTCCTTGTCACAAACACACTTACGCCTGCCTTTCACATCCTGGCAGGACGCCCCGTTGATGCACTGGTAGGTGTCCACACACGGCAAGGTGGCATTGATCAACACCTTACACTCTGTACCGTCCTGGTAGTATCCTGGGTTACAGGTACACGATCCATTCACGCCAGGTGAAAACCCAACACACTCAGCGTTGGGTATACACTGGCCTTTATTGGAACAAGACTGGCTGGCGTTGTTAAGTCTGTGACATAACGAATCTTCCTGGTAGAAATCTTCAGTGCAGGTACACGTCTGGTTACCTGTGGTTCCGATACACTCCGCACCAGGTATGCACTGACCCTTAGCCGTACAAGGCAGGGTGGCGTTCTTCAAGACCTCACACTGCTTCTGGTCTGACGTGTAGAATCCTTCCTTACACCTGCAAGTGAAAGTGGCGCGGCCACCACGTACACTCTCACGGACACAGTCAGCGTCAGCGATACACTGGTCAATTCTGATACAGGGCAAGGTGGCGCTGATCCTCTTCAGACACTTTGGTCCCTCCTGGTAGTAGTCCTCATGGCACTGGCAGATCTTGCCCCCTGGTACAGCCTCACAGAAGGCATTGGGTACACAGGAGCCATCAACCTAACATACAGAGCATAGAGTTTTTTAATTGGAGATATTTTGGTTGCACTTCACATTTTAAGTAGTAATGGAATCATTTTAATGTTCAAAATCTAAACACTGAGTGAATGTTTGTTTAGTCAATGATATTTTTGCAACTGTACATTTCATACACAACAAATGAGGATATGTGATATATCATGTAAAAAGCTAAATGAACTTATGTCTATGTACTGAAAGTATTTTTCACCTTTAACTTAAGGCTTTCTCAAAGACATTAAATTATCTCAGGCCCTGATTTAAATCAACAACTCAACCTCAACACAAATTCTCCGTATCTCTCACTCAATTTAAAGTCTATGTGTGTAATACAGATTTTACTCCTCAAATATTGATGCTCTGGAGCCCATAAAAATCAAAGGATACCCAGAAGAGTTTTCAGGTCCACACTTCACATACTGTACAAATACAGACAGACCAATGACCACACAGATGTCTGAACCATAAAACAAAAGTTGACTTACATGGCACTCCTCCCCCGCATCAATCAGCTTAGAGCAAGCCTCGCCCACTTGGTAGAATCCTGTGTTGCATGTACAGACTCCAGTGCTGTTCTCTGTCTTACACTCAGCATTCTTCACACACTGGCCCAGGCCGGAGCACAGCTCACTGGGGGGGATCCTCTTGACACAGGTCAGATCCTGCTGGAAGTAGTCTGGGAGACACTGGCACTCAGCTCTGGTGGGGGATCAAACAGGTTATGTTAGTCTGGGAGACACTGGCACTCAGCTCTGGTGGGGGATCAAACAGGTTATGTTAGTCTGGGAGACACTGGCACTCAGCTCTGGTGGGGGATCAAACAGGTTATGTTAGTCTGGGAGACACTGGCACTCAGCTCTGGTGGGGGATCAAACAGGTTATGTTAGTCTGGGAGACACTGGCACTCAGCTCTGGTGGGGGGGGGGGATCAAACAGGTTATGTTAGTCTGGGAGACACTGGCACTCAGCTCTGGTGGGGGATCAAACAGGTTATGTTAGTCTGGGAGACACTGGCACTCAGCTCTGGTGGGGGATCAAACAGGTTATGTTAGTCTGGGAGACACTGGCACTCAGCTCTGGTGGGGGATCAAACAGGTTATGTTAGTCTGGGAGACACTGGCACTCAGCTCTGGTGGGGGATCAAACAGGTTATGTTAGTCTGGGAGACACTGGCACTCAGCTCTGGTGGGGGGATCAAACAGGTTATGTTAGTCTGGGAGACACTGGCACTCAGCTCTGGTGGGGGATCAAACAGGTTATGTTAGTCTGGGAGACACTGGCACTCAGCTCTGGTGGGGGATCAAACAGGTTATGTTAGTCTGGGAGACACTGGCACTCAGCTCTGGTGGGGGGATCAAACAGGTTATGTTAGTCTGGGAGACACTGGCACTCAGCTCTGGTGGGGGGATCAAACAGGTTATGTTAGTCTGGGAGACACTGGCACTCAGCTCTGGTGGGGGATCAAACAGGTTATGTTAGTCTGGGAGACACTGGCACTCAGCTCTGGTGGGGGATCAAACAGGTTATGTTAGTCTGGGAGACACTGGCACTCAGCTCTGGTGGGGGATCAAACAGGTTATGTTAGTCTGGGAGACACTGGCACTCAGCTCTGGTGGGGGATCAAACAGGTTATGTTAGTCTGGGAGACACTGGCACTCAGTTCTGGTGGGGGGGGGGGGATCAAACAGGTTATGTTAGTCTGGGAGACACTGGCACTCAGCTCTGGTGGGGGGGGGGGGGGGATCAAACAGGTTATGTTAGTCTGGGAGACACTGGCACTCAGCTCTGGTGGGGGATCAAACAGGTTATGTTAGTCTGGGAGACACTGGCACTCAGTTCTGGTGGGGGGGGGGGATCAAACAGGTTATGTTAGTCTGGGAGACACTGGCACTCAGCTCTGGTGGGGGATCAAACAGGTTATGTTAGTCTGGGAGACACTGGCACTCAGCTCTGGTGGGGGATCAAACAGGTTATGTTAGTCTGGGAGACACTGGCACTCAGTTCTGGTGGGGGGGGGGGGATCAAACAGGTTATGTTAGTCTGGGAGACACTGGCACTCAGCTCTGGTGGGGGGGGGGGGGGGATCAAACAGGTTATGTTAGTCTGGGAGACACTGGCATTCTGGTGGGGGATCAAACAGGTTATGTTAGTCTGGGAGACACTGGCACTCAGCTCTGGTGGGGGGATCAAACAGGTTATGTTAGTCTGGGAGACACTGGCACTCAGCTCTGGTGGGGGGGGGGGGGGGGGGATCAAACAGGTTATGTTAGTCTGGGAGACACTGGCATTCTGGTGGGGGATCAAACAGGTTATGTTAGTCTGGGAGACACTGGCACTCAGCTCTGGTGGGGGGATCAAACAGGTTATGTTAGTCTGGGAGACACTGGCACTCAGCTCTGGTGGGGGGGGGGGGATCAAACAGGTTATGTTAGTCTGGGAGACACTGGCACTCAGCTCTGGTGGGGGGGGGGGGGGATCAAACAGGTTATGTTAGTCTGGGAGACACTGGCACTCAGCTCTGGTGGGGGATCAAACAGGTTATGTTAGTCTGGGAGACACTGGCACTCAGCTCTGGTGGGGGGGGGGGATCAAACAGGTTATGTTAGTCTGGGAGACACTGGCACTCAGCTCTGGTGGGGGATCAAACAGGTTATGTTAGTCTGGGAGACACTGGCACTCAGTTCTGGTGGGGGGTCAAACAGGTTATGTTAGTCTGGGAGACACTGGCACTCAGCTCTGGTGGGGGATCAAACAGGTTATGTTAGTCTGGGAGACACTGGCACTCAGCTCTGGTGGTGGGGGGGGATCAAACAGGTTATGTTAGTCTGGGAGACACTGGCACTCAGCTCTGGTGGGGGATCAAACAGGTTATGTTATGGCGTCATTCATTAATGCTGTCAGACTTTTCATTTTTACCTTTTCAACTCCACATCGTCACATACTGTTACAAACAGCCAGACCCCCGCCCCCCTAAACTTCCCAGTGACATTGCACCTCAACATACAAACAGCCTCAAACTGTTTTTGAAATATTGCTTTCTTTCTAAAATCTTGAATTATCTTGGTCAACAATGAGTATATAAATCAATTTCTATTACTTTAACAATTTACAAAAAAAACAGTCTTTTAAAAGTGCTAAATAACAGTTACAATTCTGTTTCTAGCATTATTTTCAAAAATCCAAATGTGTGTTATCAGACTTTTTGACACCCCCCCCCTTTCCCCTTGTTACACATCATCACAAATTTGCACCCCCCCCCCATTTCTAGGAGTATGATGTGGTTTGTGGATGACCCTAAGTATATATAGCTGTCAGGCCTATACATGTGCTATTAGATTTGATAACTATTTTAAATGGTAAAATAAAATTTACTAGGAGAATGGTTTAGTACAGCTAGTGAGAGAAGAGAAAGTGGCCAACTTATTTCTTTTTTTCATGATTTGACATTGTTTACTAATATATATAACATGACCTAATTTATCTATGTGAGTTTTAACATGAGTCATACACTATTTAAAGAAAGACAGGATTGGTACTCAAGTGGACTAACTGTAACATGATATGTTTTTTAACCATTTGGTTTTGTAAAGGAAGATGCGTTTTTATTAAATACATATATATTTTTTAGTATTTCGAAATTACTGTAATTAATTTGACACATTCAAGGACTACTTAAGACCAACAAACTAACACCAATCACCTCAGTGACCTGATTGGGGCCCACAAACTTACAATGATTTCTGCAGTCTATTTCACTCACCATGACTTTATCTATATACTACTATGACAGTGATCTATATACTGACCACTACAGTGACTATATGCTGACCACTACTGTGACCTATATGCTGACCACTACAGTGACTATATGCTGACCACTACTGTGACCTATATGCTGACCACTACAGTGACTATATGCTGACCACTACTGTGACCTATAAGCTGACCACTACAGTGACCTATAAGCTGACCACTACAGTGACTATATGCTGACCACTACTGTGACCTATAAGCTGACCACTACAGTGACCTATAAGCTGACCACTACAGTGACTATATGCTGACCACTACTGTGACCTATAAGCTGACCACTACAGTGACTATATGCTGACCACTACTGTGACCTATAAGCTGACCACTACAGTGACCTATAAGCTGACCACTACAGTGACTATATGCTGACCACTACTGTGACCTATAAGCTGACCACTACAGTGACTATATGCTGACCACTACTGTGACCTATAAGCTGACCACTACTGTGACCTATAAGCTGACTACTACAGTGACTATATGCTGACCACTACTGTGACCTATAAGCTGACCACTACTGTGACCTATAAGCTGACCATTACAGTGACCTATATGATGACACTACAGTGACTATATGCTGACCACTACTGTGACCTTGACATTGACCTACCTGAGACCAATGAGCTTGCACTCTGCCCCCTCTATACACTGACCACTACTGTGACCTATACACTGACCACTACAGTGACCTTAACACTGACCACTACTGTGACCTATAAGCTGACCACTACTGTGACCTATAAGCTGACCACTACAGTGACCTTAACACTGACCACTACTGTGACCTATAAGCTGACCACTACTGTGACCTATAAGCTGACCACTACAGTGACCTTAACACTGACCACTACTGTGACCTATAAGCTGACCACTACTGTGACCTATAAGCTGACCACTACAGTGACCTTAACACTGACCACTACTGTGACCTATAAGCTGACCACTACTGTGACCTATAAGCTGACCATTACAGTGACCTATATGATGACCACTACAGTGACTATATGCTGACCACTACTGTGACCTTGACATTGACCTACCTGAGACCAATGAGCTTGCACTCTGCCCTCTCTATACACTGGCCAGGTGCTGTGCAGGGGTTGGTGACATTTTTCCTCCTCTCACACATCCCACCTTTCTCAAAGTACCCGGGGTCACACGTACAGGTCAGGATGACCTTGACCTTGACCTACCTGAGACCAACGAGCTTGCACTCTGCCCCCTCTATACACTGGCCAGGTGCTGTGCAGGGGTTGGTGACATTTTTCCTCCTCTCACACATGCCACCTTTCTCAAAGTACCCGGGGTCACACGTACAGGTCAGGATGAACCCGTTGAAGCTGCAGGTGGCGTGTGACGTACACTTGTACGTGGCGTCACACATGGTGCCAACTGTCAGGTCCTGAAAGACATTTTACAGTTCATGACACAGAATCTAAGTAGGATCTTGACTTACTTAGCCCTCTTTACTCCATGTGGAGCATAGGGCCTCAACTATTTCCTCCCACTAGTCTATTCCCATGCTCTAAAGCAGGGTCTCCAAACTACGGCCCGCGAGGTCCTCTCATCCGGCCCGCGGAGATCTTTTTGTCCACTGAAAAAAACGTTTGTTGCAGTTTGCAGAGGAACTTGCTCAGAAAGTCACGACATGCCTGGAACAAACTGGCCCCCGAACTGAAATTTGATTGTTAATGCGGCCCTCAGACTGAAAAGTTTGGAGACCCCTGCTCTAAAGGTACATCTTACTAGGGGGGAGTGTCTTGTAAAGATGATTATCTAGTTAGTTACAACTACATTTTTCTTACTATTAGGCTAAATCCATTCAAGTTTATTGAGCCAAGTTCTTCTTAAAAGGCTGACTTTTGTAAAACCAATCCATGCTTCTCCATGGATTCCTGAATTGGTACAAGACCTTGGTATCACAGAAAATTGTTATTTGCTAATTCTATACAATATTTGCCAGTCCTATAGTGGTGACCAACTCTTTAGTGTGGGATTCGTGGTCAAAAAGTAGATCTCACCACTGGAGTATGTAGGATGTCCTTGAGTCCACCCAGCTCTGATGGGTACCTGACTCACATTAGGGAGACAGGGAAACTAAGGCGGCATGGCCCAGTGCTAACCACATTACACCCTTGTATGCCGAGGTCAATGAAGATGAACTCTCCTTCATCTACCCCCATGTGTCATGGTCAAGAACATGAAAAGATGATGAATTCTTCCTTCAGAAACAAAAAGTCATCTAAAGAGAAAAACAACTCACTTTCAAACACTTTCCATCTTCATTGTAGTAGGGCTCATTACAACTACACTCCTTCTGTCCACTGGTGCTATTGAGGACACAGACAGAGAAACTTGTGCACTGCTCTGTTTTATTACACTCAAAACCTGCTGGGATTTCAGGCCGACACAGACCACGCTCTTTGTAGAAGTTTGGGTTACATCTGAGGGATTATTTTGTAAATGTTGACGTTTAATCATTCATAATACACATTTTGATTAAAATCATGGAATATTTGTGTACACAATTAAATTGTATCAACAGCATATTTTAATGCTAATTTACATGGTTTTGGAGTCACAAAATGTAAAATGTATTAAAGATTTTAAACAGTTAGCCCAACCACATTACCCCATCACATGTACCCATGAGCATTGTCCACGGGAGTTTTAAGACAGTAAACTAAAGATTCCTCTTTAGACCTAGTGATCTATGCCCAGCGGCTATTACTTTCCCCAATGTAAGTCAGGTACCCATCAGAGCTGGGTGGACTCAGGGACATCTTTTAGAGTTCTGTCCGAACCAAAATCTGTCCGAACCAAGATCCGTACTCAACACTCCGTTTGGCTGCTAGACTGAAGGTCTCAAGATGATCATAGCTAAAGACCACATTATCGCCTGATTATAAACTCTACAAAAGTGTACCCTCTACTTCTGGACATCATGTGAAGCACATGGACAATTTTTGTTTAAGAAGCACATAACTACTTCAAACCACTATTGTTACTGTTTAGTTCTAGACCTGTGGAAGAGATGATGGACTAAAGCAAAACTACCTGCACAAGCTCTCTGGAATGTCAGGTGTGCAAGTGGAATTGTGGGTACACATGGCGTTGGTCTTACAGGGCAGGTCAGCAGCAATCAAGGCCTTACACTTGCCATTGGACTGGTAGTAGTCCACACCACAGACACAGATGTCTGGGCCACCAACTACAGGGTGAAGTAGACAATCAGTTACTCAATTGATTCACATATCAGTGTCATTAAATAATAACATTTTTAAAAATCTGGGCCACCAACTACAGGGGGATGTAGACATTTATTTAGTCAATTGATTCACATATCAGTGTCATTAAATAATAACATTTTTTTTAAATCTGGGCCACCAACTACAGGGTGATGTAGACATTCATTTAGTCAATTGATTCACATATCCGTGTCATTAAATAATAACATTTTTTAAAATCTGGGCCACCAACTACAGGGGGATGTAGACAATCAATTACTCAATTTGTTCACATATCAGTGTCATTAAATAATAACATTTTTTAAAAATCTGGGCCACCAACTACAGGGTGATGTAGACAATCAATTACTCAATTTGTTCACATATCAGTGTCATTAAATAATAACATTTTTTTAAAATCTGGGCCACCAACTACAGGGGGATGTAGACATTAATTAAGTCAATTGATTCACATATCAGTGTCATTAAATAATAACATTTTTTTTTAAATCTGGGCCACCAACTACAGGGGGATGTAGACACTCATGTAAGTCAATTGATTTACATGGCAGTGTCATTAAATAATAACATTTTTTTAAATCTGGACCACCAACTACAGGGAGATGTAGACAATCAGTTACTCAATTGATTCACATATCAGTGTCATTAAAGAATAACATTTTTATAAAAATCTGGGCCACCAACTACAGGGGAATGTAGACACTCATGTAAGTCAATTGATTCACATATCAGTGTCATTAAATAATAACATTTTTAAAAATCTGGGCCACCAACTACAGGGGGATGTAGACAATCAGTTACTCAATTGGTTCACATATCAGTGTCATTAAATAATAACCTTTTTTTTAATCTGGACCACCAACTACAGGGTGATGTAGACATTCATTTAGTCAATTGATTCACATATCAGTGTCATTAAATAATAACATTTTTAAAAATCTGGGCCACCAACTACAGGGGGATGTAGACACTCATGTAAGTCAATTGATTTACATGGCAGTGTAATTAAATAATAACATTTTTAAAAATCTGGACCACCAACTACAAGGGGATGTAGACATTCATGTAAGTCAATTGATTCACATATCAGTGTCATTAAATAAAAACATTTTTTTAAAAATCTGGACCACCAACTACAGGGGGATGTAGACACTCATGTAAGTCAATTGATTTACATGGCAGTGTAATTAAATAATAACATTTTTAAAAATCTGGACCACCAACTACAAGGGGATGTAGACATTCATGTAAGTCAATTGATTCACATATCAGTGTCATTAAATAAAAACATTTTTTTAAAAATCTGGACCACCAACTACAGGGGGATGTAGACACTCATGTAAGTCAATTGATTTACATGGCAGTGTAATTAAATAATAACATTTTTAAAAATCTGGACCACCAACTACAAGGGGATGTAGACATTCATGTAAGTCAATTGATTCACATATCAGTGTCATTAAATAAAAACATTTTTTTAAAAATCTGGACCACCAACTACAGGGAGATGTAGGCAGTCACTCAATTGGTTCACATATCAGTGTCATTAAATAATATTTTACCTCTTAAATAGGTATTTTTTTAAGGCTTCTAATTAATTGGATCTTCAAGTTTTGAAGTGTTACCTAAAATTGCGTATATAGTTAAGAATACATAAATCATAAGATCAAAATAAAATTAAGATTACAAAAATTGTTAAGTGAAGAATTGCACATAACATTTTCTTCAGTAAAAGTACTAAGTTAAAAACAATGAATGATAAGATTCAGAGCTAGAATGAAAAAAGCAGACACAGGAAGATTACTGGAAGGTGTGGTTAAGGGTTAAAGTACAAGACCAAATGGTCAGTTCCCTGGCCTGTCTCTAAGACAACCATAAATACACCCAGCAGTAATATCGAATAGTGTCCTTAATAATGACAAATTAATTTAAACAATCAAAAACTCACAGCGGCTAGCACACGCAGCATTGGTAGTGCACTGGATCGACCTGTTACACGGATTCCCTGCATCAATTTGTGGATAACAGTGGCCATCCGAAGGATAATATCCCACAATACAGGAGCAGTGGAAGTCTGAGGAAGCTCTGGCAGGCTGACAAACAGAAAAGTCCACACACTGTTTTGTTTCGTTACACAGCTGGCCCTCTTCCACTTTTTTAAGACAGAAAATGTCATCCCTGTAGTAGCCATTCACACAGGTGCATGTCCCACCTTTGGTAGTAGAGCATTCAGATCTGGAGGGAGATCACAGGTACATGGTTGTCAAACTGTACATTTATTGCTCATCAAAAATGTCATCTTTACAATAATTACTTAAATTTTTAATTAAGCTAATAGGGTGAATTATTTTTGTACAATGTGATGTTCAATTAATAAGATCACATTTTTTTATTATTTAAGATTTTTTAAATAGTTAAGGGTAAAAAGCATTACAAAATCACTTTTATTTAATGTGTCAAACTTTTATAATGACAATAATGGTGTGTTAGCTGTATAACATTATCTCATCATTTTATATTAGTAGGCTATATTTAACCTCATATTATAGCTTCAATCATTGTTCTAACCATAGATCTACACCAAAATTGAGCTGTTTTGTTGATAACATGTTTGTTGATGTACGATGTTTTGTGCTTTTGATAACGTCTCTGTAGAATTTGACCCTATCCCATCCACAAACAAGCCAGTAAGTCTGACACAAATGTCAAGCCCACACCTCCCACTGTGGTATGGTGAAGTTAGCAGTAAAAAAACTACAACTGTTCTACACTTGTTGACTTACAGATTCTTACACTGGCCTGCTGCAGTGCAGGGTGTGCCCACATCTAGCAAGGGCTGGCAGTCTTTCTCTGTAGGGAAAAAACCTGGGTCACAGGTGCACTGTGCTGTTAGACAGCTGGCGTTCCAGACACACTGTGGCAGGGAGAGGGGAGGGTTATAGAGGTTTCAATAAGAGGAGAGGGTTATAGAGGCAATGACATGACAGTAATGTAGGGGAAATAATCATGAGGGGAATGTTACATGCATTTGTGGTGATAGTGCACTGATCAGAGCACATGTACAAATATAAAGAAGTAAGTAGTATAAAAAAAAACTTACATGAAAGAAAGACATTTTTAAATAGGTTTTTAAATTTAGTCTAACAGTTGCTAAAAAATGGATTAAAATAATGTTGCAAAAAACTCATTATATCTGTTATCAAGTTTGCTCTTTTTATACATGTTAAACTGCAGTATATACATTCAGTTACATTGTAAATACTGCTAATATCATTTTTCGCAACATTATCTTTTTACACAAGAAATTTACAAATGGGTTACATAAGAAACTGAAAAAGGAGTGCTTTTACATTGTCAATAAACAGGGTAGTGGTCTAAACTATATTGACTAGCTATGAACAGGATCATTTCAAACAGATGAAACATAAACTGATACACAGGTCTAATCTTATATACCTAAATCTGAACACACAACCACCACACACATGTTACCAGTTTACCTCAGCAGATTCCACACAGACTGCGAGGAAATCTGTACACACACCACCACACACATGTTACCAGTTTACCTCAGCAGATTCCACACAGACTGTGAGGAAATCTGAACACACACAACCACCACACACATGTTAGCAGTTTAACTCAGCAGATTCCACACAGACTGTGAGGAAATCTGAACACACACAACCACCACACACATGTTAGCAGTTTACCTCAGCAGATTCCACACAGACTGTGAGGAAATCTGAACACACACAACCACCACACCCACGTTACAAGTTTACCTCAGCAGACTTTACACAGACTGTGAGTAAATCTGTACACACACAACCACCACACACACATGTTACAAGTTTACCTCAGCAGACTTCACACAGACTGTGAGTAAATCTGTACACACACCACCACACACATGTTAGCAGTTTACCTCAGCAGACTCCACACAGACTGTGAGGAAATCCGTACACACATAACCACCACACACATGTAACAAGTTTACCTCAGCAGACTCCACACAGACTGTGAGGAAATCCGTACACACATAACCACCACACACATGTAACAAGTTTACCTCAGCAGACTTCACACAGACTGTGAGTAAATCTGTACACACACCACCACACACATGTTAGCAGTTTACCTCAGCAGACTCCACACAGACTGTGAGGAAATCTGTACACACATAACCACCACACACATTACAAGTTTACCTCAGCAGACTCCACACAGAATGTGAGGAAATCTGTACACACACCACCACACACATTACAAGTTTACCTCAGCAGACTCCACACAGACTGTGAGGAAATCTGTACACACACCACCACACACATTACAAGTTTACCTCAGCAGACTCCACACAGACTGTGAGGAAATCTGTACACACACCACCACACACATTACAAGTTTACCTCAGCAGACTCCACACAGACTGTGAGGAAATCTGTACACACATAACCACCACACACATTACAAGTTTACCTCAGCAGACTCCACACAGACTGAGGAAATCTGTACACACACCACCACACACATTACAAGTTTACCTCAGCAGACTCCACACAGACTGTGAGGAAATCTGTACACACACCACCACACACATTACAAGTTTACCTCAGCAGACTCCACACAGACTGTGAGGAAATCTGTACACACATAACCACCACACACATTACAAGTTTACCTCAGCAGACTCCACACAGACTGTGAGGAAATCTGTACACACACCACCACACACATTACAAGTTTACCTCAGCAGACTCCACACAGACTGTGAGGAAATCTGTACACACATAACCACCACACACATTACAAGTTTACCTCAGCAGACTCCACACAGACTGTGAGGAAATCTGTACACACACCACCACACACATTACAAGTTTACCTCAGCAGACTCCACACAGACTGTGAGGAAATCTGTACACACATAACCACCACACACATTACAAGTTTACCTCAGCAGACTCCACACAGACTGTGAGGAAATCTGTACACACATAACCACCACACACATTACAAGTTTACCTCAGCAGACTCCACACAGACTGTGAGTAAATCTGAACACACATAACCACCACACACATTACAAGTTTACCTCAGCAGACTCCACACAGACTGTGAGGAAATCTGTACACACACCACCACACACATTACAAGTTTACCTCAGCAGACTCCACACAGACTGTGAGGAAATCTGTACACACATAACCACCACACACATTACAAGTTTACCTCAGCAGACTCCACACAGACTGTGAGGAAATCTGTACACACACCACCACACACATTACAAGTTTACCTCAGCAGACTCCACACAGACTGTGAGGAAATCTGTACACACACCACCACACACATTACAAGTTTACCTCAGCAGACTCCACACAGACTGTGAGGAAATCTGTACACACACCACCACACACATTACAAGTTTACCTCAGCAGACTCCACACAGACTGTGAGGAAATCTGTACACACACCACCACACACATTACAAGTTTACCTCAGCAGACTCCACACAGACTGTGAGGAAATCTGTACACACACCACCACACACATTACAAGTTTACCTCAGCAGACTCCACACAGACTGTGAGGAAATCTGTACACACACCACCACACACATTACAAGTTTACCTCAGCAGACTCCACACAGACTGTGAGGAAATCTGAACACACATAACCACCACACACATTACAAGTTTACCTCAGCAGACTCCACACAGACTGTGAGGAAATCTGTACACACACCACCACACACATTACAAGTTTACCTCAGCAGACTCCACACAGACTGTGAGGAAATCTGTACACACACCACCACACACATGTTACAAGTTTACCTCAGCAGACTCGACACAGACTGTGAGTAAATCTGAACACACACACCACCACCCACATTACAAGTTTACCTCAGCAGACTCGACACAGACTGTGAGTAAATCTGAACACACACAACCACCACACACATGGTAACAGTTTACCTCAGCAGACTCGACACAGACTGTGAGAGGAGGTTTCTTGAGTGTACATTTCTTCCTGTCCTCCACATAGTACCTGGGGTCACAGATACAGGAGCCATAGACATCGTGGGAACACTCGGCATTGGCCACACACTGACCTTTGCCTGTACATGCTTGGTTGGGCTTGATGACTGGATCAAACATACAAGTCACACATTTAGTACACTGCCTGTGTTAGCGCTAGATCAGTACAATATAACAAAAAAATGTATTTTTATCAGAATTTTTTTTAGGTATTCATTGTATTTATATAAACAAGTATTTTATAACATCTGCTTAAAGCATTCTTAAATTTATTATGTGTTTAAGGTTGTTGAATAAAAAATATTTTGAGTAAAATTTTTAACATTTTGCAATTCATTACAAAAAGTTAGACATAACTATTTAAGCTACTATTAAGAGTCACTGTGGTTGACACGTTTGTTGAAATAAAATTTAAATATAATTTATGATTAAGGGTCCTGTGTGTCCATTCTACATGTTACAGAACTGATATGCTTTTTTTTCAGTTTTTAATAGACAATGTTTGATCAATTAGTTAGAAAATTATGGCATTTTTAAAAGTATAGACAAGCCAATCTGGCAAAAAGCTGAGAGAACATTACATTTATAACAAAGAACACAAGCCAATCTGGCCACAGGCACAGAGAACATAACATTTTTAACAAAGGACACAAGCCAATCTGACAGAGAGAACATTACATTTTTAACAAAGAACACAAGCCAATCTGGCCACAGATACAGAGAACATAAAATTTAACAGAGCAGATACAGAAGAAATAGACTTACTTCCTGCACACTGTCCCTCTGAGTCATTGTAGTACCCAGCATCACACTTACAGAACATTCCAGAGGTCAGGGTGGCACACTCAGCATTAGCCACACACTGACCAGTACCATTACACTCTTGGCGGGCACGGATCCTCAGTAAACAGTTACCACTGAGAGATATATTCATGTCATTAATACATAGGGACAAATCTTATTTTGTGTTGGGCTCATATCCTCAGTAAACAGTTACCACTGAGAGATATATTCATGTCATTAATACATAGACAGGGACAAATATTGTTTTATGTTGGGCTCATATCCTCAGTAAACAGTTACCACTGAGAGATATATTCATGTCATTAATACATAGACAGGGACAAATATTGTTTTATGTTGGGCTCATATCCTCAGTAAACAGTTACCATTGAGAGATATGTTCATGTCATTAATACATAGACAGGGACAAATCTTATTTTATGTTGGGCTCATATCCTCAGTAAACAGTTACCACTGAGAAATATGTTCATGTCATTAATACATAGACAGGGACAAAGCTTGTTTTATATTGGGCTCATATCCTTAGTAAACAGTTAATACATAGACAGGGAAAAAACCTGTTTTATATTAAGTGATCATTATTTGTTTAAGAGGGGTTGGCTTGATCGGGCAGGTAAAGCTTTTGGATGCTAAACCAAAAAGTTCCAAGTTCAAATCCCCAGGCAGATGAGCCTCAATAGCTGGGGACAACAACAACATATCAAACAACTGCTGCCTTATTTGATGGCCAGAGGTTATGGAAACAAACCTAGAAAGAAAAGCAAGCTGAAATCTAAGTCAATGGCCATGTGGTGCATAACATGTTGGCACTTAGTATTTAATTATGTTGGAGGATATTCTGTCCAACATTGCAATTAAGAATTATGACAAAGAAGAAGAATATATTTAAAAAGTTAATTTATATTTGTTGTTTAGTTAGTATTTGTAAAAAGTGTATGATGGTTCAGTTATTTTCTGATTGACCAAAGAGCGAATCTCCTGTTTAAAACAAATATAACAGTGAGCCTAAGCCAGAAGAGACTGGACATGTAAATAAGAATAAAAAGTGACATGTTTAAAGAACTTACTTCAATGGGAAATATTCATCCTCACAGCTACATTTCCCTTTATTACACACAGCATTTAGTATACACTGTTCTGTAAAGGTAGAAATAAAATCTGAATCCAGTTCAAAAAGCAACAACATTTGCCAATGGTATGCATTGTTACTTAAACTTCATGAATGTTTCAGCCCTTAACAGCTTTTGTTTTTTTATTGTTGATTACATTTAATTACAAGTGCAATAATACTATTTTAAAAGATTAACAGGGGTGAGAGAGTGCATATTTGCTATCTTGAATGTCCCAAGTTTTGTTTCAGATCCCCCAGATCAGATGCGGCACATTAGTGCAGGCACAAGCCCATCTAGGAGAGTAAACTCCGAAATCAAACAATTGTTGCCTAGAAAATGTTCTTGTGTGAACATAGGCTATGGAAGCCCATCCAGAAATAAATGAAGGTTGAAGTAGGAGTCAACTGGTCATGCTATGTTAGCACACGATCATCATCTTTTCACTTTTGAGCCCAGTACACTTAAGGGTGCCACAGAAATCTCTTTCGCCCCTTTCACCAGTTAGATTACTTTCTGTTTCAGTTTCTGTACCAGTTTTTCTTTTTAATGAAATAAAGTAGCTGGACTTTTGGTCAACTGTTAGACTGGCCAAACAGGATGCTAGTTTTTGTCCGACCCCAACACGCACTTGGAGTTTACACTCTAACTGGCGTGGGTGGGGGGCGTTGAGACAAACAAGCTGCCAAGCCACAGCAAGACTGGCACCAGATGGCAGTTGGCATACAGTACTTACTGTTAAGTTACAAAGAAGAATGCAGAGTAAAAAAGATTTTCACAGGTAACACGGCCGGTATTAATGTAACCCTCATACAATGGTAATGTTACCTGTAGCACTGCACGTCTCTCCCTCTTTCCTCAACTTCTCACAGGTGTTGTTGGAGGCAAAGTACCCAGGATCACAGGTACACAACCCTCCAATGGTGGCGCTACAGTTTGAGTTAGGTACACACTGGTGGTATGCTAGAACACACAATCAGATATCAGAACACAAGTTTCATGCTTATTGACTAGTACAAGAGTTAAATGAGATTTCTACCAACTCATTGGTAAATAATATATATAGAAAATTGTAGTAGAATAACGAATGATGTCAATTGACAGGTGTGTATGATGACTTACCTAGACAGCCTTGACCTGGCACCTTCCACTTGAAACAGTTCCCTGCCTCGTCATAGTACCCATCCACACACTGGCAGAAGCCATCTTTGGCTGGGACACATTCAGCACTTTTCACACACTGCTCATCTCTCTGACAAGGCTCATCTACTTTCTTCAATATGTGGCACAGGCCCTGCATTCAATACAATTGTATTCTTCACATAGCCACAACCAACAAGAAGAATATTTTGCTAGTTAAAAAAAAAACTTAAATCAAGTCTTACCCACCCACAAACTGTATTGCTTCAGTGTGAAATTTGAATATTCAATCTGTTACAATTTTTTAGTACAATTTTTTATTTTTGGTCTACTAATTATCACACAAATACACAACTAAAATGTTGTCTCCTTATAGTTAATTGTAGATAATTGTACTCACACCCAGTTAGTAGTTAAATAATTATACTCACACCCAGTTAGTAGTTAAATAATTATACTCACACACAGCTAGTAGTTAAATTATTATACTCACACCCAGTTAATAGTTAGATAATTATACTCACACTTTGCTAGTAGTTAGATAATTATACTCACACTTTGCTAGTAGTTAGATAATTATACTCACACTCAGTTAGTAGTTAGATAATTCTACTCACACCCAGTTAGTAGTTAGATAATTATACTCACACCCATAGATAATTATACTCACACCCAATTAGTAGTTAGATAATTATACTCACACACAGTTAGTAGTTAGATAATTCTACTCACACCCAGTTAGTAATTAGATAATTATACTCACACCCAGTGAGTAGTTAAATAATGATACTCACATTCTGCTAGAAATTAGATAATTGTAATCACACAGCTAGTAGTTAAATAATTCTACTCACACCCAGTTAGTAGTTAGATAATTATACTCACACACAGCTAGTAGTTAGATAATTCTACTCACACCCAGTGAGTAGTTAGATAATTCTACTCACACACAGCTAGTTGTTAGATAATTATACTCACACACAGCTAGTTGTTAGATAATTATACTCACACACAGCTAGTTGTTAGATAATTATACTCACACACAGCTAGTTGTTAGATAATTATACTCACACACAGCTAGTTGTTAGATAATTATACTCACATCCAGTGAGTAGTTAGATAATTATACTCACATCCAGTGAGTAGTTAGATAATTCTACTCACACACAGCGAGTTGTTAGATAATTATACTCACATCCAGTTAGTAGTTAAATAATTATTTAAATAATTCTACTCACACTTTCTGTATAGTATCCCCTGAAGCACTCACATTTGGCAGTGGCATTGTTACACAGGGCATGGGGCACACACTCCCCTGGACCCCCACATGGCTGGGTGGCGTTGATCAGTGGATTACACAGGGAATTCTTCACAAAATATCCTGGGGTTTAAAATATGTGTAAGATATAGACCACAATGGGAATTCTTCACAAAATATCCTGAGGTTTAAAAAAAAATGTTTGTCACAAATGGATCAGTGGATTACACAGAGAATTCTTCACAAAATATCCTAGTGTTAAAATATATGTGTTAGGTGTTGATAAGTGGATTACACAGAGAATTCTTCACAAAATATCCTAGTGTTAAAATATATGTGTTAGGTGTTGATAAGTGGATTACACAGGGAATTCTTCACAAAATATCCTAGTGTTAAAATATGTTTGTTACAAGTTGATCAGTGAATTACACAGGGAATTCTTCACAAAATATCCTGGGGTTTAAAAGGTTTGTTACAAGTTGATCTGTGGATTACACAGGGAATTCTTCACAAAATATCCTGGGGTTTAAAATATGTGTAAGATATAGACCACAATGGGAATTCTTCACAAAATATCCTGAGGTTTTAAAATATGTGTGTTAGGTGTTGATCAGTGAATTTCACAGGGAATTCTTCACAAAATATCCTGGGGTTTAAAATATGTGTAAGATATAGACCACAAAGGGAATTCTTCACAAAATATCCTGGGGTTTTAAATATGTTATGCATAGACCACAATGGGAATTCTTCACAAAATATCCTGGGGTTTTAAATATGTTATGCATAGACCACAATGGGAATTCTTCACAAAATATCCTGGGGTTTTAAATATGTTATGCATAGACCACAATGGGAATTCTTCACAAAATATCCTGGGGTTTTAAATATGTTATGCATAGACCACAATGGGAATTCTTCACAAAATATCCTGGGGTTTTAAATATGTTATGCATAGACCACAATGGGAATTCTTCACAAAATATCCTGGGGTTTTAAATATGTTATGCATAGACCACAATGGGAATTCTTCACAAAATATCCTGGGGTTTTAAATATATGTTATGCATAGACCACAATGGGAATTCTTCAAAAAATATCATGAGGTTATAAATATGTTAGGTATAGACCGCAATGGGGGTTCTTTACAAAAATATCCTATGGCTACAAATATTTGTGTGAGGCATTGATCCGTGGATCAAACATGAGTTCTTCACCAAATATCCTACGATTAAAAAAAATTTTTGTGGTAAATTGATCAGGTAGATAACAGTTTTTCAAAACAGTCTTGTCAAACAGAAGTGCACTAATGTATTAGAGAATTTAAGTTCATTGAATATTCCATCTTGGTGGGAAAAAAGTAAAAAGATAATCTAACCTTCATTGCACTGACAGATGCCCGTTGGCACAGGTGATGTACATTCAGCATTATCAATACACTGCCCGATACCTACAATACAATTGGTTATAATTAAAATCTAGCAGTATCACTGTGAAATATTTATGTTAATGAAATGTTGATGTACATTCAGCATTATCAATACACTGCCCGATACCTACAATACAATTGGTTATAATTAAAATCTAGCAGTATCACTGTGAAATATTTATGTTATTGAAATGTTGATGTACATTCAGCATTATCAATACACTGCCCGATACCTACAATACAATTGGTTATATTTTTAATCAAATACTAGCAGTATCACTGTGAAATATTTATGTTATTGAAATGTTAATGTACATTCAGCATTTTCAATACACTGCCCGATACCTACAATACAATTGGTTATATTTTTAATCAAATACTAGCAGTATCACTGTGAAATATTTATGTTATTGAAATGTTGATGTACATTCAGCATTATCAATACACTGCCCGATACCTACAATACAATTGGTTATATTTTTAATCAAATACTAGCAGTATCACTGTGAAATATTTATGTTATTGAAATGTTGATGAACAGCCAACACAAAAAGGTAGAAGAACTAAAGAGAAAGTTAAGATAGGAAATCATCAGTAAAGCTAACAACATCAGACCTGTGCATTTATCTTTGGGGACAATCCTTTTCTTACAGAGACCATCATCAACATAGAAGTCATGTAGACATTCACATTTTCCTGGGAAGAGTAGTTAGAATATATGCAGTAAGTGGGATAACTTTAAAAATATTATAACAAAAATATTATATTAACCACGATATATTGTCCAATAGTTCTAAAAACCTATAGGTGTACAATGTTTTTGTTATATTTCTGTTTCAGAATATCTGTTTGACTGTAAGTTTTAAAGAGCTAATACAATTATAAAGCACACCAAACTTTATTTTACCAATTGTTCTATAAAAATTCATCAGGGAAATATCTAACAGAGATATGGTGAGGAATTGGTGACCCCAAAAAAGTGAGAATTATTGCAGTTGTTGGGACGGAGTGGGTAGAGAGCTGGACTGCTGACCCGTTAGTCTCAAGTTGGAGACCGGGTCCAAGTCAGCAGACCGTCCCTGAGTCCACCCAGCTCTGATGAGTACCTAACTCACGTTAGGGAAAGTAAAGGTGGCTGGGCATAGTGCTGACCACACTATCCCTTTATAATAGAGGTCACAAAAACAAGTGAATTCTACTTCACTTGCCCCGTAGACCGTCAGGTTTGAAAGGGAACTTTACTTACTTACTGCAGTTTTAAGCTATAAATATTTTTAAAATAAGCAAATGGTTAGAAAATTCTTAAATCTGCTACTATGGAATTGAACTGAGATTGTTTTCATCAGTTTCAAGGATCTAAGTGTTGTAGGACAAGTACCTGTAGTGTTCCAGTGGCACACAGCATTGTCCACACATGTGTCCAGTTCACTGCAATTGACTGTGGCATTCAACACAGGCAAGCAGCTGCCTTTCAGGTTGTAGTAGCCATCAAAGCACATACACATTCCTGCATCATGACAATTAGTTATGAAATTATAGTGGACATCATCTTTTTATCATAACATATATATATATATATATATATATATATATATATATATATATATATATATATATATTACACACATGAATCACACACATACAGATTCCTACATTATAAAATTGTATATAAAGACTATAGTAACCGTCATCAATCAAGTATTATTTTAAATATATTATACACACACATATATGCACACAAATACTCATACATTTATACATTAATATATTACACATAGGTTATGTACCACACTCACATTACTACATCTGAACTAAGACTTTGTAGATTACTTTTAAGGTTTCCTCACATTCAGCATTTGACAAGAAACATACAAAATAAATATCAACAGGGAAGAAAGGGTTACCTCCATTGGTTTCCTCACATTCAGCATTTGGCACACACTGACCACGAGAGTCGCAGGAATCTGAGGCATTGCGCCACACATGGCACTGTCCATCTTTAGGGAAGTATCCCAGGTCACAGGAGCACACACCCGACTTACACGTGCTGTGGTTCACACACTGCTTGGTCAGTGTACACGGCAGGGTAGCATTGACCAGCATGTGGCACACGTTATTCATCTCATAGTAGCCGTTATCACAGACACACACCCCTCCCTCACAATGTGAGTTGGGGATACACTGACGTGTTTCCATACAAGTATCTGTCACATTTTTCAAGGCAAAACAAGTTCCGTTTTGATCGTAAAAATCAATACCACACCTACACATCAAAATGTCTGGGTCGCAGTCCGCATTCTCCACACACTCATTGGGGGTAAAGTCGCATGGCTTTAGAGCAGGGATATGTGTGAAGCAAAGCCCGTCTTTTGCGTAGTAGCCTTTATCACATAGACAGGAGTTGTCGATACAAGTAGCATTACTGACACACTCCCCAGGGGTGTATTCACAATTGTTTGTTGCGTTTATTAACGGGTTACAATCTCCTTCTTTAGAATAGAACCAGTCTACACATGTACACTTCCCCATCACGCACTCAGCGAACTGTGTACACTCATTGGGAATCCCCTCACAAGGGTTCTGAGCTTTTATAAGAACATTACATGAACCAAGTTTAGCGTAGTAGCCAGGGTCACACAAACAACTTCCTTTCAAGCACTTAGAGTTGGGCACACACTCCCCTGTAACTCCACCATCACATGTCTCCTCTGCTTTCTTCACTACCTGACAAGTTCCATTTTTAGGGAAAAATCCGTCTAAGCATTCACAGATTCCATTAATACATTGAGCATGTTTGGTACACTCTCCTGTTATATTCTCACACGGCTCTGTTGCGTTCTTCAGACCTTCGCACCTCCCATATTTATCATAGAAACCTTCATTACAAATACATTTACCAGCAACACATCCTGCGTTTTTTGTGCATTCATTAGCGTATCCTTCACAAGGTTCTGTAGAATTCTTTATAACGTAACACTGTCCAAGTTTAGCGAAGTAGTTGTCATCACACAGACAGATGTCCCCTATGCAGGAAGCGAAACTGACACACTCACCAAGAATGCCCTCACATGGTGATGTAGCGTTAAGCAGAACTTTACACAGCCCTAAACGATTGTAATAACTGTATTCACATTCACATACCCCTTTTTCACAATTTGCATTCTTGACGCACTCGTTCGGCAAGCCCTCGCAAGGCTTGCTTGCGTTGATATTCTTCTGACACGTTCCATTTTTAGCATAGTAGTTCTCAACACATGAACACAGCATTGTGCCTTTGACATCGCACACAGCATGGTCAACACACTCGTTAGGAACCCCTTCACATTTAGACGACGAGTTAATTTTCTTCTCACAGAGTCCTTTTCTTGCATAGTAGCCCTCATTACAGATGCATGCGGCCCCCACACAGGCTGCATGGGTGACACACTCCCCACTAATCCCCTCACAGGGGAGTGTGGCGTTGATGTTTTCCTTACACAGTCCTTGCTTGGCGTAGTAGCCGGGGACACAGACACAGGATCCACCGCTGCAGTTGGCGTAGTCAGTACACTCCCCTGGTATACCCTCACATTGGTCCTGGCAATTATAATATCAATACGTAGCAAAACATAAACTCTGCCGTAACTTGGACTGTTTGATTAATAAACACATAGCTGATATTTAGGACTGACATGAAATAACAGCCATAAACAACAGTAAAATAATTATTGTTTATTATTTGATTTGATATTTAATGTAAGTATTACTATATAGTCAACACACTTTTCGTCTATAAGTAAAATGTGTAAACTTAGATAGACCATTTTTAAAACACAACATAATAATTATTAAAACTTAATTAAGAATCAAATGTAAAATGCATTTAAAATTTCTAGGCTTTTAAAAATATGTATCTGTGGCAAATTTATTAATACACTTATGTTAATTTCTTTCTTTTTAGCTAATTAGACTAATATTATTTTTATAAAATGTTGTTTTAAAAGTGAATAAATGCACATAAACAACTTTGTTAGTTCTTGTTTAACACATCAAATATAAAATAAGACTAACTTTAGCAGGTATGACTGGAAGACACTGGCCAAGTTTAGCGTAGTAGTCATCAATACAGGAACACAGCGAGTTGATGCACTTAGCATTGGCCACACAGCCTCCCAATGCCTCCTCACAAGGCTGTGTGGCGTTGATTAGCCCACTGCAGTAGCCATCCTTGGGGAAGTAGCCTTTAACACACTCACATTTCCCTGATACACACTCTGCATTTGTGACACATTCCTCAGAAATGTTTTCACATGGAGATTTGGCTCTGTGAAGATTTAACAGCATAATTCAATTAAGAGTATTAATTAGAAGTGTTATTATGCAAATTAATTTTAGATTTATTATAGATTTATTATAGAATAACTAATTCAGACTCAATATCTTTAGAATCTAAAATATAAATTAATGTGTTTGGACTTATGCAATAATGCACTTAATGAATCATAAAATCTTAATTAAGCTTTAAGCATTTAATTAATACCATGCAGTAATGACTAGAATACTAGATCTAGATTCTAGTAAAGATAAAGCCAGGTATTTTTATTAATTATTAAATAATAAATATTCATTACCTAAGCGAGCCTAAGCATTAAATAAAAAAAAATATTTTTACAAGATCTTACTTATTTATTTTAGAAATTTAATAGGTTAGATTTTAGATCTACCCTTAACTCTTGTCAATAGTCAAGTCTAGTCGTGTCTTAACTCTTTCAAGTTAACTTAAGACTGACTTAAGAGTTAGGAGTAAAGTAAAGACAGTAAAGAGTGAGTAAGACGACTTAAGAAGAGTAAGAGTTAAGACGTGAATTCTGACCTGATTTTCTGTTCACATTTGCCAGCCTTGGGATAATATCCATTGTTACAAACACAAATACCACTCTCACACAGGGCATTAGTTGTACATTCACCTGTTTGAATCAACGTAGAATAGACCACCAAATTTAATATCAACTTAGAATAGAATAAAAAGTGACTATTTTAAAATAAATACTTCAAGATTCTAAATAGATCTATAGTTAAATAGCAGCCACCAAACAATAAAGAATACCCGTGGCCAGATTTTTAAAAAATAGTAGTCTAGATCTAGATCTAGATATAGTATGTTAAGGATTGGTGTTTTTAAAAACCATTGCACAGTAGAATCTCGATCTAGATCTATTAGTGTAGTATTCGTATTATTAGTTTACCTGGAATTCCTTCGCAAGTATTTTTGCTTGGGATTGTGACTTTGCAGGTACCAAATTTAGCATAGTACCCTTCGTCACAGCGACATCTTCCATTCACACAAGTGGCGAATTCTGTGCACTCTAGAGGCAAATCTTCACAAAGTTGTGTCGCATTTATCTTTTCCTGGCATATCCCCAACCTTGAGTAGTACCCGTTGTTGCAGGTGCAGACGCCAGCTTGGCATGATGCAAAGTTGACACATTCCCCAGGAATGTTTTGGCATTTCTCTATTAAAACAACAAAGCTTGAATTGAATTAAAACGCACACGTTATGAATTGTTTATTATAGGTATATGTCTGATTTAGGGGGTCATTCATAAATGACGTCACACTCGTAGGGGGGAGGGGGGTCCGTAATTTTGTGACGATGTTTGATGAGGGGGGGGGGGGGGGGGGGGGGGGTTCAGATGTTGCGACGTCACATTTTTGCATTATAAAAAAGCAATGTTAGAAAACGAATTTTAGACGTTATTTCGCGTTTTAGATAGCTGTTTTAATAAATTGTAATAGTTTAGACAAGATTTTGGAAAAATATCGATGTTTAAAAAAAATTCAACTGCAATTTTGAGGGGGGTTGTAGGTTGAGGTGTGACGTCATTTTAGGGGGGGTGGCTTTTTGTGACGACGTGTGACGGAGAGGAGGGGGGGGGAGGTAAAAATCGTCAAAAAAGCGTGACGTCATTTATGGATGACCACTTAGACGGGTGATCAATTAAAGTGGTATTAAAATAGTGCTTATTGAATTGGCTATCTTAAACAGAAATTCGAAGTGTCTTTAACGTTTCCTTTTTTTTTTAAATCCTAATTTTTTGCTAACTTTAGGCCTTACGTATTTTTTTCAGTATGATTTGTTGTTTATTTTTTTTATAAATTGTGTAGCATCTATTTATTACCTGTGGCATTTTTCTTCTGTAAACAAACCCCATCTTTGACAAAAAACCCTTCATCACATTGACATTTCCCATTAACACAAGACGCCGATTCCACGCATTCTCCTGCGATATTTTCGCAACTCTCCGGGACTTTCCGAAGTACTTCGCACTTGCCCTGCTTAGCGTAGTAGCCCTCTAGACATGAGCAAACCTTGTGAGAAGAAATGTAATCACTAGGTGGGATCTGTTCATTAAGTGCTGTTGGTATAAGGTACACCTTTTAAAAAAAATATAATGTAGTCTAAAAAAAGAAACTACATTAGAGAGCGTGCAGAAATAGCCAAAAGGGTGGTGTTTCACTATGTTGATATGTTTATCGGGTAGCTGGGCGTGGTAAGGAGCAGTGTTTCTTTCAGACATTTCTCTCCGGACAAAACAGAAAAAATATATAACTTATATAGACAATGGGGATCTTGTCCAGATTAGCCCCGTAAAAAAAAGTTAACCCCCGCCACTAAAGAAGATAACTGAAAAAAGATATGAAACTTTGTTAACCCTAACCTGACCTTTACATTAAACCTAATGTAGGATATACCGTATCCACCGTTTGACCCCGACCTGCTCATGAGGTTTCAAGTGAAACTACACCCCCCCCCCCCCAGAGGCGTAGCGACCCTTCCCGGCGCCCGGGGACAAACTTTCGATTTGCACCCCCCCTCGAACTTTTCATTTGCACCCCCCCCCGCCCCTCAAACTTTCGATTTGTACCCCCCCTTGAAGTTTTCATTTGCACCCCCCCCCCTCAAACTTTCAATTTGGCGCCCCCCCCCCTAAGGTCGGCGCCCGGGGACATATGTCCCCCCCCCCCTCGCTACGCCTCTGCCCCCCCCCCCCACGGAGAAAAATTCCGCGATAACCCTGATCAATACAAAATGTTTTATTGTGTTTTATCACTTATAGATTGACATTTTATTTTTGACAGAGAATAGTGGGCGTTACCTTCCCGTCACACTTAGCGTTAGCGACACACTCGCCCGGCGTGCCGTCACACGGCTGTGTCGAGTTGACCAGCACGTTACACTGGCCGTTCTTGTTGTAGTAGCCCGCCGCACAGGCGCACGCCCCGGCTACACACGAGGCGTGCTGAACACACTCGCCAGGTGTGTTGTCGCACGGCTGTGTTGCATTGATCAGTGTCTGCAAGATTTAAACAGTAAATATTAGAAAAACGAGAAAAACCCACCTTGGTGATAGTTTGGTCTGTTCAGTCTGTTCTATACTCAGCCGACTTTACTTTCCTTAATTGAGACAGGTACCCATCAGAGCTGAATGAACTCAGGTGCGCCCTATGTTCACAAGCCCACACTCTACGCACGCAGGCTAGCAGTATAATCAAACCAATCTCAATATCATGTGGGCCTATAACCCATCTATTATAGATCTAGTAGATCTAGACTAGGGCTTACTAAAGCCAATTTCATAGCCAATGGTCAAACAACACTACTTAACAGTAGCGTCACTGTAGATAGGGGGGGTTGACAGCACCAGGTGCCACCCCACCTAGAGACGCCATTTCCCTCTATCTCACCTGGCACAGCCCAGCCTTTGGGTAGAAGCCGACATTACACTGGCACTTCCCGTCCCTGCATGCCGCGTCACTCACGCACTCCCCGGCCACGCCCTCGCACGGCTTGCTCGCGTTGATCAGTGGCTGACACTTGCCCTGGCGGTTGTAGTAGTTCAGGTCGCAGGCACAAGCCCCGCCCACACACTGCGCGTTGTCCGTGCACTCACCGCTGATCCCGCCCTCACAGGGCTGGGTGGCGTTGTTGACAACCCTGTCAAGTAATCAATGGGCAGATAGATATAGTTCGTTTTCTATAGGTTCTTATCCAGCCATTGGCATAATGAATCGGTTTTAGGGAGTGATTCAGACATTTTTTTTGGGGGGGGGGGGGGGGGGGGGGGGGAGTCGAACACAATTTTCCGGGGGTCGGAAGGGGGGGGGGCGGACACAGCAAAAGTATATAAGTATATATTTTCTATAAAATGTCTTGTGCGTCGGGAGCAGGGGTGGGTGGGGGGGGGGGGGGAAGGAGGAGGGCAGATGCATGAGATGAACTCTTCTGGGATAGCAGTTAGGTGAGGTCGAGGTTAGGTTCAGTGTTAAGTTAAATTTGTTTTTTTACACGCTTGGAACATAATTCAGGCATTAAGGGGTTAATTTATTGTCTTGGTCAGGGTTAGATACAGTGGCGTAACTTTGTCAAGTGTCAACACAATAAAGCAACTGAGGGTGCCCCCCCCCCCCCCCACACACACACACTTCTTTCCCCCACCCTCCTGAAGAAGTGCTTTAAAAAACTTTGCTCGGGTTACAGTTTAGGATTTGGGAACGCATGGTGGTATGTAGTTTGCTCCGTGTTGTCACCTTGTATAGTTTATTTGATTTTTAATAGTAGTCAAACAATATTTCGTACATTTCGTATAGTGTTTCTATCAGATATTAAATTTAGGGCAAGGCTACGGGGAGGTTTGAGATTAAACTTTACGTATCTTTGATTTTTTTATTTTGTAGTTAGGTCTAATAGGCAAATACGGGTTTGGTAGTTTTTTTTTAATTAGATGAACTCAAGAACTTACCTGCAGGCGCCATCTTTAGCGTAGAAGTTGACGTCACAGGTGCATTTACCTGCCACACACCTGGCGTGGTTGACGCACTCCCCGGGGAAGTTCTGGCAGGGCGCGCTCGCGTTGGACCGCACCTCACAGAACTCATTCTTGACGAAATAATCCGCATTGCACGTGCACACCGTCTCTACGCACTCCGCGTTGGCGATGCACTGCCCCGCACCGTCGCACAGTTTGGTGGGGTCGATGAGTTTATTGCAGGCGCCGTTTTTGGGGAAGTAGCCTTGATCACAGACACACGCCCCAGCTTGGCATTGGGCGTTACGCACGCAAACATCCACGGCATCGCAGGGTTTCGTTGACGGCACTAGAGCCGGGCAGGAGTTATTTTTAGCGTAGTAACCATCGTTACACTTGCATTCCCCGTTCTGGCACTCCGCGTTGGTGACGCACTGGCCGATGGCGTCGCAGGGCTGTGAGGGGACGATCAGAGGGAAGCAGCCGCCGCTCTTGGGGTAGTAGCCGGAGTCACAGACGCACCTCCCGCCCACACACTCGGCGTGGGCGACGCAGGTTCCAGCCCCGTCGTGGCAAGGCTGGGTGGAGTTGACCAGAGGCAAGCAGTTCCCTGCCTTGACGTAGTAGCCTGATGGACAAATGGTCAAGTTACACACTATTTAAAGGCGAGAAGGCCAACTGGGTATTTACACAAACGCCAACAAGCCCCAACCTGGCCATAGCATAAGCCTAACCATAATCCGAACCATACCCCCCTCACACTAAACTCTAACTCTTACCCTGTCTCTAAACATGATCCTGATTGATGCCGGCAATATAATCGATACGATACAATTTTACTTACTGGTTTTTGAACGATGTTGATATACAAGCCCCCCCCCCCCCCCCACCCGCGCCCCCAGACTAATTTTACAACAAAAATTAAACAATTGCAAAGTATTTACAACGTAAGAAATATTTTTTAACCGTTATTTTTTAAGCGCATGACGGGGCGTTCCAAAAACACGTGCAATAGGGCTTGTAAGTCTCGTTTTCTCTTACTTTGAATTAGAAATCTGTCCTGCTGTACAGAGTTTTGTAATGACAGGATGTTCAAAGTATTGTGCTTGTTTGGTAAGTTTTGATTAATCTTTTAGATTTGAAAGTAACGGCGGGAGGCTGTTGCTGATATGGTTTCGTAGGTATAAAGTATCGAAGTTTTAATGTGTCGTATTTTTTATTTGAAAACACTACAAGTAAAAGTAGGCGTTCTCTAGCTTAAAAATCTTTAGTTTTTTAGGACTCTAAATCTAAATTACCACTCTAAAAGTATGAATATATTATAATATATAGACTAGAATTTATAACTAACCGTAAACTTTGTTTTTTTCACGTAATAATTTTTTTTTATTTAATCGATAATTACAGCAATGTCTTAAAAAGTTAACCGTTAGCCGTATATGAATTTTTTTGAAAGGCGTCGCTTTATTTAGGGGATCCAAAATTGTATAATAAATGTATCAAAGGCAAGAAGGTGTAAACGTATTTTAAACGTATTTCATCATAATTGACTAGAAGTAAGTTATAATAAAGCTAGCGTATTTAGACTTTCAAACGAAACCTACAGTTGAGTAGTCAATTAGTAAAATATATATTTTGACATGGCGACATAAATAATATAAAATATTTATTATAATTATTACGTAATAAAATTTAGATCATTTTATTGCTTTTTTTCAAGAATGTCTTAGTTACACTAGGTTAATTTAGCTACTCTTGTGCAAGTTATTTCCCTTGAATAAAATTTTGGTATTTGAATTTCCAAATGGGAGATAATTCATTGCTTAACTTTACATTCATTTCAAATTCCTGCACCTTAGGTTGACAGCTTACTTATAAATACAACTTTAAGTTATTATCTGCTATTGTAAAAATTATATAGAGCAGAAGTTCTAAACAAAATAGTTCAATAGTTTTTTTTTAGCATTATCAAGTTGAAAACAAACACATCATTAGCCGTTGTAGATTGCAATACTTAATGTTAGTAGACATACAGTATGAGATAGTGCAACAAATGCGCCTAAAATCGTCTTAGTCGCAAATTAATCATCTAATTAATTATGTGTCTTTTTCATATTTTTCGCCCTCTCCTAAAGGATTCATATGTACCAATTGTAGGCTGGAATCTATAACATTTATAAACTTTAATTTTTCAAAAACAAAAAAATCGTTACATAATCACACACTACAGACATTTTACAATTTCAATCGCGGATCAACACTTAGCCATCTACAAACCCATAGTCCCCCCCCCCCCCCCCGGGAACTGACACCTACAACAGTATGCACCGACCTGCACGAACAGATCAATAAATAAACCGGGAGTGATCTCCCCTAAACTTTCTCGAATATTCTTATATAACTTGGAATGTAGACATGATTTTTAATTACTTAAACTTTTAAAAATAGAATAGAATCTCATAGAAAAAAACATTGCGCACCAAACAAACGCCGAAACAAAATGTGCATAATAGTGCGCAATATTATTAGTACTTTAAAAATTTACATTAGTTTTTTGAGAAATCGGAAGTAGCGTAAATTACTACTTCCGGTCAACGGAAATTACTCAAAATTTACACTTACATGTGAAATTTCATTTATCTATCTGAAATAGTACTCAAGTTATAGGCTTTTGAAAAATTCAAAGTAGAAAAAGTACCACTTCCGGTTGTCGGAAATCGCTCTAAAGTTGATACGGATCTACGATTTTGATATAATACTTATATATGAAATTTCATCAACCTAGCTGTAACGGTACTCAAGTTATCGTGTTTACACACAGACACACAGACACACACACACACACACACACACACACACACACATAGACATACGGACAAGATTGCAAAATTATGTTTTTCCGTATCAGTGAGGTGTAAAACGTCGAGAATTGTAAAAATCTCGATTTTTTTTTTGCACGATTACAATACTTTCTCTATACTACGTAATACGAGAAAGTAAAAAGAGGACCCGGTGATGGCCTGTATTGAGGCTACATAGATTATAGAAAGGCTGACAGAAAATAACATAGCCATCTATACGGACGGCTCAAAAACAAATGAGAAAGTTGGAGCAGGGTTCCACATCCCCCAACTCAACTACTCCAAAAGCCTTAGAATAACCGACTGCGCCAATTATAAATAAAGAGAGTCAAAACCTAAAACAGGTAAGTTTCGTTCTTGAACGTGGGAGGTCTGCAGAGAGCCCAACACTATAAGAACTATGCTTTTTTTCCAGTATTTTTTTTCCCCGACTCTTTTTAGCGCAATTTCCATACGGACAATTGCGATTATTAACTCGTCATTTCTGGATGGATGGATGGATGAATGAATGGATGTGTGTCCGCAGCTTTACCGCAGCTTTAAGTCGTATCTCCTCCTCAACGAAGCAATGTCGAGGACTAGTTTTCTCACGAGAGAGGGGGGGGGGATAGTGCAAAGTAGACTCGTAGACTTAGCAACAATTTCAATAAAATGTGATTACGCTTGCAAACTGGAGTTGAAGGAATTAGTACAAACTTTTGAGACGAAGGAGGCAAGTAAAATTTGATTTTCATGTCTACTTATAAAGTGTATGCAATTGATAATAAATTAATATGTCACAATTAATTGTTTTCTTATACATATGTTTACCTGCCAGACAGGAGCAGGTGCCGCCGCTGCACTCGGCGTTGACTACACAGAGACCTTCAGCCACGCACGCCTTCGGCACCGGGATCCGAACCTGGCACTTCTCCTCCCACGCCACGTAGCCGTCGGTGCACTCACACACACCGTTGGTGCACTCGGCGTTCTTGATGCACGTGTCTATACCCGGACAGGTTCTGTTGCAGTTGTCAAACAATAAATAATTTTTATTGGGTAAAATATAGAAACAAAATTGATTATTTTATTAATTAAAAAAATGACATAGGCCTAAATAAACAACTTAATTACATTAGTGATAACAATGTGTGTAAACAAATGAACTATTTTATTATTTAACGTGACAAAACAATAACAAATATTTTTTTTTTAATTTGATTTTTATAGAATTAAATTTGGTTGCTTCCCTTTGAGTTCTAAAAATAATTTTGATGACTAAATACTCTTTTAACGTGCTTTATAAGATAGGGTCTACTTAAAATATTTATCAAATTCGAAGTAAACAAAAGTTGTTTACCCAAAATTTATAGTATCATTAATTTATGTATAAACTACGTGTTATTTTGTGTGTTGTGTTTAGGATAAACAAAACACTACAATGTAAAATTTCTAATAATACGGTTTTTACTTTTTGAATGTTGTTTGATATTGTATATGGTTTTCAACTAAAACTCATATCTGGCTTGTAACTATTTCGCAAGAAATTTTTTAAAACTCGCAGCTGCTGTCTATATTTCTCCTGTAAAATCTTTGAAAATGATATATCAAGGACACGTTGCTTAAAATAACAAAACATTTCAGAACTGTACACCAGTAGGTGAAAGTTTTAACTTGTTAATATTTCAAATGTTTGGTCTGGTAATGTTTTAATGAATGATTGAAAAAGTATATAATCAAGCATAAAGTACGATCTATATCATCTTAAAAGTATGTTGTGAATGTTTTTTGTGTTAGTAGATGAGTAGATGACTCTTTGGTTTTAAGTCTTTCACGTGCGATATCTTTTTACTTTATCAAACTTTCACCAAAACATAAGCGAAAAGTAAGCGAATTTTAGTCAATGTGATTTTTCTCTTAGTGTAGAAAAGCCTACTGTACCATGATAAAGTATTAAGATACCAGTATAAAAAGACGGTTAAACTTTAGAATTAGATCTATAGAGAAATTTTAAAAAGGGAAAACCAAGGGCTATAACAATTTGAGGGGAGGAAGGGGCAATGGAAAATATTCCGCCCCTACATCCCTTATGATTTACAGCATGTAGGTGTTGAGAACACCCATCACGGTCCCCCCCCCCCCACCACAGAAAACGCCACACCCCCACCCCATGTTGACACGCCCCTGACGTACTTGTTGGGTTTGATCCTGGGCTCGCATTTCTCGGGCGTGGCGTAGTAGGCGACGCCGCACTCACAGTTGCCCTTGACCGCATCATCGCAGTAGGAGTTCTTGATGCACCTGGAATTATGGGATAGTGACACATGACGTGCTAAAAAATAGAGCATTGTATGTTTAATTCTGATAGTTAAGATGCACCTGGAATTATGGGATAGCGACACGTCAAGCGTTAAAAAACAGAGCATTGTATTTTCAATTGTGATAGTTAAGATGCACCTTGAATTATGGGATGGTGACATATGACTTTCTAAAAAAAATCAGAACATTGTTAATCTTATTTCGATTGTTAAGATGCACCTGGAATTATGGGATAGCGACACATGACGTGCTAAACATAAACAACAGAACATGGTTTATTTGATTGTGATAGTTAAGATGTATCTGGAATTATGGGATAGCGACACATGAAGGGTTAAAAAACAGAATATTGTTTATTTAATTCTGGTAACCCTGATAGATAATTTAAAATTAACCTGGACTTATTTACTTCTAGATGTTTTTATTTTCTTGTAAGACTGACTGATTGAAACACAAACAGCTGACACTGAAAACTAAACTAAAAATTTAGGACAAGCGATGAATTTCTCATCCTAGACATGATATACACTGTACAGGGGTCTCCAAACTTTTCAGCCCGAGGGCCGCATTAACTATCAAATATCAGTTCGGGGGCCAGAGTTTCTTCAAGTCATCTCTTCGGGGTGGTGCCCCCCACCCTGAAGAACTTCTAACCCCGCCTCCCCCCCCCCCCCCCCCAAAACGAAATATAATTTATATAAAAATATATACAAATTTCAAGTGTCTCCCTCCCCCGAAGAAAAAAGTCTGAAAGAAACACTGTCGGGGGACAACAACACTCGAGGTCCAAGTTTGCTCTTAAATTATTCTTCACGTATTTCATTCTTGAAAATTTTTGTTCATACAGGTATGTTGTTCCAAAATTTGAAACTTACTTTGATGCAAAAGTTTTAATATTAGGAAAGTCTTCCTTCTGCAAAAACTTATAAAAAACCACCTGCCCTTCTTTGAACGGGTCTCTAAGGAGGTCATTTTCTTGCAATTCAATGACGTCCAGCTGCTGTTCATCTTTGTAACTGGCCACATTAGCTTCAAATGGGTTTTGAAATTGTCTCACTTCTTCTGCATTTGAATCCAAGTCAGAAAACCGCTAATGAAACTGCAGCTGGAGGTCTTTGATGATCTCGCATGCAAATGACGTGGTGAACTCAGTGGTTGGTTCAGCCGTAAAGACCTTGCACTGCTGAGAGTGGGTCAAGTTGTTGTACTTGTTACAAAAGCAAGGCAAGTTTGGATCTGAAGGCCTTTAGGTGAACGTATAGATCAGAAACTAGATTTCCCTCTCTTGTAGTTTTATGTTCAAAAAATTTTAATGACTAGTTATGTCTGCAGCAGAGATCAATTTCTATACTTAATCTTCATCAGACATTAATGGCTGTGGCTTGCCTTTACTACAAGAAGTCACCTATTTCCTTTCTTAACATAAATACTCTGCTCAGAACTTTGTCGCAAATTAGCCATCTTACTGCTGTGAAATATGGTAAATCTTGCGATTCTGTGTTTGTATCTGGTTGGATATCCTCTCCGGTAACAGTGTCATAATTCTATGTAGGGAAGCCAGCTATTGTGTTATGTTTATGTCTTCATCCACACCTCTAATGAATACAAGAAGTTTAGAGGTGGAACAGCTGTCCGGCGACTCATCCATTGCAATTGAAAAATATCGAAACTCGCTTGCATTTTTCGCTATTTCAGTCACGATGTTTTCATCAATGTCTGCAACACGGTGGGCAATTTTATTTGCACCCAAAGCTACATTTTCAAATTGTTTTGAAATTTCTATGCAAAGTTCCTCAGCCACCTCTAACAAACATTTATTCTGTGGACAAAAAGATCGCCGCGGGGCGGATGAGAGGACCTCGCGGGCCGCATCCGGCCCGCGGGCCGTAGTTTGGAGACCCCTGATGTACACAAAGGCATAACTAGGGGACGGATTTAACGAGAAACATTTTATTTTAGAAATACCAAAAACGTTCAGTTACGTTAAAGAAACCCAACTGTCCTGTCTTGAGACACATCTACATAAGACACATCTACAAAGGACAACCCCTATCTTGAGACACATCTACATAAGACACCCTGCCTGTGTTGAGACGCCTACATAAGATACCCCCTATCTTGAGACACCCCTACATAAAACACTTATGCTTTGAGACACACCTACATAAGACACCCCGTCTTGAGACACCTACAGAAGACCCCCCTGCCTGTCTTACAACATGTCTGAAGCCGCCTTACCTGTCGTCAGGCAAGCACACCTGCCCAGGTTTCTTGTAAGGAAAGCACTGGCCGTTGTTAGGACCAGCCGCGTAGTACTGCTCATTGCACGTGCACAGTCCACCGAACGGCGTCTGGCACTCGGCGTTGACCACACACTGACCACTTCCGGTACACTGCTGACCCACGGGGATCTGAGCCTTACACACGCCGTTGTCTAGAGAGTACATGGCACTTATGGGTTAAACGTACCCACAGGGTAGAGAACTCTGATGAGGTGTAACTAATATTAAAAGGATTGATGTGTGATGATTGTTACGACGTAGACAGTACAGTTTGGATTACTTATAACTAAATATTTAACCCTCAGAGTTTGGGTTAGAGCAGAGGCGTAGAGACTATTCCCAGCGCCCGGGATCAAACTTTCAATTTGGCACCCCCTCCCATATATTTATTTTTATTTTATAATGCAAAACTCCAGTTAAAGTGAGCTTTTAATTTTTTTTTCCAACCCATTTTGGCGCCCCCTGCGGTCGTTGCCCGGGGACATATGTAACCCCTACTGCCCCCCCCCCTCCCCCTCCTCTCGCTACGGGTTAAAGTTAGTATTGTGGTTCCGTTATTGTTACTATCAATACTAACAGTAGGATTGTTGATTATTGACGGGTACTAAATAAAATGCTAAATTTATTTTTTGCTTGACATTAAAAACAAAAAGAATCTTTTTAAGCGTGAGTGTAATTATGACAGATAAAGTATGTATGTCCTGTTTTTGTGTATGAAATATAACATGATTACTTAATGCTTGGTTAAGCTGGACTTACCGTTGAAATATCCTTTGGTGCAGTTGCACGTCCCTCCTGAGCTGTCCGTGCACTCTGCGTTGGCCACGCACGTGCCCAGTTTAGGACACGGCAGTCCGGCATCGATCTCCGTCTTACACTGTTCCCGCACCTGGGGATATAGTCGGGGTCAATGACCTGCCCGTGTATATAGGACATGTCGGGGTCAATGACTTGTCCGTATTTATAGGACATTTCGGGGTCAATGATCTGCCCTTATTCTCAGGGCATGTCGGGGTCAATGGCCTGTCTGTATACCTAGGACATGTCGGGGTCAATGACCTGTGTCTCATATTAGGTCCAGTACAAACAAATAAAGTCCAGGTCAACAACCTGCTTTGCATACGTCGCATGCTTGCAACATGTTAGGGGGTCAATGACCTCTATCATCTAATAGGCCCAGTGCAAAGTCAAGGTTAGTGATGTGTATTGCACGCTTGAATAAAGTCTGGGTCAGTGACCTTAGTAGATGTGATACGCTCTAAAGTAACCCGTATTATATCTTGCTTAACGTGGTACATATTGGCTGAGCTAGTGAGGGGCCTAGCAAATTCATTAGTACAATTACGTCTACATATCTACATTGTTCTAGATCGCTATTAATCATTGCAGTTCTCCATCGTGTTAATCAGAGTTTAATCTCATTAACATATTTAATTACAGTTACATAGCAGTTGAATTGTTTCCCTAAATAGAACAAGTAGCTTTAACACGACTGTTAGCTTTATTACTGCTCCAAATGAAATTGAATTTATATAGAAAACATATACTTTTACCAGTGTCCACCCCCACCCCCACCCCTGGAAAATGTTGTCCACCCCCCCCCCCCACCCCCCTGGAAAATGTTGTCTCCGCCCCCCCCCCCCCACCCGGATAAAAAAAAGGCTGAAAGATACACTGGGTACGGGGAACTCGGGAGCAGGTACCCTACAAATGGAAACTGTTGAAATCTACAACAAAGAATCTACAACAAAAAAGTTCGTAACATTAAGGAAAAAGTTTAGTTTGGACCTACAGGAAAAAATCCAGCGTTGCATTTGCACGTGCCGTCCTTCGCCGCATCGCACTCAGCGTACTGCACACACGCGCCTTTAAACGGGCACGGCTTCTCCGGGGGTATCTTCTTCTCGCAGAATCCTGGAAGTTGATCAATGACGTCAGAGACTCGTGCAGTGTTTCTTTCAGGCAGAAGAAAGTCTACTTTAACATTTTCCGCCCTCCCAACTCCCAAAAATTTTAAGTGCCCCCCCCCTCCCCCCAGAGAAAAAAGTCTGGAAGAAACACTAAAGTGTAGTAGTAAAGTTCTTTCATCATTGAGAACGTAGTAGTAGGGTTCACTCACTAATCGGAAACTTATACCAGGGTTTACTCACCATTCAAGACGTCGTACTAAAAGGGTTAAATCACCATTCAAGGCGCCGTACTAAAAGGGTTAACTCACAATTCAAGACGTCGTACTAAAAGGGTTAACTCATCATTCAAGGCGCCGTACTAAAAGGGTTAACTCACCATTCAAGACGTAGTACTAATAGGGTTAAATCACCATTCAAGACGTCGTACTAAAAGGGTTAACTCACCATTCAAGGCGCCGTACTAAAAGGGTTAACTCACCATTCAAGACGTAGTACTAATAGGGTTAAATCACCATTCAAGGCGCCGTACTAAAAGGGTTAACTCACCATTCAAGACGTCGTACTAAAAGGGTTAACTCACCATTCAAGGCGCCGTACTAAAAGGGTTAACTCACCATTCAGGACGTAGTACTAATAGGGTTAAATCACCATTCAAGGCGCCGTACTAAAAGGGTTAACTCACCATTCAAGGCGCCGCACTAAAAGGGTTAACTCACCACTCAATGGGTAGTACTGTGCGTCACACGCACACTTGTAGTTGGCCGCTCTGGAGCACTGGGAGTGCTGGACACACTCCACTGTGCTCCGACACGCTTCACCGACTCTCTTGGCCACACGGCACACACCGCTGTAGGCATATCAGGTACATTAGAGGCGCCCTACACTAGACACTCCTTACACTAGACACGCCCTACACTAGACACGCCCTTTAATAGAAACTCCCTACACTAGAAACGCCCTACACTAGACACGCTCTACACTAGACACGCCCTACACTAGACACGCCCTACACTAGACACGCCCTACACTTGACACGCCCTACACTAGACACGCCTTACACTAGACACTCCCTACACTAGACAGGCCCTACACTAGATACGCCCTACACTGGACAGGCCCTACACTAGATACGCCCTACACTAGACACGTCCTACATTAGACATGCTTTAACTAGACACGCCCTACACTAGACACGCCCTACACTAGACACGCCCTACACTAGACACGCCCTACAAAAGACACACCCTACACTTGATACTCCCCATATTTGACACGCCCTACACTAGACACGCCCTACACTAGATACGCCCTACACTAGACACTTCCTACATTAGACATGCTTTAACTAGACACGCCCTACACTAGACACGCCCTACACTAGACAATATACACTCCCTACACTAAACACGACCACACTAGACAATAACATGAAACGTCCTAAACTAGACACGCCCTACACTAACCCCGCCTAAACTAACCCCGCCTAAACTAACTCCGCCTACACTAGCCCCGCCTACACTAACCCCGCCTTACTTGAAGTTGTAGAAGCCCTTATCACAAACACACGTATTGCTCATGCACTCGGCGTTGGCCACACATTGGCCAGGAGCTGAACAAGACTTGCCGGCTGGGATAGCTGGAAAAACAAAACATTCATTAGGATTGTTCCTCTGTTATTGGATGCTAGTTTTTAAATAATTTGTGAACGGAGAAATCGCCACATTAACAAAGGGTATGAAGAGAGATAACTCAGGCATAAGAACTAGCCCTTGATAGAAACGTATACATAACTACCAAGTTTATCTTAAGTGAAGAGGTCTAAACATTACACATACATTAACTTGTTGATAGAAAGATTGTTGTAAATAATTGTAATCCACGTAATACATTCAAGAACAAAGTCAAGTCAATAATTTAAATTATTTTAATATAGAATATTTTGTAAAGAGGTCTGCAGTATAAAGAAAGCTGTTTGTCTTTAAGAAAATACTTTTTCTTTCAAATGTCTATAGCATTAGCTAGACGTAATGCCGTCAGAAAATTACAACTGTGAATCGTTATGTATATCGATAGAACTACTAGACCAAACCAACGAGTTGCCAGAAAGTTCTACAGCACCAACCAGCTTACCTGGCAAGCAGACGGTGACGTTGGGGAAGAAACCTTCAAAACACTCGCACACACCGGAGGCTCCCACGGCGCACTCAGCGTTGTCCACACACTGACCGTAGTCGGTACAGGCGAACTGTGGCCAGATGGCTGGAGGGGGGGGGGGGACAGAAGGCATAATGAAATATTTGGTGGGAATGTTGAAGTTGAAGGAAATATCATGAAATTCATTAAGTCGTGGTCGTGTCGGTAAAGCTCATGGTTGCTAAACTGAAAAGTCTCGAGTTCGAACCCTCGGGTAGATGAGACTCGTTAGCTGGGAACAGCCACTCTTCTAGGAGAGACAACTCCAAAATCAAAGAACTGCTGCCTTGTAGTTTTTTTTTATTGGAAGCAACTCCAACAAGAAAAGCTGGCTGAAATCAATCGCGCATAACCAGTTGACACGTATACTTAATTGTTTTGGAGAGAGTCCCTTCCAACACTAAAATTAAGCACGAAGAAGAAAGAAGACACTAAGGCCGGGTGGTAAAGCGTGTGACTGCTAATTTAAAAGTCTTAAGATCTGATCCCTGATACAAGACTGTAGGGTGTCGCTGAGTCCACTCAGCTCTGATGGGTACCTGATTCATGTTAGGGAAAGTATAGGATTGGCGTAGAATTGACCATAGTGTTTCTTTATCTAACGAGGTCACAGAAACAGGTGAGCTCTACTTCTTCTCCAACGACTGCCAGATTCGAACGGGTAAAATTTTTCTAACATTGGGTAAAGGTTGGCGAAAGCAAACTTAAAGAAACATGGATGGAAAGTTGTGGTAAATAAAACACAAAGCCGAGGCGTCATATATATTTTTTAAAAATGTAAATATTGTACTTGTAGAAGTTGACAGACATTGTTACAAAAACTAAAATTGTGTCTAATAATACAATTTAAATTAAATGAATAAACGCACGTGTTGGTTTACACAAGATTCGAGAACTTATTTAGATCATTTTTTCTTAATAGTAATATTGAAGCGGATATACTTAAACACAGTCAAGTATGGCGTTTCAACTTATTATGGTGTCTAATGGCCCGCTGACTCCGATTTCAGCCTGCTTTTCTTTCAAAATTTGATTTCATATCCTTTGTTTATCCAAGAATAACCTAAAAGGCAGCAGTTGTTTGATTTCGGAGTTTTGTCTTGTAGATAGTTTGGTTGCTATCCCCAGCCAACGGGAATGATCTGCCCGGGGATCCGAACTCGGGACTTCTGGAATTTTTTGCTCGGCCACGCCATACCCCCCCCCCCACCCCCAATTCTAGATGTAGTGTTTCAAGCTCTACTGGTAAATAAGAGGAGAAATGGAATTGACAAAAGGTCACGTGACATACCTTCCAGACACACCCCTCCGCTGGCGTAGTAGCCGGACCTACAGTCGCAGGTGCCGCCCATGGTGGAGGAACACTCCGAGTTGATGACGCACTGACCGGTACCGAAACAGGCACCGCCGGCCTTGCGCCCTGCAAAGATCAAAGGTTAAACCAGGGTGACGTCATGAACAGTTGACATTTTATGTTTTAATACTTTGGGCAGCGGAGCTTGAAGGACAGTTGGATATGAATACAATTTTCTAGCTAAGATAAATATTCAATGAACCTTGGCCAGTAAAGGTATGATACATTCTTTGGTATTTGGCTAATAGCATAATTTTTATCTAAGTAATATAAATGTATTGGTATTTGGATATAAACACAATTGTTATCTAAGTAATAAAAATGCATTGGTATTTGGCTATAAACACAATTGTTATATAAGTAATAAAATGGATTGGTATTTGGCTATAAACACAATTGTTATATAAGTAATAATGCATTGGTATTTGGCTATTAATATAACTGTTTGAAAGATAGGATATATTTATTAGCACATCAACAATCATTGACATAACTGTTATGGCTATTAACACAACTGTTTTATAAGTTATGGCTATTAACACAAATGTTTAAAAGTCAGATAAATGAATTGGCTATTGGCTATTTACACAACATTAACCTTATTAAAAGTACTGACATGAGGACAGTATTCAAAGACAAAAGTTACAACAGTACTCACGCTCATAGCACGTGCCGGCGTCGTTGTAGTGGTTGCTGTCGCAGAGACACACGCCGCTGATGTTGGCCGTGCAGTATGCAAACGCCACGCATTGGTTGGGTCCGGTACACGGTTCTCCGGCCAGGATTGCTGGGGTAAAATAACAAGACTTGCCGTCAATGTATGTTTATCTATCTATATATAGATATGGTCCCCATGAAGAGAATCTATCTATATATAATTCTCTTCATGGGGACCATACGAGACACCACCTAGCTTAGCCACCACCCTCATCCCCACCAGTCAGGTGAGCTGTGGTTCACCCCGAATGTTATACAATAGTGGAGCCGGTTCGAATACGTGACGGCTATTAGGGGCAGATAATTTATTTTTTTAAACGATTTGAAACTAAGGGGAGATAATAAGTTCTGCTTGATATTTTCATTGTCGTCTGCTTTCACTGGGCGGTGTGGGGGGGGGGGGGGGGGGGGGGGGGGGTAAGGCAGTATAAAGTTATTTCTTTCATTTTGCACAATAAAAAAGATTATTTTTTACTTTAAGTAGGCATATTTTGCTCAAAAATGGACGAAGAACCTAAAAAGATGTATTTTTGAAATAAAATATGTTGCTGATTAAGTTGATAGGCAAAATTGACTTAAAAAATAAATTTTAAAAAATATTTAAAAAATAAACCGGGAGTGATCTCCCCTAAACTTTCTCGAATATTCCTATATAAAATAACAGGGGATGGGAACTCGGGCTTTAGACATGATTTTTAATCCATTTTAAATACTTAAAGTTTTAAAAATAGAATAAAATCTCGTAGACAAATTAATTGCACACCAAGTGAACGCGAATAAAAAAGCGCATAATAGTGCGCAATATTATTAGTACTTTTAAAATTTACATTAGTTTTTTGAGAAATCGGAAGTAGCGTAAATAAGTACTTCGGGTCAACGAAAATTTCTCAAAATTTGACAGAAGGTAGAGAATTAGATCTTTTACTTACATATCAAATTTCATCAATCTATCTGAAATAGTACTCAAGTTATAGGCTTTTGAAAAATTCAAAGTAGAAAAAGTACCACTTCCGGTTATCCGAAATCGCTCAAAAGTTGATACGGATCTACGATTTTGATAAAATACTTGTATATGAAATTTCATCAACCTAGCTGTAACGGTACTCAAGTTATCGTGTTTACACACGGACACACACACACACACACACACACAGACAGACACACAGACATACGGACAAGATTGCAAAATTATGTTTTTCCGTATCAGTGAGGTGTAAAACGTCGAGATTTGCAAAAATCTCGATTTTTTTTTTTTGCACGATTACAAGACTTTCTCTATACTTCGTATATACGAGAAAGTAAAAACAACAACTCACGAGCTTTTGGTGGCACAGGAGTGACGTATGCTCCACTGCAGTAGTCTGTGGTGGAAGGAAAAATATACAGGTTGGAATTAAAGTAAAAGTAACGTTGTATTATATACAGGCCTATATGTGTACTACAGATTAAAAAAAAAATATTACAATTATAGAAAATTTATAGGAATGGGTGGCGGGTGAGGGTTCAATTTAGGTTGTATTATAATTGTATTATAATGCAGATGAATAAATTATGATGCTTGACTCAATACATGAAATGTGGGAACTTCATGGAGGGTTGGTCTACATTAATGGGGGGGGGGGGGGAGGGGGAGGCAATCGCCATAATAACTACAATGAAATCTCCCTCATTAGCCCACTCCACCCCAGCAGAATGTGTTGTAGAGAGTACGACTTACAAGAAGCCTATGTTTAGAATACCGTCCACCCTTATAAGAAGCCTATGTTTAGAATACCGTCCACCCTTACAAGAAGCCTATGTTTAGAATACCGTCCACCCTTACAAGAAGCCTATGTTTAGAATACCGTCCACCCTTACAAGAAGCCTATGTTTAGAATACCGTCCACCCTTACAAGAAGCCTGTGTTTAGAATACCGTCCACCCTCATAAAAAGCCTATGTTTAGAATACCGTCCACCCTTACAAGAAGCCTATGTTTAGAATACCGTCCACCCTTATAAGAAGCCTATGTTTAGAATACCGTCCACCCTTACAAGAAGCCTATGTTTAGAATACCGTCCACCCTCATAAAAAGCCTATGTTTAGAATACCGTCCACCCTTACAAGAAGCCTATGTTTAGAATACCGTCCACCCTTATAAGAAGCCTATGTTTAGAATACCGTCCACCCTCATAAAAAGCCTATGTTTAGAATACCATCCACCCTTATAAGAAGCCTATGTTTAGAATACCGTCCACCCTCATAAAAAGCCTATGTTTAGAATACCATCCACCCTTATAAGAAGCCTATGTTTAGAATACCGTCCTCCCTCATAAAAAGCCTATGTTTAGAATACCGTCCACCCTAATAAGCCGCTTGCCCTTGTCCGCCCATTCATTCATGGACTTTTTTTTTGGAAATATTTTATAATGTAATAGGTCATCCATTTATGACGTCCACAAAAATTTGAAATTCTAGACCCCTATACCACCCCCTCCCCTCACCCACTCCACACGCGTCCACAAAGTTGATTTTTCTCGGACTCCCCCCCCCCCCCCTCTGTGGACGTCATAAATAAATGACCCCTAGGTACGTTAAAAACTGTTGCTAATAATATATAGTAGTTCTTAACTTGGGTTGGACAGAACCCCAAGGGTTCGGTGAGTCAGTCTCAGGGGTTCTGCGAAGGTCAAGACTCATATAATTCACAATAGGATTTTGTCAGTGCGGACGATAAAACTATTAAGAAGGGTTCGGCGTATGCGCATATGAAACTGGTGGGGTTCGGTACCTCAAAACAAAGTTAAGAACCGCTGAAATAGCCCTACATAAAGCAGTTGTGTTTAGAATTATAAATTAAATAATAACTACAGTAATAAATCAACTTGATGTAAACACGCCCTTAATAAACCAACATCATAAATGCTCTACATATAACTCCACAAAGAAAGATTTATTCTTTGGAGGTAGTTTTAAATTTTAAACCGCTACATAAATACACATTACCTTGTCGTACAAACTTCATTCTACAAGGAACTTTATAAAAACACGAAATACGGATTTTATTATTGCGAAACAAATAATAAGTTTCAATAATACGAAATATGAAATAAAAACTAATTTCCCTTTTCGAACCGGACGGTTAATAGAACAAGTGAAGTAGAATTCATCTGTTTCTGTAAGTTCGGAATAGTGTGGTCAGCACTATGTCCAGCCAACTTTACTTTCCATAACGTGAGTTAGGTACCCATCAGAGCTGGATAGACTCAAGGACGTTCTACGGATTTAAACCCGGATTTGAACTGGAGAATTTCGGGTTAGCAGTATAACGCTCTACCGCTAGGCTACACTGTCCCTCCCCCCCCCACCCCAAAAATAATTAATATCTAATCCATAATACAAAAGTATTGCAATAAAAAATTTGATTTAAATAAATCATAGGCCTATAGACACGAATATCCAAACTTATATAACATTGCTAGTGCGTTTCAAGTTTTGTAACATGGGATAAAGTACTAAGCCTCGACATACACTATCTGTCTCCTACAGCCCACTTATCATTCTGTGCGCATGCGCTTGGCCCTGTCGGCACTTAACACTACGACGTGTGGGCATATGACGCGAGCGTGGATTAGGCTAATCCCTGTAGATCTATTTCTTCAGCCGTGTAACGGGGACATATGTGTGAGTGTGGCGTCACTGCAGACATGCTCGCACTTTTATAAGGGTAAAGTGCGGATATGACACTGAAATATTACAAATACTGTCTAAAGTCCTGGTGTGTTGTGTTTACTTCTGGCTAGAGCGGTTACAATTTGACTTATTGTAAACAGGAAAACGATACAAAATGTTATAAGCTCAGTAAATGACACGCTAGATAAAAGCTCGTTAATAAATTACAGCAAGCTAATGTAGTTAACTCACCCTATACACATATATATATATATATATATATATATATATATATATATATATATATATATATATATATATATATATATGTATATATATATATGTATATATATATATATATATATATATATATATATATATATATATATATATATATATATATATATATATATTTACATATACCTATATGCAAATATGTATATATGTACGTATATATAATTAAACATATATATACTTTATATATATGTATATATGTATGTATATATGTATATGTGTGTGCGCATATGTGTGTGTGTAAATATATATACATATGGATGTATGTATGCAAGCATGTGTGTGTGTTTGTGTGTGTGTGTGTTTGTCACTCAGTCATCGGTGGCCTACATATTTCCCTTGTATTAAACAAGTTCTGTTAAAGAGAAGTCCACCTTTAGATATCTCCCACGATTTAATAAGTCAGCTGTAACATTAATGACAGCAGTAACAGAAGGAATGTATCTCTGCCCGTATCAAAAGAAATAAATTCCTGGGTATAAATCCCCTAGTCACCGTCAAGCAAGGAGCTGTCGTGGGTTCTTTTTTTATTCACTTAACACCGTTTTAAAGATGATGGTTTTAAGATGGCTGAGTAGGAAGGGTGTAGTGTGTGTGTTGGACGGTTGGTGGGGAGGGGGGGGGGGGGTGAGGGGGTAGGGAGAGGTGGGGACCACCTTCGTGTGGTGCTTATGAAGTGATAATTTATGTCCAGATGTCGGCTTAGACGGCTGTCGTGTTCTAGATTATGGCTACTTTTATAAATATCGCGTGATTTATTTGTTGAGTATTTAAGATAATTTCTCCTGACTCCTATAGTTTGAAACAAAAGCACACCATTTTTGATATACCTGAGTGTATCTTTCATTGTGTGAGTATGTGTGTCTAGGTGTGTGCGTGCGTGTCCTAGATAGGTAATAAAATTAGATACAGATGTGATACATTCACAACAAAGGGAACCACATATGTGATACTCACACACAGTGGGAACTACAGATGTGATACTCACACACAGTGGGAACTACAGATGTGATACTCACACAAAGTGTGAACTACAGATGTGATACTCACACAAAGTGTGAACTACAGATGTGATACTCACACAAAGTGGAAAGATGTGATACTCACACAACGAGGGAATTACAGATGTGATACTCACACAAAGAGTAGTCCTGGGCGATGCACTCGTTCGGATCCATGGGGTCTATCCAATACTCTTCTTCCGTCTTCACGCGGTATCCGGGTCCGCATGCGCAGTAGCCGTTCACGCAATTGGCGTTTGGGTCTGTGCAGTTTTCCTTCGTGACACAAAGCTCTCCTGGTTTTCAAAGACAACAAAGATGTTCATGTTTGTGAAATTTTGTTTTCAAAGACAACAAAGATGTTCATGTTTGTGAAATTTTGTTTTCAAAGACAACAAAGATGTTCATGTTTGTGAAATTTTGTTTTCAAAGACAACAAAGATGTTCATGTTTGTGAAAGCACAAACACATAAAAAGTTACATGTAGTTATGTTTCATTGTACAAGCGTATATTGTTTAAAATTATAAATAGTCTTATTTGTAATTAAAAACAAAAATAACAGTACAAGACGATACATATTCGCTTCTGTTGGGTCAAACAGTTTTATATTTCTCTCATTAGCTTTGTACTTGGCCTATTATCCTACCAAGTACCTGAGTTATTATATCATCAATACTAATAGTTTCGCTGTCTGTGTATCTATCTATCTATCTATCTGTCTGACAAGAACGCTCTAGAGAAAACATAAGCAAATTAAAAACATGCATAGTTAAAAGAAAACGAAGTATGACGTCATATAGTAGAAAATAATATCAAGCCGGAGAGTGCACACAGTAATATGACGTCATTGATTCTCGAGTAAACATTGAATAGAAAGGCAATTTTGTCTAATCTAAGTGGTTTGCGTGAAGAGTTTCTTTCATACAATTCTTCGGGTAGGGGCGAAGCCCCACCCCCGCGTAAGAACGTCTGAGCCCCCCCCCCCCCCCCCTCCCCAACTCAAAAGAAATTTCCTCATCGATACTCTATAATAAAATTACCGCCTAATTAATGTGTCTAATCTAAAAAGTGGTTTTCTTGCAATTTCTTTAATGCAATTCTTCGCGTAGTGGCTAAGCGCGACACCAGTGTATCTTTCAGACTTTTTCCTCCCCGGAGGGGGGAACTTTTTCTAATCTAAAAAGCGTTTAGCGTGCAGTTTTTTTTTTCAAGCATCTCTTCCGGTAGGGGCGAAGCCCCGCCCAGATTCTTCCTTTAGTTTGTATGATCTACAAATGCGACCAGTGTTTCTTTCAGACTTTTTCCTCCCCGGAGAGGGGTGGGGGTAATTGAAATTTTCGGGGGCGGGGGTAGAACTTTCGGGGAGGGGGGCGGACACTGGAAAAAGTATATAATTATATTTCGTTGAATGGGACGGTAGACACGTTTTTTTTTTGGGGTGGGGGGGGGGGGGGGGGTGGGGGGGGGTGGGGGGGGTGGGTGGTGTGTGTGGGGGGGGGGGGGGATGGTGTGTGTGGGGGGGTGGGGGGGTGGTGTGTGTGGGGGGGTGGGGTGGTTTTAGTTTAGACTTTTTCCTCCCCGGAGAGGGGTGGGGGGTACTTGAAATTTTCGGTGGCGAGGGTAGAATTTTCGGGGATTGCGTGGACACTGGAAAAAGTATATAATTATATTTCGTTGAATGCGACGGTAGACATGTATTTGGGGGGGGGGGGTGGGGGGTGGGGGTGAGGGGGGGGTGGTGTGTGTGTGGGGGGGGGGGTGGTGTGTGTGGGGGGGGTGGGGTGGTTTTAGTTTAGACTTTTTCCTCCCCGGAGAGGGGTGGGGGTACTGAAATTTTCGGTGGCGGGGGTAGAAATTTGGGGGAGGGGGCGGGCACTGGAAAAAGTATATAATTATATTTCGTTGAATGGGACGGTAGACATGTTTTTTTGGGGGGTGGGGGTGGGGGGGTGGTGTGTGTGGGGGGGGTGGGGTGGTTTTAGTTTAGAGAAAAGAGACAGCACTATCAGCCTAGCGCCCGTTGTATCCTTCCTCAACGGGCCATTTTTCTCGTCTATAATAATAGTTTCGCTGTCTGTGTATGTATGTATCTATCTGACAAGAACGCTCTGTCTGATGACAAGAACGCTCTAGAGAAAACATAAGCAAAAATTCTATCTGACAAGAACGCTCTAGAGAAAACACAAGGAAATTAAAAACCTGCATAGTAATTCGAAAAACGAAGTATGACGTCGACACATTTAGCATAGAGTTGAAAATAATCTCAAGGCGGAAAGTGCACACAGTAATATAATGACGTCATTGATTATCGCGTAAACATTGAATAAAAAGGAAATGTTGTCTAATCTAAATGGTTTGCGTGAAGAGTTTCTTGCATACAATTCTTCGGGTAGGGGCGAAGCCCCACCCCCCGCGTAAGAACGTCTGAGCCCCCCCCCCCCCTCCCCAACTCAAAAGAAATTTCTTCATCGATACTCTATAATAAAATTACCGCCTAATTAATGTGTCTAATCTAAAAAGTGGTTTTCTTGCAATTTCTTTAATGCAATTCTTCGGGTAGTGGCTAAGCGCGACACCAGTGTTTCTTTCAGACTTTTTCCTCCCCGGAGAGGGGTGGGGGTAATTGAAATTTTCGGGGGCGGGGGTAGAATTTTCGGGGAGGGGGGGCGGACACTGGAAAAAGTATATAATTATATTTCGTTGAATGGGACGGTAGACATGTTTTTTTTTGGGGGGGGGTGGGGGGGGGGGGTGGTGTGTGTGTGGGTGTGTGTGTGTGTGTGGGGGGGGGTGGGGGTGGTGTGTGTGGGGGGTGGGGTGGTTTTAGTTTAGACTTTTTCCTCCCCGGAGAGGGGTGGGGGGTACTTGAAATTTTCGGTGGCGGGGGTAGAATTTTCGGGGAGGGGGTGGACACTGGAAAAAGTATATAATTATATTTCGTTGAATGGGACGGTAGACATGTTTTTTTTGGGGGTGGGGGTGGGGGGGGGGGTGGTGTTTGTGTGTGTGGGGGGGGGTGGGGGGGGGTGGGGTGGTTTTAGTTTAGACTTTTTCCTCCCCGGAGAGGGGTGGGGGTACTTGAAATTTTCGGTGGCGGGGGGTAGAAATTTAGGGGAGGGGGCGGGCACTGGAAAAAGTATATAATTATATTTCGTTCAATGGGACGGTAGACATGTTTTTTTTGGGGGGTGGGGGTGGGTGGGGGGGGGGGTGGTGTGTGTGTGGGGGGGGGGGGGGTGGGGTGGTTTTAGTTTAGAGAAAAGAGACAGCACTATCAGCCTAGCGCCCGTTGTATCCTTCCTCAACGGGCCATTTTTCTCGTCTATAATAATAGTTTCGCTGTCTGTGTATGTATGTATCTATCTGGTTGATGAAATTTCATATTTAAGTATTATATCAAATTTGTAGTTCTGTATCAACTTTTCAGTTTTTTCCGATAACCGGAAGTGGAACTTATTCTACTTTAAAATTTTCAAAAGCCTATAACTTGAGTACTGTTTCAGATAGATAAACTAAATTTCACATATAAGTAAAATATCTAATTCTCTGCCTTCTCTCAAATTTTGAATGCCTTCCTTTGACCGGAAGTAGTAATTTACGCTATTTCCGATTTCTCAAAAAACACAAATGAATTTATAAAGTACTAATAATATTCCGCACTATTATACACAAATTGTTTTTCGTTCACTTGGTGTGCAATTCTTTTTTCTACGAGATTTTATTCTATTTTTCAAAGTTTAAGTAATTAAACATGGATTAAACCACATGTCTATATCCCGAAATGTCACCCTCCCCCTTGTTTTATATGAGACAATTCGAGAAAGTTTTGGGGAGATTACTCCCGGTTTATTTTTTTATGTTGATTGTCCCTTAAATTAAAGGGGATCCAGAAATTTGAAATGAAATTCATACAATACGCATAATAAGTACCAGTTGTTGTATATAAACTAAAATTAAGCTATTAAGTCAAAGGTTTTTGATTTTTAAGTTTTTCAGATATTAAATTGTAGGTTTAAAAAATAAACGTGATGACAAAAATTTATTTACAAAAATTTAGTACCTTAAAGATACTATAATAAAATTATTTTTATTATATGACAACATTTATCAAATCATTTTTCTTTCTTTATTTGTTGCGTTGCAGGTAGTTTCCCATTAAACTTTATTTCTTTAAACATGGGAGGTAATTGACAGTCGTTTTCTTTAAAAATAAAAACAGTTCAATCATCCTTTACTATAATATTCGCCAAAAGTAATCAATTGGAATATAAGTAGATACTTTAATTTTATAAACTACAATCAAATGTATCAAATCAAATGTAAAAGCTCAACTGACCAACAAGGTGGGAGATGATATATTCAACACATCTAATTTGTAGATCTGTGGATACATGCTGCTTTTGATTATCGTTTTCACGTTTCTTCGTCGTCATCTTGGTCGACGTTCTCATACCAGTCAGTTATTGAGTTGTCTGATGTAAAGTGTGTTTTTCCGCATTGGTAGGCTGCTAGGTATTTATCTCCGTTAATTTGTCCGCATGGGTAGTCTGCTAGGCATTTTAGTCGGTGTGTTTTTTCCGCATTGGTAAGCTTGGTAGGCGTGTTTTGCATTTCGAACATTTTGGGCTTTTCAAACGGTTTCTGTGTTTGTGTGTTCCGTACTCGCCTTTCTTATCAAATTTATTGAGGCAACCACACGCTTGTCTGCTAGTTCCAGAGTTATAACCTGTGAGGGCTGACTTCCAGTTTTTGTTGTTGTTGGTCTTCTTTGTTTTGATGGTGTTGGTGTTGCTGTGGACTGCTGTCTTTGCAGTCGTTTTTCCCATGTGGTGTAGTGGAACTTGTGGTGCTCTCCTCACTTTTCCTTCTGATTTGTGTTGGTCAGCGTCCATTGTTGTCTGTGGTTGGGTGGTCTTGGGAGTAGCGACGTGTGGATTTCGGCTGTGTTGGTTGGTGCTGTTGTTCGCTGTGTTGGTTGGTGCTGTTGTTCGATGTGGTGGTTGGTGCTGTTGTTCTGTGTTCGTTGGTGCTGTTGTTCGCTGTGTTGGTTGGTGCTGTTGTTCGATGTGGTGGTTGGTGCTGTTGTTCACTGTGGTGGTTGGTGATGTTGTTCGATGTGGTGGTTGGTGCTGTTGTTCTATGTGTTGGTTGGTGCTGTTGTTCGCTGTGTTGGTTGGTGCTGTTGTTCGCTGTGTTGGTTGATGCTGTTGTTCGCTGTGTTGGTTGGTGCTGTTGTTCTATGTGTTGGTTGGTGCTGTTGTTTGTTGGTTGGTGCTGTTTTTCGCTGTGTTGGTTGATGCTGTTGTTCGCTGTGGTGGTTGGTGCTGTTGTGGCGGTGTTATCCTTAAGGCTAAGGAATTCTGGCTGTGGCTGGAGTTGTATTGTTTATTGTTGCTGGCGTTGTGTCATACACTGTGATGTAAGGTGGTTGTGCTGTTGTTTGTTAGGGTGAAGCGAGGTTTGGATTACTGCAGTGGTTTGTCCAGTGTTATGTGGATGGGCAATGATGACGGGCAGGCATCCTGCCTGTAATTACTGTTTAAAAAGTCCTTGTATTTTAGTTCAACATAGAGTGGTATATCAGATGACGAGTTTGGATAGGCAGTGATGCTGCGGTTGTCGGCGATTGCTCTCCCTGGCTTATTATTTATATTAAACATGTCCCTTATTTCTAAAGGGATCCAGAAATACGATTAGATTTGGTGAGTTTTACGAATGATATTTCACACAGGTGTTCAATATAATATTAATTAGAGGTAATAACTTTGAAGGTTTTAAAATGTAAGCATTTTAGAATATTAACTTGTAGTTTCAGAAAAATAAATGTTTGATTAATTTCAGTAATAGAAACACAAGTGTTGAATACTTCTGTAAAGAAATTGATCATTTTCCTTCTTCACGAAAAGATTTATTAAATTAAGCTTCACTTAAGGTGTTGCATTTTAGGTATTTTCCCATTACATGTTATATTTCTGTACATGGGAGATAACAACTCATCGTTAGTGAAAAAAAAATCAATCGAAGTATCAATAAATTAATTCTTGTAACATTTGCCAAAAATAATCGATTTGTATAGAAGTTAATGTTTTCAATGTATAAGTCACAATCAAATTAAAAATATCAAATGCAAGAGCTCAACTGACGAAATAGCTGCGAGATGAATTTAGCACAACAAACCTTTAAAATGGTTGGTAGATGCTGGGGTACACGTTTAAGAACATGCTGTTCTTGGCGATCGTCTCTAAACACTAATATCGTCTTTAGAACTCCATCATCGCTCGATAATGAACGGTGTAAGTACGCTATGTATCGGTACTAATACATCTTTGGTAAAGCTTTAAGGCTCAATCGGCTAGAACACCTAACATGCCCCTTACAATATTTTAAAGTTTTACAATGTATTTAATGATAGTATACACTATTTAAATTATACATTCAAACAAAAGTGGTGACCTATTGGGGTCGACAATATAAAAATAAAACGTTTGTTTACTATTTAACCATTCACGTCCACTTTAAGCTGCAATCCCACCCCCGATAGGATCATACAAAATTGTTCTCGTAAAAAATACTTACACAACTTACATTAAATAACAATTTCTGTATGCTTGTAGATATAGAATAATACATTACACACACTAGCTCATGCACGCCGCACACACACAAACATACACTCACACATACAGACAAGATTGAGAAACAAGGTTTTTCCGACCCAGGAAAGTGTTAATTAAGCGGATTTGATTTTTCGCACGATTACAGTACTTTCTCTGTACTCCGTCTACGTGGGAGTAAAAAGACGTTCAAGTACTGTTAAAAGACTATTCTTGAAGACAACAGATATTTGTTAAACCATAGTTTTTGTCGGTACATTATCAGGGTTTGGATTTTTATGTTAAGCCTATCTTGATGTAGAGTTAATGCCAGGGTTAGGGTTAGGGTCATGGTTAAGGTTAAGATTTCAAAGCATTCCTATAAATAGCCTCAAGTTTTTTTTTTTTAAAATCACAAATGAAGTAACCTTAATTTAAGGCTTAATTGACGGCGCGGTTGAATTGCAGAGCGCTCGGCTGCTAACTTGAATGTTTCTTGTTCGGATCCCGGTTAGGACTTGTGACTGTAGGACGTACCAAAGTCTATCCAGCTCTGATGGGTACCTGACATGCGTTGGGGAAAGTTAAGGCTGACCCCACTATCCCTTCAACAAAAATAGGAACTTTACTGCTGCTGCCCAATGGATCGCTAATTTTAAAGAGGAATCTTTCCTTTTTCTAAGACGTTATAGAGTCAGGGTTAGGGACATGGTTATGGTTGAGATCTCAAAGCTGTTCTATAAATAGTCGGACGGGTTGTTCACAAATCAAACAACCTTTTGACTATTTTCAAGGCTAACAAATTTTTTTTTTATATAAAACTAAAAATAAACACACACAAACGACCAAAGAAAAACAGAATAGTATTTACACAAATACAAAATCAGCTTACCAATGACGTTGCCCGTGGGGAAGGAACATTTCTGGAACTCTTCGACATACCGGAAGTGCACCTGGCATTTGCATATGCCAGTCTGACATATGGCCATGACAGACAGACATTTTTCATTGTTGATGCACGAGTCCCCTATACCAACGCCTGTTTAAATATTTCAGATTTTGTCATTTAGTTCTACATTATCATTTCAAAAAAAAATATGTATAAAAATAATTTAAGTACAAAATTATATACAAAAAAAAAAAAAATGGAAATTCCCCTAAAAATAAAATAACGTCACCTTTTTGACACTCGACAGCCCTTCTGTCGTAGACTAGACCTTTGTTACATAGACACCTGTAGCCTTGACAGCCGTTAGGCCGACAAGATGAGCCTTTGGTCGCTTTACAGTCGGCGTCGGTTGAACAGGATTCTTTAAAGCCAGCTGGGGTGTACATGTAAGATGTACAAGTATGATGTACAAGTATGATGTACAAGTGTGATGTACAAGTGTGATGTACAAGTATGATGGACAAGTATGATGTACAAGTATGATGTACAAGTATGATGTACAAGTATGATGTACAAGTATGATGTACAAGTATGGTGTACAAGTATGATGTACAAGTATGATGTACAAGTATGATGTACAAGTATGATGTACAAGTATGATGTACAAGTATGATGTACAAGTATGATGGACAAGTATGATGTACAAGTGTGATGTACAAGTATGATGTACAAGTATGATGTACAAGTATGATGTACAAGTATGATGTACAAGTGTGATGTACAAGTATGATGTACACGTATGATGGACAAGTATGATGTACAAGTATGATGTACAAGCATGATGTACATCCGTGATGTACAAGTATGATGTACAAGTATGATGGACAAGTATGATTTACAAGTGTTTTGTACAAGTATGATGTACAAGTGTGATGTACAAGTATGATGTACAAGTATAATGTACAAGTATGATGTACAAGTGTGATGTATACGTATAATGCACAAGTATGATTTACAAGTGTGATGTACAAGTATGATGTACAAGCATGATGTACAACCGTGATGTACAAGTATGATGTACAAGTATAATGTACAAGTATGATGTACAAGTGTGATGTATACGTATAATGCACAAGTATGATGTACAAGTATGATGTACAAGTATGATGTACAAGTATGATGTACAAGTGTGATGTACAAGTATGATGTACACGTTTGATGTACAAGTATGATGTACAAGTGTGATGTATAAGTTAATGCACAAGTATGATTTACAAGTGTGATGTACAAGTATGATGTACAAGTATGATGTACAAGTATGATGTACAAGTGTGATGTACAACCGTGATGTACTGGTATGATGTACAAGTAAGATGTACAAATAAGATGTACAAGTTTGATGTACAAGTATGATGTACACGTATGATTTACAAGTATGGCAAGTTTACAGATAAATGCACAAGCATGACAAGTATACATATAAATATACAAGTAGGCCTATGATACGTTTAACCATATGAAAGTGTTTTGTCCGAAGTATCATTATACCATTCATACAAACGTACACAACAAAGATGACACATGTATCTTTATAAATAAGTTATTGTTTATCTTTTACATTTTGCCACTGAAAAATGCTATAAAAGAGTACTAGCTGAATCCTTTGTATTTTGAATGATAAAACTTTAACTGTACTTACCTCCCTTCGTGAAGTCCAGCAGACAAGCTAATCCCATCAAGAATAAAAATAACTAAGGGGAGAGAAGTCAATCTTTTGTCACAAGAAAATATACTTTTATATAATAAAATAGAAAAAAAGATATTTAAATAGAATTTTACATTATTTCAAACAAAAATGTATAACATTTTAAAAAATAGAAATGATGATTATTTAGTATTTTTTTTCATGTTTTAAAATATATTTATTTATCAACTGGCGCCCAAAGCTAGACCTTTAAGGTTAACGCTATATAAGGGAGAGCCATACTTCACTGTTATTGTAAAAGGTCCCAATATTTTTGCGTCTCGTCAAAACATTTTTTTTTCAAAACATTAACGAAAGGTAGTTCAGAATGAAAGCTTGAAAGTCTGACCAATACCATTATACAACCCCTCTAATTCTAATGCATAACTAATGTATTAGAAAAAAAACAAAAACATAATGAAACATTAAATTGAAAAAATGAAAAAAGGATTTTAACGTTATTTATTAGATTTTAAACACGATAATCTTACAGTTGTATTGCTTTTTTTATAGGCTACATTCACTTTGACTATGTAATAGTTAGTTTTAATAAACAAGGTACAAAAAAAATAATAATTTCAAAACTGAGCTTTATATAAATTTAAAAAAATTGACCAACTGAATAGATCTTTTGTTTTAGTTTAAGAAATTCAAGAAATGGCCATCAGGCTGATTGAATAAAAAAATATTTTATATAACTGTTATACAAATCTTTAGAATAACAATCTTCAGAATACACTGGAAATATCAAAATAAAAACACACTTGCTTTCTTTAATTCAATCTATGGTCAGTCATGAGATCTCTAACTTAATTATCTTAGCGACGAAGTTTTAATTAAAGAAACCATGTTTTTTAAAATGCCATTTTCAGTAGATTCAAAAGCGAGTTATAATAAGGGTAGTAGTATTTGTTTTATTTTCCATTTTTTATTCATTCGTTCAAAATAAAATTGACACTACGTAGGCTATAACTAAAATTATCTCGATTTAAACAGGACATATAGGGCTGGTAAGTAGGTCACCAACCAGTTCTATAGCTCATGCAGGTTTTATTGAGCCGCATAACTGGTTGGTGGCCTACTTACCAGCCCTAAAGTTTATGATCGCTAAAGGAGAGTTATCCGCCCCTACTTAGTTCGTGAACAACTCCCATACGAGAAACCAGCCAACCGTGACAAACAGTTCACACACAACGGTGAGTTGATCTAGTGATCGCTTGAGATATGTTACTAAATTTAGAAATCTTAGAATTAAAATGTAATAACATTGGTTATCTAATTAGGTTTAAAAAAAAAAAGAATTTTCATGCATTGTCATCGAAGAAAAAGGTAACTGGAGAGTTTGAACGAAATCGCTGCATTAGAAGTGGGTCAAAAGTGAATTAAAAGGTTTACCAAAAACCTACAGACATTAGACTAAATAAATGCTTGTAAAATATGAATATATCTATTATATATATATATATATATATATATATATATATATATATATATGATGTACTGAACATGTCAGCAACATTAAAAAAGCGATTCAATATATAGCAGTGACAACATTTGTATTGTAGTATAACTGAACTCTTAAAATATGGCATTCAGTTATAGGAGAGGGTGTCGAGTGGTAGGGGTAGAAGAAAAAGTTGGCGACCAAATTTAGAAGAAAACAACTTTAAAATGAGATAACCGAAGGCGGCTCGCTGTAAAACTTGACCAGTGTAAACAAACTTTGAGAATTGTTTTCTGAGCTCAAGCCGCAGTGTAGGCGTGATTTTTTCTTCTTCTTCTTCGTTCTTAATTTTTTTTGTTGGAATGGATCGAGCCTAATCTGCGAGAGTGTTCGAACTCGAGATTTTTTCGAATTTAACAACCATGAGCTTTGCCGACTCAACAACGCCTCCAACACAATTAAGGATACGTGTCAACTGATTATGCGCCATTGAGACCATTGACTCCGATTTCAGCCTGCTTTCCTTTTTGGATTTGCTTCCATAGCCTTTGTCCAACCAAGAACAAACTACAAGACGTGATTGGAACTCGGACCTTACCCTGCCCTATCAGCTTTTGTTTCCCGGCTTTAGAGATTTATCATCATGTATAACTAAAACCTAAATATTAACCTATCTCATAACACTTAACCAAAAGAAAACTGTAACCCAACACTAAACACATCCTAGCTTTTAGGGTATCCCTATCCTTAAGCCTAACCATTAACGTAACCATAATAAGGGGTTTTTGCATTAGGCCAGGTCTCAACCGATGTGTTAACTGAGGGCGTCACCCTATTTCTCTCTTCCCCCCCCCCCCCATTTAATTTTAAATCATCGGTTTGGTGTCATCCTCTCCCCTTTCTCCCTATTATTTTAACTAGATAAATAATGACTTTAAAGTAAGTTTGACGATTTTTTCGAATTAGCGTCATACCTTTAAGATGATGTCACTCGGTGCGTACCGCCCCCTCCCCCTATCTTTTACCCCCCCCCCCTGTGACGCTGCTACCTCAAATTAAAGTGCCACCAATCCCAACATACCAATATAGTATACATTACATTTTATAATATTTTTTTATCTTACCTTATAAGAAAACACATTGCAAGTCAAGACGGATTTCATTGTTAATCCAAATCTCTCAAAACAAACCGTACACTAATCAAATGATTTAATCCGCAGCCCTGGGTAGGATTGTCTTATGTCAACATGGTGCTGGTACTCCGGTGATTTTATACTGCTAACAAATGCTGTACACATTAAGTCTGGTGCATTTTCAACGCTACATCATTCAAATTAACATCCGAAGAAATGATATATTAGTGCCTGCATCCTATTAAATTCTTAGTTTTCCAAACAGGCACAAAAAAAATCTAGTATAAAAAATTCTAATTACTTTATATTATCCTCACAAGTTCATAAAAGTATTTTTAAATTATGATTTCAATTTTAAAAAACACAAATTTAGAGTTAATTTCTTTAAATAAAACAATAAAAATAAGTGTCCTTGCATGTACTAACCATAATACACACAGCTTTCAACGGGGTTCACCAAAAGTATGTAAACAATGATTTATTTGTTTTGTTTACTCTAAAAAAACCGAGCACAGTTTTTCTGTTTACCGGAGTGACTGCAGCAGAAGTGTGTCTGCCCCGGTATGTTACCTGCCCCGAAACAATTCCTATTGTCGTCTGCAACTTTTTAACGGAACGTCAGAAACCACTTCACATACATAACTTCATCAGCAATTCAAATTCCTGTTAGCAGTTTATTCATTTGAAATTTTATACAATTTTTAAAAAATAAATTCGCCGTAATTCGTATCAACTGTACCTTAATCAAGTTGCATATTACGCATTGCATTTTAGGAATTCAAATATTTAACCTAACTTTAAAAAATTTCAATGTTTAACATTTGAGAATCCACCGTTTGACCTAGCACATGAGAATCCCACCGTTTGACCTAGCACATGAGAATCCCACCGTTTGACCTAGCACATGAGAATCCCACCGTTTTATGAGAATTCAAAAGTTTAACTTAACACCTGAGAATTACAATGTTCAACCTAGCATTCGACTATTCAAACGTTAAACCAAGTACTTAAAAATTCCAGGGTTAAACCCAAATCTAATCACCACGCGAGAATTTAGACTTTGTTTTTTTATGAAGTTTTTTTCTCACACGTAAGTTTTTGACTACCTGGTGGGTGAGGCGGAGGGACAACATGGGTCATCCATCATGCCTTTTATGGCAGGGGTAGGGGTGTCTGTCTCTCTCTATACTTCTGTTGTCGCCCTTCCAACTAAGACTGCTAAAAATGTCTCATTTTAAAGGAAATTGCTTATTATAAGATAGCATGTTTGAAAATATTATTGAATGCAATTTTTAAAATGTGAATAAAATGCAGGTGTAGTTGAAACTATTATAAGATAGCATATTTGAAAAAAATATTGTGTTTTGAAGAATTTTTAAAAATATGAATAGAATCAGGGGCGTAGCGGGAGGGGGGGGGCGGGGGTGCGGACCGCACACACACACACACACACACACACACACATATATATATATTTACTGGGGGGGGGCGTGACACCATTAAGTGCCGCACCGTGTGATACCAGACCTCGCTACGCCACTGAATAGAATAGAGGTGTAGTTGAAACTATTGTAAGATATTATATTTGAAAAATATTTAATTTTAAAAATAATTTTAAAAATCTGAATACAATACATGTGTAATTGAAACTATTATAAGATAGCATATTTGAAAAAAATATTATTGAGTTGTTTTTTTTAAATCTTAATAAAAATCCGGGACTGTGGCAGAAATATTTACAGTTGCTGCCTGTTCCGAATGACGGAAAACTACCATTGTGAACAATGTAGGGTTTTCGTGATGGAGGAGCGACTTGTTCCAAGTGTCGGAACGCAGATTAATATCGCCGCGACTCCCATTACGTTGATGGCTCCATGAGTATACACGTGCGGCGCATGCGCAGATGACTTGTTACACGGAATCACCAGAGGCGTAGAAGGGGGGGGGGGGAGGGAAGGGGTCGATACGACTCTGAGAGTCATGGGAGAGATAATAAATTAGGCAGCCTACATTAAAGGTAACAACTGTTAGATCTAGAGATAACGTAACAGTGCTAAAGCTGAACGATCAAAAGCTGCTATCTTTAATTAAGGGCAGGTTAAACCCCCCCCCCCCCAATACATATTTAAGTCAGAAATGTTGATTTTTGAAAATCTATTGTTTCTGAAACTACATTCAATTCTGAACATTTTTGTATAATCATTTTGCAAAATTTCGTATTGCTAGTATTTTTTAATAATTTTTTAATTAATGAGAATAATGACATAATTCACCTATATTAAGCAACATTTAGCAACATAAAAATTAAAAACTAACTAAAATAGATGTTCTTATTGCTAAGTAAGAGGCCCAATTCAAAAGAATGGATGCAGCGTCTCATTGGACAATCACGTATGCTGCCAACTTACCTTTTACATGAGTTATTTGATGGTATAGCCAACCGATCTCTGAGCTAGAGATACTTCTCAGTTAACTAGTAAAATGGTTGTCTTTGTACGGAGGAACCTATGGTTTACATTTGTTCTTCTTATTTACTAATATTTAGGAAGAGACCCACGCTTTTCTTTATAGTAATTTAAATAGTGGTGTCTAATATTTAGGAAGAGACCCACGCTTTTCTCTTTAGTTATTTAAATAGTAGTGTATAATTTATTTTCTACTTTTTAGTGCATTATTACATAAAAGCTTGTTATTAAAACGTTTTTTTT